GGTGATACTCATTTAGGAGGAGAAGATTTTGATTAAAGAATTATCGATCACTTTATTAAAGTTATAAAGAAGAAACATAATAAAGATATTAGTGCAGATAAAAGAGCTATTTAAAAATTAAAGAGAGAAGTTGAAAAATCTAAGAGAGCACTTTCAGCTACTCATGAAACTAAAATTGAAATTGAAGATTTAGTTGATGGTTTAGATTTCAATGAAGTACTTACTAGAGCTAAATTTGAAGAATTAAATAATGATCTATTTAAAAAAACTACTGGACCTATGTAAACTGCTTTAGAAGATTCTAAATTTAAGAAAACTGAAATTCATGAAATTGTTTTGGTTGGAGGATCAAGTAGAATTCCTAAAATTAGATAAATTGTTAAAGATTTCTTTAATGGAAAAGAAGCTAATACTGGTATCAATCCAGATGAAGCTGTTTGTTATGGTGCTGCTATTTAAGGTGGTATTATTTGTGGAGAAGAATCTAATGAAACTAAAGGTTTAATAGTCATTGATGCAACACCTTTGAGTTTAGGTATTGAAACTGTTGGAGGAGTCATGACTAAAATCATTCCTAAAGGATCTTATATTCCTACCAAAAAATCTTAAGTCTTCACTACTTATTAAGATTAATAATAAACTGTTACTATCTCTGTTTTTGAAGGTGAAAGACCACTTGTTAAAGATAATCATAAATTAGGAACTTTTGATTTAACAGGAATTCCACCTGCTCCAAGAGGTACTCCTTAAATTGAAGTCACTTTTGAAATTGATGCCAATGGTATTTTACAAGTTGCTGCTTAAGATAAAGGAACTGGAAATAAAAATTAAATTGTTATCACTAATGATTCAGGAAGATTGTCAAAAGAAGAAATTGATAAGATGTTAAGAGAAGCTGAAGAATTTGCTGAATAAGATAAAGCTGCTAAAGAAAGAATAGATGCCAAGAACTCATTAGAAAGTTATATTTATTCTATGAAAAATTAAATTGAAGTAATAAATCATATTTATCAATTAGGATCCAGAAAAATTGGCTAACAAATTATCAGATGACGATAAAGATACTATTAAAGATGCTTTGAAGGATAGTCAAGATTGGTTAGATAAAAATCAAAATGCTGAAAAAGAAGACTATGAAGAAGAACTTAAGGAATTAGAAAAGTAATTATTAATTTTATTCATTAGAATCTGCAATCCAATCATTAGTAGAGTTTACTAATAATCTGGAAATCAAAAATAATCATCAGATGACGATTATGATTCCGATTTATGATTTATGTATATTTCTGTGTGTTTTGAATTTATTATTCAATTTAAGTTACTTTTTACATTCTGTTACCTGCTTAATATTATTATTGTTTACGATAATATTAAGTTAAAGATGATCTTTAGATTATTTTTAAAAATTTTAATTTTAATTATTTTGACTCAATAATTTATAATGTACAACACAAGTATCATTTTGATTAGAAATCTTTAGCAAACAATTGAAATAACCTTTTCAGTTTTTAAATTTCTTATGATTTATTTTATGATAAATTAATTTAGTTCTATCTACTACTTTTTCACATTTGAATCCAAAACATTATATATTTATAGATTCAAAAAGTTCTTTAAATTTAAATTATATAGCTTAATCGTTTTTGATAATTTTTTTTTTCAAAATTGAAATACCAATACTCATAGAAATTAGATTCTCAGATTAAAAACCATAATAAAATAATAATAATCTATTCATATACTAAATTTCAAGATTTTAAAATTTATAGAGAGAAATATATTTTACTCAAATCTAACTAATTTATTTTTTATAACATGCTTTTAAAATAAGCTTCAAATTAAATTCTTGTAATTAATTTCAATAATTTTTGTAAATTATAAATTATAATTTTTTTGAAATACCTTCATTATGGTTTTACTTATTGATAAGGTTTACAAAGTTTAGAAAATGACAAGCTTTGGTATAAATTAAAATGGAGCCAAAAAAAATAAAACTTAATAATGAGTATTTTAGAAGAATATGAAGAGAATATATATATTTTTAGAAATAACAAAATTAAAATTAACTAGAGTTTGTTAGTGTGGTTATTTAAAGATTATATTTATAAAAGAATTTAAGACGTATTAATATAATATAGTAAATTATATTCTGATTTGTTTTCTATTAGTTAATAATTAAATTATTAAAGGCGCCAATATTATGGATGAAAAATATCGAGGATTGGAATAATTAGTATAGCAAAAGCGATAAGCTTAACAGTTGAAAAATCCACCAAAGAAGAAGGATAAAATAGAATAGGACATAGATAATTTCATTGAGAATGATGTTGATGTTGACGGATATTATGATAATGAAGATTCATAAGAAGAGGAAATAAAATAATAGGATGACAATCAACAATAGATAACTCAATATATGGGATAGAACAAAAAGAAAAAATAAACAGGTATTAAGCTGAGTGATGATGTGAATGAGGTGGAATAAGTAATTCAATAAGAAAAAGTAGAAAAAGTAAGTGTAAAATAAGTAGTTACAAACAGCGATGAATTATATAAAGCATAATTTAATGAACCTTTAAAGCCTAAATAACAAATTCAAGAAGAAGATTTTGATGAGTTATTTAATTTTTTAGAAGAATAAGAAAAAGAAAAATAACAATCAATTTAGAAGTAATAAGTAAAGGATATGCATTAAAAACTAAAACCTCAACATAGATAAGTAGAATTGAAATTAGAAACTCCTCAAGTGTAATTCGATCAATCTAAAATAACCTAAACTTAAATAGTAAAAGGAGATAGAGATATAAAAGATCTTATAGAAGAAGATTAATCAATACTTTTTTATTGGATTGACATTTATGAAGATCAAAATAGATTTCCAGGAAGTTTGTTTGTTTTTGGTAAAGTAAAGAACAAAAAATTAAATGTTTATGATTCATGCTCTCTTTATTTTGAAGATTATTACAAAAAAATATATTTATCATATGAGAATGGAAAATATTCTGATTAAGAAATAATATAAGAGTGTTAAGTTGTTATGAGGAAATATTTAGAATTAGAATCGAAAGATTATAATTATGAGTTTGTTGAGAAGTAATATGCATTTGAGATTGCAGATATTCCTACAACTAAATAAAAATATTTAGAGGTATCTTACACTTTAAAACATAAATCTACAATGCCAGTAAGATTAGAGAGTCGTATTTTTAGATATGCATTATAATCTACATAGACATTAGTTGAATAATTTTTGATATATAATAAAATAAGAGGACCTTGTTGGTTAAAAATAAAAACTGGCAAGACTCTTTAATCAAAGGATTTTAGTCTGAAAACCTAACATCAACTTTAATTGCCTAATAATGGGTTTGAAGTATATTAAAAAGAATTGCCACTTCCAAGTTTAAAATTATTAAGTTTTTCTCTTACTTTATGCAAAATGGATAAAGATGAACAGATTATTGCTATTTCATACACAGTTTAAAATAATATTGATTTAAATGATGCTGAAATACCTGAGTAAATGTATCATTAAATTCTTGCTCGAATGCCAAATGATGCTCCTTTACCTCCTGGATACATAAAAGGATAAAATAAATAAGTAATAGATTTTGATTCAGAAAAATAAATGTTATCTTAATTTTTATAAAATGTAGAATAAATAGATCCTGATGCATTAGTAGGTCATGATATATAAAAGAGGTATCTTGAACAACTTTTTGCCCGTATTACTAAGTTAAAGGTTAATGAATGGAACAGAATGAATAGATTACAAAAGAAGTATACAGAATAGATGCCTAAATAAATATTTTTGAGAAACAAATATGTAACTATTGGTAGATTAATTATTGATTTATGGATTTAATCAACAAGTATGATAAAAAGCAATGATTACAGTATTACATACTTAGCCAAAGAATATTTGAACTAAGATTGTAAGTAATTAGAATCTGATGTTACTGAGAAATATACTTAGAATCTTGGAGGTTATTAAACATTATTGCAACTAAGTTAGAAAGAGCCTAAATTTACTATTTAGATCATGTAAAAACTAAATATCATTTCTTTGACTCGACAATTAACAAATATTTGTGGAAATGTTTGGAACAGATCTTTACTTAATCAACGTGCTGAGAGAAATGAAATGTTATTAATGCATGAATTTTATTTAAAAGGATTCTTACTACCAGATAGAATGAGTAAGATCAATTTATCAGAGGAAGAGAGAGATCATTAAATTAAAGAATAAGAATAAAAAAAAACTTATGGGGGTGGATTAGTTTTTGAACCAAAAGCAGATATTTATACTTAATATGTTTTACTTTTAGATTTCAACTCATTATATCCATCAATTATTATGGAATATAATATTTGTTTCACTACTGTTTAGAGGGATAAAATAAACTTTGAAGTTGATAACACTTAATTAGAAGAAGAATCAACAGAGAACAAAAACTAAAAACCTAAGAAGAACAAAAAAAAGAAGGATGATATAAATTAAGAAGAGAATAATTTAGATTTATAAAATGAAGATTTTATTGGTTAAGTGGATCCAGATGCTGATAAAGGAATATTACCATAAATTATTGAAAAATTAGTTGAAATGAGAAAGTAAGCTAAGAAAGATATGAGCAGATCTACAGGGTTAATGTAAAAAAATTATAATATAAAATAATTGGCTGTTAAATTAGTTGCAAATTCAATCTATGGTTGTTTGGGATTTAGCAGTTCTAGATTTTATGCAATTGGAATAGCTTCATTAATTACTAGAAAAGGCAGAGAAATACTTATAGATTCAAAAAATACTGTTGAAAAATAGAATGATGTAATCTATGGTGATACAGATTCAATGATGATTTGTGCTAGATAAGAGAAAAAATTAGGAGAGATATTATAATTAGGTACTTAGATTGCAAAAGAAATTAATAAAAAATACAAAAAATTGGTTTTAGCTATTGATGGAGTCTTTCATACACTTTTACTAATAAAGAAAAAGAAGTATGCAGGAATTAAAATTGATAATTTAGAAGATTTAATTGCTGGAAAAGCTTAGGAAGAAGTCTTGAAAAGAGAAGTTAAAGGTATTGATATTGTAAGAAGAGAATTTTGTGATATATCTAAGAAAATTCAATCTTATGTTTTAGATATACTACTTGAAACTAAAAATAGAGATGATATACATGCGAACATAATTGATTTAATGTAAGAAATCAGATAAATGTTTGATGGATTAAAGGGAGATCCAAATTTAGATCCTAAATAATTAATATTATAAAATAAGTTTTTGAAATATGAGATTCCTATTTCAGATTTTATCATAATAAAACAATTAAATAAAGCTCCACATGAATATGCAGATAGTTTAAGTCTTCCTCATGTTTAAGTTGCATAGCGAATGGTTAAATAGGGGAGATCATCTTAAAGTTTGGCTCATCATTTCATTCGATATGTGATTTGTGATGATCCTAGTTAAAAGAATATATCTTTGAGAGCCTATACTGTTGAAGAGTTATAAGATCGTAATTTAAGCATTGACTATAACTATTATCTTTCAACATAGATATTTGATCCAGTAGTACGACTTTGTAAAAATGTTTAAGTCATTTCTATATCAGAGTTGTCATAAATCTTAGGACTTAAATCATATCAATAAAAAATGTAAGATTATATTAATATTGCTTAGTAATTTGAAATCAGAATTCTAAGATGTTTAATTGGAGGAAAATTAGGAAGATTTCTTAGAACATATTAAAGGTTTTTCTTTCAAGTGTCCAATATGTAAGGAAAATTATGAGTACTCATTATTTTTTGATAAACAAAAACTATTCCTTAAATAAATAAGTTGTTAAACCAAAAACAGTTTATATAGCCTTGAAAATTTAAAATCAATATCCAATCAAACTAAACTCTAAATTAAAAAGGATATTTCTAATAATTATTATAAAGGATATCTTAAGTGTAAGTAAGGTAACACAGAAAACATTTCAACAAATTTTTGCCGAAAAGGAATCTGTTTCGGAATTTGTTGTGAAAATAAATAAGGAAAAAAGTTAGTACATTTGATTAATGAATAAACTGTTAATGAACAAGCCAATCTACTAACATAATTTTTAAATAAAATCTTATCAGAGATCAATAAAAAAGAATAATCAAATAAAAATAAAACAATTAATTAAATTCAAGAGGAAAAGTAGTTTACTTAACCATTTTGCATTGTGAAATTAAATGAAATTTTAAGAAAATTTAAAATTTGAGATTATATGAATATTATCAAACCTTTGTTAAACAAATGCAATTATAATCTCTTCCTCTAAGTTCTTGGTTTTTGATATTTTCAGCTCTAAGAGATGCTGCTCTACTAATTCTATCTACTGCACCAAATAATCTTTATTATGTATTTTAGCAAGGATTAATGGTTCTTTTGTGCATCCATTTAGAATCCATTTCAAAGGTTTAAACAGGGTATTGACCTAATTTTCTAGTTTGATTTATTTAATTTAGAGAATCATCATATTTTCTATTATCAAATTCAATGTTAGGATTAGCACTTGAATATTTTTCCAAAGCTCAATATATAATATTTTAATACATTAATATCTTTTAATAGAATGAATAATTCGATTTTCTTGTTTTTATTGATATTTTTGATGTTCCTCTTTGTACAATTCTGAATTTAGAATAGTTGGATTATCAATACCAATGATTCCTGATCTAATATTAAAAATACTCATACTTATAAGCTTATCTAATTTTTCTATAAGCTTTATTGGCTTCACTAAATTCTTCTCTCCATTAATGAAATCTTTAATATGATGATTAATTTACTTTTTTTGTTATTCTTATGTTTGTTTAAGTTCAGCTAAATAACCAGATGGTTTTTTAAGTGTTATAATTTATGATAAGGCAAGATTTTGTTCATCATAGTTTTTTTCTGGTAATTGTAATCTTTTTTTTATAACTTCTTATGAATGATTGATAGGATGATCAGAAACAATATGATTAATTTTGCTCATGTTCAAGTAATCAATATATTCTGGTATAATTCTAGGTTGTTATCTACGAAAAAAGAAACTCTAATTCTAACCACTTCCAACAAAAACTGCTTAGTTATCAAGTTCTTAAGTTTATTATAGACTAGAGTATTTGCTCTATTTTAGAAAGGTATCTAAGTGCTTAGCATCCCAACTACTTCCAGATAATGAACTCTAGTTCTCTTCTATTAGAGGTTAACTAATTAAATTGAAGTATAATATTACTTCATTGATCTTGATAAACTAGACTAAACACTAGGCATCATTTTAACTGTTTTAGTTTAGGCATCATGCTCCATTCTATAAAAATCACGAAAATTATGTTTTCCTACATCTTATATCTTCTCCTTCTATCTAAATAACATTTAATATTGTGATTTTTTATTATAAGGATCAAGTTACAATATAAACTTAGTATATTTTAGTTTGCTCTTTCTTATATTCCTAATTAGCCAATCAAATTACAGAATAGACACATTAAGTATTGAGTATTCAAGTTTTATTTTTCAAATTAATAAAAATGGCACCATCAAAATCACCAAAGGCAGACGCTGCAAAAAAGACAGTTAAGACAGTCAAGACTAAGAAAAATTCAGATGAAAAAAAAAAGGCAAGAAGAAGATAAGAGACATTTGCTCTTTACATTTATAAAGTCTTGAGATAAGTGCACCCAGAAATTGGTGTTTCAAGAAAAGCTATGAACATTATGAATTCATTCATAAATGATATCTTTGATAGAATTGCCCTTGAAGCCAGCAAATTGGTTAGATTTAATAAGAGAAGAACACTTAGCTCAAGAGAAATCCAAACAGCAGTCAAATTGCTTCTTCCAGGAGAATTGGCTAGACATGCCATCTCTGAAGGAACAAAAGCCGTCACCAAATACACAAGTGGTTGACTTATAAAATTTAATTCATATTAAATAAAAATACCTCCATTTTCCCATTCATACAATCTCATTCATTCTTCTTCTATTTAATTATATCTAATTCATTTACAAGAATATATATCAGTAAATATGTTATTCAATCCTCTTTTTATATTATATCATTTACAATTCTCTAAAACACACACAAATAATTCAAAATTTTAAATTTACCCTCACTATTTATTTTACAATCAAATTATGAAATAAGCTAAATAAAAACATACAAATAAAAAAATTTTATTCTGGAATTATTATTAAATATAATTTCCATAAATTTTATGGGATTTTCATCTAAAGTAGGAAGATTAGCTATTTTTATTTTCTTCGTCGGATTTGCAATCCATCAATTACAAAATCCTTAAATAGCTATTAAATAAACCCATGAAAAAACTAATCAGTGTCTCAATTTAATTGCATAATTTACAAAAACTACATCAATAGTAATTACATTATTTAACTTAGCAATTCTCATTAGATTCTATCCCCTTAATTGTATTTACTTGTGCTTTATTGAAATTTTTTGTCGGTATTGGAGTATTACTTAAATGGAACTATGTAAAATTAATTGGAACTATTTATTTAATTTCAGCTATATTAGTTGTTTATAATCCGATCCTTGCACAATCTTTTAAAGATTCCATCATGCTTGTAGGAGCTCTAGGAGCTTTACAACTTGTCTGATTTATAAAAGTTAAAATGTATATTTTATATGTTAAAATTAAATTTTTAATCATTCATATGTTATTCTAGTAAGTTTATAAATCTTCTTAATGAATTTTAATCATAACTTATGTTTAATAATAATATTTTATATATCAAAAATTTTTTAAGTTAAAAAATTATCAATTAAAATACATCATTATATTGGTTAATCCACATCTAATCTATATTTATCTATATTATGAAAAAAAAATATACAATTAAATATAACAAGAAATTTGAGTAAACTTTTCAATCAATACTTGTATATTAACTTTTTAAATTATTTCTAGAAATAAGGATTGAATTAAAGGTCTAAATAACAATTATTTATATACATCTTTTTAGATAAGTACTTGAATATGTACTTTTTTATATATTGAGAAATATTTAATAGAGTAACTATTAGAGTATTGTGTCTACTATATAGAGAACATTTGTAATTGTTTAAATTTGGTTCATCATGTTAATTTAGGATTAAAGTTACTTAAATTCATACAAATTGAAATATATTTATATTAAAAGAAATAAATTTCTCCTTGAATAAATAATAATAATTAATGAAAATATTGAAACCGCCTCTCTAGGTTAGAGAAAAATAATGGGACAATCGTTTTTATTTAGGAAAGCTAAGTGATCATGAAATTAAGAAATAGTTTATGATTAAGAAGAAATCAGTAAAAAGACCTACATCTACGAATAAAATTGTAGTCGATGAAAAATCATTAGCAATTAGACTTTATGATTTATAATTATTATGGGAATAGTTTCGTATACCTTAATTTCATAGGGCATACTTTCTTCAATATAATGAAAAAGATCTTGATGCTATTTTAAGAGAAACTAATGAAATAAAGTTAAAGTAGTCAATTGTATAAAAGTTAATGAGCTTAATTAAAGGTAGAGAAAGATGTTTAAATTATTTAAAATAAGAAACATTTGAAGAACATAAATTCTCAGAGCTTTTATTTCATCTAAGAATTTTAACAGTCAATGTTATTGAGAATTTTAAAAAATGGAGAGATTCTTTAAATAGATGTGTTCGGTGGAGATTAGATGAAATAGATTATCTCTAAAAATTAAGAGGAGATATTGATTTTCTAAAGGAATATTATTAAGAATATTAAAGAGATCCATTTTTATTATGGCTGTATAAATTAGGTAAGGTAGATTCAGTTCATTCGAATTATCATTAAATATAAAAAGATATGATGAAAAGAATTCGTGATTGGTAATCATATAATTTAATATATTTTTAGTGAAATTTTACTCATAGAAAATGATTACTTTGATATGTAAACAAACATTTTATCAAGAAAGGAAGCCTAATTGATAAATAAATATTTAAGAGAATCTACAATTTAAATGGAAGAATAGCAAAAGAGTTAAGAATTACAGACTTAAAGTCCTCATCTAAAATAAACAAAAACAGTATAAATTTTGGATAATTTAAATGTTGTTTAATAAGTTGTAAAAAATAAAGAGCAATTTAACAAATTATTGAATTCAGTTAAAAATGATAGTGATATTGAGAGCTCATTTCCTATTAGAGAAAATTTATTTGAATTGATTGACTTTTCTGATTCTTATATTTTAGCTTTAATGTAGAATCAAAAAATGAAAGGTATTTGTATTACATAAAGTGAATAATCTGAATAATATCGAAAGATCATAATTGAATAAATTAAATTGGAAAATATTTAATTGTTTCCTTAATTTATTTAATAAATAAATAATTATTTAAAAGGAAATGAAATAACAATAAAATTAGTTCATTATATATAGAATGAAAAATTGATTGATTGTGAATATTTAAAAGTTGCATTAAAATAAGAAGGATTTAGATGGAAACAGTAAACAAATGATTGTGAAAGAAATATTAGATATACAATATATTATAAGAAAAAAGAATATTCACAGCAATAGATGAATCAATTTAAATTTAATTTTCATGTTCATAGTATAAAATTAAACTAACTGATGCAATTAGTTCACAATAATATTCATGAATAATCTGATTTAGCTCAAAAATTTAAACGTTATGCAGAATCAAGAAAAACTGAACATAACCCTCCTTAAATTAAATTGAAGCCTTTTATAAACAATGACAGAGTTGTTCTACTTGATTTAAAATGTAAATTACCATTATTTGCTACTGAAGTTAGGAATGAATATAAATATTACAGAATTGTATTCAAATTATTTATAATTAGATTTATGATCCTGACTTTAGTAATATATCTTCTATGTTAATAGATGAACAAACTGTTTATGCTATATCATTATTAAATAATGATTACAAAATTCTAATTTCTAAAGATTAAATTAGTCAAGAATCTATTAAATTTAATTAGTTTTAACCAACAACAGAAGACATTTCAATTCCAATGTTTTGTTATAATGATGAAATAGCGGATATATTTAATCATCATATTCAAATTTAATTTGAACACTTAATCTTAATAAATAGAAAAGTGAATACTGAATAATAATCAATTGAAATAAAACCTGAACCTTTTTATTTTTCAATATTGTATGAAGATCATATTATAAATTCATTTAAAATAAAGGAACATAATCTAATAAAGTTTAAGCCATTAAAATCTTAAGTAAACATTAGTGGAGATATCAAAATTGATGAATCTAAATTAATTTTACCATCTTTTCCATTAATTGTCAAAAACTTTGAAAATGAACCATTTAAAATAATTATTAAAAATAATGAATGCATATGTGCTTTAGACAATTATGCAAATACTAGAAAATGGATTATTTATACTATAAGTGGATGTGAAGAGAATCAAGTTAAAGATGTGCTTGAATAGTTAATAACTTAATTGACCATAATTGATCCAAATATTCAAGAAGTTGGTATTGAGTAATTTATATTAATAATTTTTAGTTTCTATCATGAATTGGTGAATGGAGAATTTATTGTGAATAAAAATATCTAGAAATAACTTACATCTCTTGGTTTTAAGTGGAAAATATAGATAAATGAAGCTAATGAACATACAAGATTTACTAGATATTTGTTAAAATTACAAAGGGAGACTTAGATTGTTGATAACATAGTGTGTCAATATTTTTGTACATAAGATTTTGCAGATGTCAATATCCAGCCTTTAATTTAATAATTTTCTATATTTTATTAAACTTTGACTCAATCTCAGTTAGTTGTAAAGAGGGTATTAAATTTAATTATTATGTAGAACAATTTAATTCCCTTCTCAAAATATTATAATAAGGATATTCCTCCTGAATTATAGAGTGATCAAATGTTAGAAACTAAGATTTCATAATTATTATAGAGTTGCAAATATGGAACCAAAAATAAAATAGATTATATAATTTTTAATGTAAATGTGTTATTCAATATTAAGAGTCAAGTCGTTACTTGTAATAAACATCAGGATTTGGGAACCATTTATTTTATTCAACTTTTTGATGTTATTTTATGTTTCTATCAATTAGAGAAGGAGCTAAATACAGAACAAATAGCTAATATGATTTTACAAGTATTTATTTAATTTATCATAAGTCTACAAGTGATGAGAATTAGTAATAAGAAAATTTAGGTGTTGAATTTATTCAATATAAAAAAGCTGGTAGTAATTATTCATTAGAGATAAATTTGGATATCGAAAAACATGCTTCAATTGAAATTCAAGATTTTAAGACAATATCAAAACCTTACTTTATTGGCATAATAGAACCTAATTGGTATGAGAAACATAATTAGATGATTGCATCAATGATAATTTTATGAAATTTATTTTATAATGTTAATTAATATCGGAGCTTTTTATTTTAAGTTTTTGTAAATTTGCATTATTATATAATATTCATTATTATTATAATATTCATTCATCTTTTAAATCCAAATACTTATACTTCCATTTTTGAGCAAATTGATCAAATTCTGGAAATTCAAGACAAGCAATCCCATAAGTGGTTAATATAAAAATAGAACAAATCATAAAAGGACGAAAGTATCTAATATTCTTTCCAAAAGATAAACTATCAAAATCATGATAGAAAAAGTGAAAATCTTTTAACATTCCTTTTCCAAGTTTCCAATTATCCATAATTTAATAATATTTATAAATTTTATGAATATTTTTGATGATCAATAACGAAATGTAAAATATGTTAGATTTAGAACTGAATAATTCGTTACCTCATCAATTTAAGCATTTCTAAAATGAACTCAATTTGAACTATTTTTTTATTGTCATTGTCATCCTGATAGATTTATAAAATAAGAATGTATTAAACTCAATTATAAGAAAATGATTATATGTCCATAATGTGTTATATTAATCATGATCTTTATTATTAAGAGCAAAGAGAATATGGTTGAATATCTTCATTTCTTAGAAATATTTGATTCAAAGAAAAATTCTCTAGAAATTGCATTATAAATGTATTATATGTAGTTGGATAAGGAACTAAATATTTTTTAAGAAATAATTGGATGTCTGAGCCAATTAATTATTACATGCTAAATTATAGATTTTGTTAATTAATAAAATTTATTGAAACATGTTATGCTAAAAATAAATAAGATTATTGAAATTGATACTGTGAATGAATTTTATTAAAGGTAAGTATTTTTGATTGAAAAGCACAGCATTCATGATTCTCAAATGGATTAATTTGTAAAAGCTTAAATTTCATAATAATAGGAGATAAGAATTTAACAGTCTATGATGATGATTAAGATACAAAATAAAGGATTGAAATCATAAATAAATAATATCTATGCTACGAACATCTTATGTTCAAGGAGTATGTAAATTTTAATGTTTAAGAAAAGAAGTTTTATAAAAACATTGAAATTAGGCTGTGAATCTTAAAATAGTATTCATGATTATAAATAGAAATGATCAAGAGTGACACTTTTTGAAATTTCTTATGAAGCTATATTGATATTATGATAATAATTGCATTTTAAATTGATTCCTTATATAAATAAAATAAATAGCAATATCTTTGTTGATTCTAAATTCTATACCTTAATGATATATCCAGTTATACAATTCAAAGGAATAATAGTATTAAGATTGGTTTTAAATTTTAGTTTGAAATGAAATTTGATTATAAAATTAGTATAAAGTAGAATAGATATATAGTTATGACGAACTTATTAAAAATATCTTGAGAGCATAATAAGATAATAAGAGGAAAATAAATAAATTAAAAATCTTATGTTCTAATTGTATGAAAATGCTGAGAATTCAACCTACTCTTTTGAGTTCAAATTGGATTTAACATTGTTAAATGTGTTGAGATCATTTACACATAAGGATCATGAATTTTAGGAAGGTATAAATTAATAAGATTTAAGGATATTTGGAATAAATATATGCATTGTTGTATTATTATTAGGGGAAGCCAGAGAGTGAATTGTTTTCAGAGTATTGTGCTTAGAAAGGAAATCACACAATTGAAGCTTTAATATTTTAAGGTAAGAATATATAATAATAAAAAAGTACATTATTATATTGCATCTGTGGCAAATTTAAACTAATTGGTGGGATAACTTAAGATAGATGAGAACAAAGTGATTCCATTATCTAGAAGTGATATTAATAAGACAAACATATTATCAGTGCATTCAATCACAGATAGAGTGGGTTCAATAAATAGTACAGTATTGGTGAGTAAATCATAGACTATGAAACCAGAATATCTAGATTTAAGGGTAAAGATCTGTACATTTGAAAATAAAGAGGAAGGAGTGTTATCAATAGATTACAATGTACTTTCGTTGGCAATATAAGCAAAAGGTAAGTTGGATCCATTGGTTGGAAGTCATTTGGCAAATAAATTAAACAAAATGTTTAAATTGGAATTGTATCATATTTTATTGCATTTTGCTGATAAGAAGGGGTAAGTGACAGAAAATTATGATGAAAGATGTATGATAATAGTGAATGGTGTTAGTAATTTCTCATTTCACAAAAAGTAATATACAGAATTGAGAGATAAATTTATAAGACTCTCACATGGAAATATAGAAAAGAATGTGGATGAAATCACAAAGTTATTAATGGATTTAGATTAGGATGTAGGTAAATCAATTATAGCAAGAGATACAAAGAGTAATCATTATTTAGAGAAGTTATTGGTTGGTTTATTGGGAAATCAATTATAATTGATAAGAGATTAAGCAGTAATTTTATTGAACATTTTATATGATGGTGTAGATTGGTAAAAGAGAGTACCATTCAAACCAAAAATATCAAAAGTTGGATCTAAATTTGACATCTAATATTTATTTGAATATGATTCATCATATCCTTTAAGTTCCATAGTAATCTTATTGAAGAGTTACATTTTTGATTCTGGATGTAAATAGAATATAGTATCATGGCATAAACCTAAATTAAATGAATATAGTAGTTAAGGTGATAAAAAGTATATGGCTTTTAAGATGGATTTTGGTAGATTCAAGAGATGTGGTTTTTATGATTGGAAATTAATTAGAATGACAAATTCAGGTAAATTGCAAAGTATTCAGAAAATTATGAATTTGGATGAATTGAAAAGTAATGTAGAAATATCAACATTATAAATGATGGAAGCAAAACCCATTTAGGGAAGATTTATAGTACATCCTAGAGACTCAAAAAATTTATAAATTCATGAGATATATGTAGATTTATTGGATGCAAAACCAGATAATTAGGGAAAGTTTACAAAGAGAGGTAATTTTAGAAAGGTTCGTGAAAAGATACCTGATTTGGTATAGTAAGGAATAAATTGTGTTTATTTAATGGGTACTTTAGAAAGAGATAATGGATTAATGATTGATAATGATAAGTAATAGAAATTATTTAAGAGACCAGATGTGAGTCCTTTAGCAATAACATGTAGATTAACTCCAAATTAAATGTTAGGAGGTAAGGAAGAATTCTTATAATTAAATAAAGTAGCTTCATAGAATAAATTAAGAATAATAATAGACATGGTAACAAGAATAAGTAGTGCAAGACCACATAGAAGATATCGTAAGGATTTAGTATTTAGATTGGATGAGTAAGGAAGGTAAGTAGCAATGTTTGGTACTGATGGAAGGTCTTTGCATTTTGAAGATACAATAATTTTGAATAATAGAAAAAAGAGAGTATGGGATGAATTAGTCGAGGAAATGATTGAATTAACATCTTAGTATAATATATAAGGAGTTCATTTAGATAATGGATCTTCATGGCCATAGATATTTTCATTAGATTTAGATGAGATGTATAGAAAAGATAGTGATGGAAATCAAGCATATTGTAATAAGTAAATTTTCAATGGAGAAATCTGTTTATAAAATGAGGATTGTGGTTATTGGGGTTCAAGTGTTAAGAATTCTTATCCTAATCCATTTTTGGTTAAGATTTGTAAATCATTATGGAGTAAGTTTCCTAATTTCTTGATTGTAGCAGAAGCTTGGGGTGCAATGGGAGAATAGGAAGAAAGAGAAATAAATCTTATATAAAGTGGTGTAATCCCAAGATTATTTAAATTGCCAATAGCTATAGCATCAATATTTGGAGAGAATTTAAAAAAGGATGGTACAATGGTTAAGATGGAGAGAATGAATGTTAATGTAATTAAGAAATGGATTGAGTATATATCTAAGTAATATCCAACTGGTAGTATTATTGTTTAAAGTACTACATATAATTCATGGCCATATCCTGCTTTAATTTATAAGAGAGGTACTTGGGCAGCAGTGAATTTATTCTTTACTTTATAAGATATTCCAATGACTTTTATGGGAGAAGAAGAAGGATTTGCATTTCGTGAAAAGACAACTAATGTTTTTAATTATGTAACAAAACATGAGACTACATAAATCAAATTATAAGATCCTACTTAATAAAAAACACCATAGAGATCACTTAAAAGAGCAGAATCTTATGTTTAAACGAATGAAGATTATGGATTTGGATATAATACATTGACTCATTAAGTATAGTTATAGATTGCTTAATCACCTGTTAAATCAAATAATGGTTAACCTGTTAGAGTATAAAGTGGTTCATCTTTATCATAAATGGATATTTCGAATATCGCAACAGCTTAAGAGAACTTTAGAAAAGAGATTGGGCCTTAATTTGGATTTGATATATAGTAAATTGGAAAACATTATATTCATGTTAGATAAATGAGAAAATAACATAAAGTCTTAAGAAATGGATAGATGGTTTCTTTATCAGCTGAACATATGTATGGTTGGCATACACATGTATTAGCATTTGCTAGATATTCTAAAGAGGAAATGGCATTGATTGCTATTAATTTCAATGATGGTGAAATTGATATGTTTATGAATCTTAGAAATTTAAGATATTATTTTCCAAATTCAGAGAGATCTAATATTGTAGTAAGATTAAGGAATTGGTCATATCCAGAATTAGAGAATGAGGAACTTAGTTATTTTTATATTGGAAACTTTTTGACATCTAGATTAGAAGTTCATTTAAAGAATTTCTAATCTTAAATTTGGGGAGTAGAAATCTTAGGGAATACTTAAGAGGTCTAATAAAAAGCATAGAAAAGTTCATTGATTCGATTATAACAAAAAATGTCATCTAAGATTCCATTAACTATCTATGGAAATGATGCTGCAAATAAATTAACATTATTAACAGATAATCTAGATTCTTTATAATAATTTATTAATGGATTTTCTCACTATTATAATTAAGTGATCAAACCTAATAATTTTGATTTAAACAGATTAATAAGTTCAATGAAAGACTTTTAATCTAATAAAGTTAGATTGTGTAAATTGTTTGGATTCTTCTAATCAATATTAAAGACTTAAGATACGAATTTACCATTTTATGATACATTATAACAGTTGATAAATCTGAATAAATTAGGTCCAATTTGTTTTTGTACTCCAGAATTAGGTAAATGGACTACAACAGGTGGTTTAGGTGTAATGGTAGATGAATTAACATAAGAATTAGCTAAAATGAATGAAGAAGTAATTTTGATCACTCCTTATTATCATAGAAATAAAAAAGGAGAAACAGGATATATTTTGAGTGATGGATTCAAACATCTTAAAAATATTGAAATATGGATGTAAGGAGAGAAAGTAATTTTGGGTGTATTTGAAGGAGTTTTCAATGGAGTAAGATTATTTTGGTTACACAATGAATAATACTTCCCATCAGCTTATGCTGGTGAAGATGCAAGTTATGTAATGAAATAATTGACAGTTTATGCAAAAGGATGTTTAGAATTATTATGTTAGATTAAATTATTCCCATCTTTAATAGTATCTAATGATTGGTTCTGTGGATTAATACCAGGATATCTTAGAGTTAGGAGATATGGAGAAGCATTCGCGGGTACAAAATCATTCCATATTGTTCACAATTTGGATCCATTATATGAAGGCAGATTATATCCAAAACCAAATGATGGAACATTAGATTACATTCATGAACTTCCAAATGATTTTTTAATTGATCCTTTCTGGTAGAATTTAGTTATTAATCCATCGAGATGTCCATTAATAACTTGTGATAATTGGGGAACAGTTTCTTAATCTTATAAATATGAATTATTAGAATCATCTCCATTGGCAAGTGTATTAAGGAAACATCCTCATCCTTTTGCTTTCCCAAATGGTATAAGAAGAGAATAAAGATTTAAGGTTATTATGGATAAGACTAATAATGATCATTTGAAAGCAAAAGAATAATTATAAAAGAAATATTTTGGATGCACTTAATTAGAAAATCATATAGTTGTATTAGGTTTTGTTGGAAGAGTTACAAAATAAAAAGGAGTCCATCTCATATTAGAAGTAGCTGAAGAACTAATTTAAAGAAGTCAAGGAACTGTTTAAATATTGGTTGGTGGACCAGCTGATATGAAAGAAGAATATAGTGCATATTGTGCTTAGAATATGATTAGATTAAAATCTATATATCCTAGAAATTTCTGGGCAGATCCATCTGCATTTTTTATGGACGGTACTTTAGTAAATGTTGGATGTGATTTTGGATTGATGCCATCATTATTTGAGCCTGGAGGTATTGTTTAACATGAATTCTTTATTGGAAGTACACCAGTTATTGCTTTTAAAACTGGAGGATTAAGAGACACTGTTCATGAATATGATTAGAAATAATAAAAAGGATCAGGATTCATATTTGATGTTTACAATAGAGGAAACTTTCTTTATGCCATAGACAGAGCTCTATAATTATATAAGAATTAAGAATAGTATACTCAATTAAGGAAGAATGCTTTTGATGCAGCTATTGATGTAGCAGATGTTAGTAGAGCCTGGGCTTAGGAATATTATAGGTTATTTGAAAAGAACTTTATTGATAAAGAATTAGTTTAATAAATGGTTGGTTAAATCCAATAAGATTATAAAGAACTTAAAGAATAAGAATTATTTACAAAAGAGGAAGGAAGAGTAATAATATATTTAATATCAAAATCTAGGTATTTTCTAATTCTGATAAAACACTTAAGAACTTTGAAAGAATTCTAGCTCATGCTAAGAGATCTAATTTGAGATTGCATCAATTTGTGTATAGATCTACTAGATTGTTGTAACCAAGACAAGTGGCTGTGTCTGGTTCATTTGATGATTGGAAGGAAAAGCACAAATTGAAATTTGACCATTTCTCTAAAGTATGGAATGTCACTTTGAAAATGCTCCCTGGAGAATATTAGTATTGAAATCCTTTTTATTTTTAGTTACAAATTCTATGTAGATGGAGAATGGATTTGCACTGATGATGATCTTAAAGATAATGACATCTACGGAAATATTAATAATTTTATTATAATTTAATGAGAAAGTAGAAATCATGTTATATGATATTGAATAATCATATAATAATAAATATCAATTATGTATTTTAATCAATTCAAATCTCATTCTAATTATAGTTATTATTTAATTCAATATTTAAATCACTGATCAGATTCTATTCATTCTCCATTAATATTAAATCTCCATCATTATTAATCACTCCAAATTACTTTACTTGTCTTTATTACTAAGGTGGAGAATCATTTAAATCTTCTGAAGAAGATTCTCTAATTTATCTTCTTGGAATAATATTATCTATATCATCTGTCTCTTCCACTTTCACATCTTCAAATGGTTATACATCTTCTATCTATGCGCATTCTGAATACTAATTTTTATCTGAACTAACTTAATCTGATTTTTCTTTTAAAAACTACATTAGTTTATTATTATTATTTTATTCTCTCATCTATTCTTATCCTCCATTCGAAAATTCTATACAGCTGTCAAAAACATCCAATCGTTCTGTACTACATTTTGTTGAACAAATTCTACTAGATCTTCTCATTTGTGTTGTTTCTATTAAATCAATATATAATCTTTTACTCTCTCTTTTTTATCTTCTTTATATAAAGTTATCATCCTATCTTTTTAAATCTTCCTCAATCACCTTCTAATTTTAATGCGAAGTCTTTTGATATCCTTATATCATATTTTCTAAACTATTCTTATTACATTCTATTTAATCTTAAATTTCCATTGCTATCTTTGCCTTTGTCTGCCGTTCTCTTTTCTTCTATTCTACACAAACCACTTACTATTCAATATTATTATATTCATACTTTTGCTTTTGTACTCTCTTGACTATTTTCTATACTTTTTATCTCTTAAATTTATAAACTTTAAGTCTGAATAGCTATAAATGTACCTTGATCTTGATTTATTTTACGAATGGTCTTTAATGCTCTTTGACATGCAAATAAAGATTACAATTTCTCATTAAAATAATATCCAACTGGGTCCTATTTTTAGCTGTTATTATTACTTGAATACTATCATAATGTTCTATTAAAACTGCATATAAATCAACTAATTTTTGAATCACATCATATTTGTCTGAACCCTTTTAATATCGATCTTCAAAGGCAAGTAACTCTTAAAATAGATCATCTAATTTATATGGAATCGAGAAGTACTCGTAATTGGCATTGTATTTTTAAATTAAAATTAATTATTTATAGTTTCAAATGCAATTACTACTATTCTTCATTAGTAATTGAATCATGATTACAATTGAAATAAATGATCTCCAACCTTTAACAATCCATTTCTTAATTAAGTACATTAACCTGGCAACTTAATCCTTTATAGTATCATCTCTTCTTCCTACTCAACTAGTTCATCCAAACTCAATAATGAATTTTCTTTAGATATCTCAACTATATCCTTATTCACTTTAATAAAATAATCATTAAGAAATCCACAATCTTGATTCTTACATTTTGTCAAATTTTACATTGCTGGTAATAATCCACAATTATATAAAGAAATATACACTTCAGAATATTTAAAATATCCCGATCTAATTCTAGCTTTATGCTATTGCATTCTTCTATCTTTTAAATCATTTAATTAATAACAAAATCTCTGCATTTCAGTCTTGTACATCAATTTCACCATAACCATTTTATTTGTTATGATTATTCTGTAAATCTATGCTGCATTCTAAAACTATTCTACTAAATAATAGGTGTTTTCTCTATATTTAGAGATTCCTGTTATTTGATCCAATCTGATCTAGTACTCAATCTCCCATTTCTATCCAGATTTTATATTCAACAAAATCACCTTCTTCTCTTAATCTAATATATAGTTTGTATCAAGTAAAAGTGTTTGATTCGATATCGGGATAGGAATTTGAATTAATTTAAAAATTTCCTATTCCATCATAAAATTTATTATACTTTGTTATAATCAATTCTAATTTCTTGAAAATATAAGTTTTTTAATTTCACTTTATTACTAAAGTATTCTATTTTTACTTCTTCGAATCAAAAATATTGATCCCAAACAATTAATTTATTATTATATTCAAATTAATAGAATATTTTTTAATAAAGTCATTAATCAATTGCCATCTATCTCTTAACTGCAGCTAAAAATAAAAAACCTTTCAGGAGATTATGTTCACTATTTACCATTTTAGATGCTTCTGTAACTATGTATTCATTCTCCTCAGATAACTCATAATCCACAGGAATTCCTAAAAGCTTTTGATAAGTTTTCTCACCAAAACTGAAAAAATTATAAAAAGTATTTTCATCATCAAGACTGCTACTTAATTCACAAAGATTAGTATTCTCATTTAGAGTCTCATCTTTTTGAATTATATCAAGTAATTTATCACTTTCTGATTATTCAGTCTCGCTCTAAAGTATTTAAATTTCTTCTTTTTTTTGTTCAACAATCTATTTAGTTTATTCTTAATTTTATTATTGTAATATAGCCTATGTCTCTTGTTTCTCATCTATTTAATCTTTATTATATTCTGATTTATGTTTATCTATAAATTGGTGCAATAATTTCTCAAAATTTTATACAAATTCTTATGTTAGATAATAAAATTCATAATGAATCTAAGATTTCTCACTTTCATTTGCTTTCAAATATAATTTTGAATTAGGGATAGATTCTAATAGTTTTTTATGGAAATATTTTCTATCAACTAAATCAGTTCCTGGAGTATATAATCTTTAAGCAAAAAGAGGTTAAAATTCAATTTTTCCTTGATAATTTTTTTTTAATTAAGCAACATAATTTTAAATAGTTAGATCTGTTTTTCCTAATTTTATTATTTTTTTCTCTTCACCATTCCAAATTTAAGTTGCTGTTGTTTCAACCACATAAAGTAATTACCATTTAGGATTTCGAATTTTATAAGTATCTGTAATTTTTTGATCAATTTCCTTGATTTTACTCAATAATTATCCATCATTTTAATTTTTAGTATTTTTATCTAAAAATTGCGGATTATCTGAAAATTTATAAAGATGGATTAATCTTTAATTTAGATCCTCTTCTATTTATTCAAACTCCTCTAATAGTTTATTAATAACATCACTAGATGCTCCTTAAATTGGATTGTTTTAAACTTTCTTTAATATTTCAAGAAAAGCTTTCATAGATATAAACCCATTTTCCTAATATTCAAGTTTGAAATATTGAAAAGGAGCTTCCAACAATAAGTACATTGATGAAAATAATGAAAAATTGATTTGCTTAGACATTAATTCAATCTCTAATAAACAATCTCCTTAAGCTATTTAGTAAGTAATAAAAATTGACTGCCTCCATTATTTTTCTCTAATCGAACGTATACTCATTAAATTAATTATATTAATAATTGAATTAATCTTTAAAATTTATGTATTATAAAATTACGTATATAGAATAAATTAATTATTTCAATAGTCTAAACTTCTCCTTTATATAAATTTAGTAAAAGAAGGTTCCAATTACGTTTAATCAGTATAAATATAGAATTATAAAATTGTTTTATAATTCACTTAATCTTCTTAAAATGTTGATTTATTTTAGATAAAGTTTTAAGAACCAAGAATATTCAGAATGATTAAATTTACAATACATTCTATTTCCACTGGCATCTAAGAGTCCTAATTTATTTATTAATAAAATTTTGATTCAATATTTTCTATTTTATCTTTGTGCTCAAAAGTATACGAAAATTATATCAATTATAAGCCTTAAGATTTATTTTCATTGTTTTCAATTAATACTTAATTTGATATTCCTTTTAAATCAATCTAAAATTCAATAGTGCTCTAAGGTTAAGATATTTATAAAATCTTATTAAAACAATTAATTAACAATTAAGTTAGTAATCTAGTATTTAAATTTAACTATATCTTTTCTACTTAATTTTAGCATATCAAAACGAATGATTTATTGTGTAAATAGCATTAATTTCGAAAATATTCAGAAAAAACATCGATTAATTTTTCAACAAGAAGTGTTTCATATTGCTATTTTAAAAGATACATCTTTCTTTTTGCTTAATAAACTAAAAAGTTTTTTAAGTAAATTAAAGTATATTATATATTACATTATTATTTTTAAAAAAGAAGATCAGTATTTAAATCTTAACTATATCTAAGCTTTATCATTTAGTTATATAATTTTTCCAATCTACTTCCTATACACAGAAGAACTTAATTAAACCTTTCATTTAAATATTTTATTTTTTTTTCATATTTTTCTATTTAAGTTTTTGCTTAATTCTTCTTTATTGAAATAAAGAAAATAGTTTATGTGTATTCAAATCTCAATATATCAATTGTATATTTTTCTTTCTCACTAATACTTTAAATTTAATATCTATCCTCTTTATGATTATCATCATTCTATTAAATTAAATCGAATAAATATTCTTCTAAATTAAGTTATTTGTTTGTTTATTTATTTAATAAATAGCGATTAGAGCCTAAGTTGTTTAGATTAATTATCATTTGAGTTCTCAAAAAATCCCTTACATTATTTTCATTCAAATCAGTTTTATATTTAGATTCGAATTGTTTGTTAGCAAATGATAGCTAAAAGCATCTTTGCTATTCATTGTAAATAATTGCAAATAGATAATCATTAGAAAACTCAAATAAAATTGATCTAAATTATAATATTTTTTTACTATTATGATTAAATTTTTTGGCTAAATAAAAACTATGATCTTCTATTATGTTCAATTAAATATGTAGTGGTACCCAATAAAAAAAACATTGAGACTGAATAAACTAAATATTAAATATATGCAAGTTCAAATGGGACAAATAACACTAAAGTTATCCAATTAGTGATGAGAACATATATTACTTTAAATTTATTGTCACAATATTATAAAACACTGGTAAACAAAATGCCGCATGCAATTCCAAAGTCGTATAACGGACTAAAATAATAAAAAAATCTTACACATTAAATCCTATATAGGCTAGTGAGAAAGCAGCTGGTACATAAGAAGCAAATAAGATTGTCATAATATGCCTTAAACAAAAAATCAGTTTATAGCTAAAGAATAAAAATACCATATGCAAAATGAATAGAACTGTCATAAAACTAATTAAAACAGCCGATTAGCTTTAAACTATAAAAATCAACATAGCAAAAAAGCAGGACAGCATAATAGTAAACAATAATGCTCTTAAAAAAAATAGCCTTTAATTATTAAGGAAATCTTAATATTGTGCTTCATGAATCGGGTTAGTAAACTATAATGTTAATGCTTTTAATAATTATGCCATTTCTTTTTAACTAATAAAAATTATAAAATCAAGAATAAGTACGATTCAAATTAAAAAATATCCTGAGATATTCTTCTAATAATATCTCTATTTCAAAATTTAAGTTGAAGTGTTTTACAATACTTATTAAAAAGTAAAGTTGAAGATAAATTTAAATTTAAGAACTTTCAAAATAATAAAAAATAGTTAGAATATCAAATTGATTATGAAAATTTTAACACTCTATCTTTAATTAGGTTGATCTAATTAATTGTCTTTTACCTTAATTCAGACAGAATTATATTGATTAAAGCGAAATCTTCTTTCAGCATTAATCATTAATTGATAATATAAAATTAAAAATTTTTTATAAAATTACGTTATTTCTTAAAAAAACTTAATTATTTTAAAGAGCGGCATGTTTTTGTATGGGTTCTTTCATTTCAGCATTAAAATTGTTTAAAAAAATATTAGTGAATTTTATATAATATTAATACTAAAAGTTTAAATTTAAGAAAAAAAAATATACTACAGAAAAGTGAATTGAATGAGATAATATAAATAATCTTTTCAATAAATAAGTCAGTTTTCAAGAACTTTTTGTTGATTATATTTAGTAAAAGAGGGATCCAAATAATTTTAATCAGTATAAATATAAATTATCAAAGTTGTCTTATAATTAGATAAATCTTCTTAATATTTAGATTGATTTTAGATAAAGTTGTAAGGACTTAAGATCTTTAAAATTATTAAATTAACAATTTTTTCTACATCAAAGTATTGTAAAGATTGGGAATTATTTGATAAATAAAATTCTGTTTCTATATTTTCAAATCGATGTTTGTGCTCAAAAGTGTACGAAAATTATATTAATTATAAGCCTTAATTCTTGTTTTAATTGTTTTCAATTAATGTTTGTTTTCGTATCCTTTTTAAATCAATCTAAAATTAAATAGTACTCCTAGGTTAAGATAATTTTAAAATCTTATTAAAACAATTAATTAGCAATTAGGTTAATAATCTAGCATTTAAATTAATTAACTTTTATTCAACCTCATATGAACAAATTAATTCAAATTATTTTCTTTGAGTTTAACAATAATGAGCAAAATATCTAGACAAAGATTCATTCAAATTTTCAATTTTAAATTGTTCAATTTATTGTTTCAAATAATGCATTTTTCCTCTTTAGAGATATATTATATGATTTTTTATGTAGTTTAATGTAAACTAAATATTGCAAAAGGATTTTTTCAAAATATCTCCTTAAAAATCCAAATTATTATTCAGCTGTTTTAAATATTTATATTGTTCTTCTAATTAATTACCAATAAGCATAAGAACCGATTTAAGATTTTCATTAAAATATTTAATTTTATGTTCGTATTTTTCTATCTAGAAGTTGATTTAATTTTGATGGATGATTAGAATTATAAAATCTTTTTAATGCTAAGTTCTCATTATATCAATAATGATTTTATCCTAGTCACTTGTAACTTATATGCTTTTCATATTCTCCTCTTCTATAAATTTATCATTGTTTATTAAATCATATAAGTAATCTTCTAAATGTGTTTGTTTCTAAAATGATCTATTAAAGCAATAACTAATTGAGTTTTCAAAATTTTTATTTATGATTGAATAAGTTCTCAAAAATTCTTTATATTAATTCCCATTTTAAGTTTATTTATANAATATAAATTATCAAAGTTGTCTTATAATTAGATAAATCTTCTTAATATTTAGATTGATTTTAGATAAAGTTGTAAGGACTTAAGATCTTTAAAATTATTAAATTAACAATTTTTTCTACATCAAAGTATTGTAAAGATTGGGAATTATTTGATAAATAAAATTCTGTTTCTATATTTTCAAATCGATGTTTGTGCTCAAAAGTGTACGAAAATTATATTAATTATAAGCCTTAATTCTTGTTTTAATTGTTTTCAATTAATGTTTGTTTTCGTATCCTTTTTAAATCAATCTAAAATTAAATAGTACTCCTAGGTTAAGATAATTTTAAAATCTTATTAAAACAATTAATTAGCAATTAGGTTAATAATCTAGCATTTAAATTAATTAACTTTTATTCAACCTCATATGAACAAATTAATTCAAATTATTTTCTTTGAGTTTAACAATAATGAGCAAAATATCTAGACAAAGATTCATTCAAATTTTCAATTTTAAATTGTTCAATTTATTGTTTCAAATAATGCATTTTTCCTCTTTAGAGATATATTATATGATTTTTTATGTAGTTTAATGTAAACTAAATATTGCAAAAGGATTTTTTCAAAATATCTCCTTAAAAATCCAAATTATTATTCAGCTGTTTTAAATATTTATATTGTTCTTCTAATTAATTACCAATAAGCATAAGAACCGATTTAAGATTTTCATTAAAATATTTAATTTTATGTTCGTATTTTTCTATCTAGAAGTTGATTTAATTTTGATGGATGATTAGAATTATAAAATCTTTTTAATGCTAAGTTCTCATTATATCAATAATGATTTTATCCTAGTCACTTGTAACTTATATGCTTTTCATATTCTCCTCTTCTATAAATTTATCATTGTTTATTAAATCATATAAGTAATCTTCTAAATGTGTTTGTTTCTAAAATGATCTATTAAAGCAATAACTAATTGAGTTTTCAAAATTTTTATTTATGATTGAATAAGTTCTCAAAAATTCTTTATATTAATTCCCATTTTAAGTTTATTTATATAATTACTCGAAACTTTTGTTTACGAATTCAAGTTAAAAACTATTAATTTTTTTATTAAAACTTATTGCAAATAATGGATTTTAAACAAATTTATAAATAATTGATCTAAAAATATATAAATAAGTCTATACTTTTATGATTTGAGTTGATATTATAATTGAAATTCTAATCTTGCAGTATATTCATACAAATATGTAATAATTCCTTATAAAATCGTCATTAATATACAAAATACTATATAAGCCAATTAATCAAATTAGAATTTTACAAATAGTCCTAAAGTTATGCTTGATGTAAAGATAATGAGTAATGGTTTAAACTTATTTTCACAATATTATAAGACTGTCATATATAAGAGAGAGCAACAATATCCATAATTATAAAAGGGCCTAATTTAAAATATAATTTACACATTATTTTATGCATAGGTAATTAAAGTGCCAGCAGCTACATATGAAAAGTATAATAATGTAAAAATACCCTTTAGATAAGGTTATAATTTGATGCTGAAAAATAGAAAAATTATGTGGATAATTGTAAGACTAACCATAAAGATTATGATATGCCACTATGCTCTTTAGACTATGAAAATTATCATAGCAATAAAACATGTGAAAATACCGATTGAAAGTAAAGATCTAAAGAAATATTGTCTTTTAATGTTATGTTTTTCTTAAAATTTAACTTCAAGAAGAGGATCATTAAATCTCAAGGTCCACTTGCTGAATAAATTTGACATTTTAAATATTAAATAGGAATCATACAATTTTAAGTTATGAATTTTGATATTATAACAATGTTCATATATTTAATATTAATGATGATGTAAAAATTTTTATTTATAATGAAATGAAATTTTTACAATATGAATAAAAGATTACACTGGTTTTTAAAAAGAGAAATATATAAAAATAATCTTCCTTTTTATTTAAATAAATCTAAGCTTTTTGATGACAAGCATAAATTTTTAAGTTTTAATAAAATTTCTATAAGTAAAGAAAAATTATTAATCTAGAGATCCAAGTTTAATATTTCAAATGATTCTACATTAACATAATAAAGAATTTATATAGATTAAACATAATTTAGATTTTTTTTATTTTTTGCTAATCTATAGAACTTATGTGTAAATTTTATACTGAATTAATAATAGTTTTGAATATATATACAATATAATACTATATCAAATAATTTAGTATGAATATTTTATTTTGTGTCATTTTAGTATCTTTTAAAATATGTTGGTTTCAATTTAGTAATAAAATGTAACAAAGTAAGAAACTTAAAATGTTTTAATAGGATGGATTTGAAATTTATTCTACTATAGTTTGATAATCAAATGTTTTTTAAATAGGGGATCTTTCAATAACATAAGGTCCAAAATATTAATCAAAACTTGCTTCGGCATAATTATCAAATAATTTATGTATTCTGCATTAATTTATTGTTGAATTAGATTTACATCTTAATTATGATGGTCTTTAAATTGAAGTTATTTGATAATTAGTTATTATTGAAATGTTAGTATTAATATTTAAAAGTAGATTGGCATTGATTGAAAAAGCTTAACAATTCATGAATTAGGAATAGATATTAGATCCAATGAAATTGGTGAATTGAGATGAATAAAGAGTCATTTAGGCAAAGATAAAGCTGGAGCTCAAAAATATACATTTAGATGAATATTCAACAGTAGAATTTTATTTATATTCTAATAAGAATGTATTCTTATCAATTTACGTTAATTAATTAATGGTTGATACATAGATGATAAAATTAGTATATTACATGATTCCAGTCATTTCAAATAGATTTTTAATATTTGAAACAGCTTTAAAAATGTCTTAAGTAAGATTAGTATTATTATTGATAATGGATTTTATGGCTAGAGTATCATAAATAAGAAGCAATTATTGGCCAAAATAGAAAGACTTATACTTTAAAAAATCAAATAGAGATTAATCATTTCCTTATGTTTCTTTAACTAATAAATAAAGTATTCTTTAATAAGTGGAGCTATAATTAAATATGAAAATAATACTTATCTAAAGTTTGAAATATAAAATCATTAATCAATGTTCGAAAATAATATTAAGTTTAATTATAATTAATTTCATCTATAAAATCTTAACATGATATTCCAGTATAATTATCTTTACATAGACAATATTGTAATGGTTAATATGAGGATTGCAATTGTCCATTATTATTGCAATCTGAGTTTTAGGGAAGAGAAAGATAATCATATTAAGGTAGAATAACTTTAAGTTCTCCACTTTGCCATTCTAAGCAAGAATATCTCTAACTCCATTGAGATTAATTATTATCTGAAAGAACTGAAATATTGCAATCTATCTTTGATTGAGAGCTCCATTATTATCCTATTTAATGAAACCAATCAGTCTAATAGTACTGTATACCATCTGTATCAATAGCAATAATTGTTATTATAAATAATTTATCAGTCCAAGTTGGAGTTAATGAAATATTAATAAATGAAGTTTTTTATTATGAAATAGTAGATAAAATTGGGCCAAATCGTGTGGGATCTTTTATGAATATTTTCCAATCATAGATTATCGAACTTGATAAAATAATTTCACTCTATTCTGGATTTACTAATTTTTGGATAGATATAATTTATTTTGCTATTAGATCTCCTTTTTATATCATTATGCGAATTTACAACAATTATGAAAATATTTAGATTTTAGTTTTAGTTGTTATACCTGTTACTCGAATGAAATAATCAGAATTTACCTTTAATTGAGTCGAATTAATTAGAAAAATAGTTCCATTCATTATTAATGTATTATTAGTATTAAAAAATGGCATATCAATTAAATTATAGAATCTACTAGATTCATAAAGTGTAAAATTAAACTCTTATCTTTCTGACATCAAAATTTAATTGCCTAATCTAACAGCCCAGTCTGTATATGCACGTTTTTAATACTGTTAAGTTAAACATCCATTGACAGTCATAGAAGGATCAGAGCTGATATGTAATAATTCCCATTAAATATACAATTCTTCTTATTCAACATCCTCAACAATAATTATCAAATCTTTTTTGCTTTCATGATTTACACATAACTCTCTAATTGCTTATCTTGTTGAATTCAAAATAATTTGGAAACATTAAAAGTAACAAAGAAAAAGAAGTATATATAAATTCATTTAAAATAATTTATAAAATTTTATTTTTAAATTAAAAGAAATAAACAATCTTATATTTAGATATAAATTTTGATTGATAAAAACTAAATGGTCCTGATATTTTTTTATCACAAAAAATTAAAACTCATGATGATTAATGTAATGTTTACTAGGGTTGTTATTATTATTATTATTATTATTATTGTAATTATTATTGTTATTATTGTAATTATTATTGTAATTATTATTATTATTATTATTATTATTATTATTATTATTATTATTGTAATTATTATTGTTATTATTATTGTTATTATTATTGTTATTCTGGACTCTAATTTAAAAACAGCATTTCATTAAATGCAAGAAGAAAGTCTTTTAAATCTTCTTGTTTAAGAATAGTAGTCTTTTCTTGTTATCTTGTATTAGTATTATTCATTTTATTAATTTCAAAATCTCTAAGTTCTCTTTCAACATGTTCTAACCATACTTTATATGCTTCTTCTTCATTATTAATTAATGGCATATTTAATTATGGAGGAGGTGACATATAAGGAGTATATGAAAATTATGATGAAGCTACTAAAAAAGTTCCGACTAAAATGACCCATGAATGAAATACTAAAGGTGCATATGTTCTATAGGAATCTAAAATTAATATTTTAAGAGTATGAAAAGTGGCTTCTTCAAACTTCTTTGGTACACATTTTTTACATATTACTTCTATGTAATCATTTGGCAATTTGATATCAAATTCATATTCAATTACCTTCAAAATTCTACTTTCAGCAATACAGAGTTTATTTTATAATGATTACATTAAAGCCTCATTTGCCATTTTTGTTTGCTCTATTGATTACATTATTTTGTGGAAACTTATTAATAGTTTTCTCATTCTTGGATCACCATCTTTAATTTTTTAAGCCAATAAGAGAGATGCAGCAGCAACAATCTATTATATAATCATATTTTACAAATCTATCATATTGTAAATAACATTTATGATGAAAGAAATAATTACATAAATGAATTGCTAGGGATACTGTAGAATATGAATTTAGCTCTAAATTTATAGCTAAATCAATTATAAATTGAGCATTTCCATTTAATAATTTTCTTTGTACTTATGCAGATATTTCATATTCTGTGTTAATATTCTGAAATATGTCTTTCTTCTTAATTAATTTCATAATTATATTTATATTAAAATCATATATATTTCAAGAATTTTTTATCGATGAAGAAGTTCGTTTTTAAGATGATCTAGTACTCATAGGGCCTGGACTTTTTTCAGCTAATTTAAATGTACTCTTTTCAATAACAATTTTTTTTGGTTTACTCATTCTTAAAGTTCTAGTAGATTTAATCGATTGATTTTCTTCAGAAGGTTCTGATTCTTATTTAAGTACATTGTCATGTGGAGAATCTACTATTAATAACAAATGCTCATGCACCTATTATTCATTATATTATTTCAAATTAGTTAATAAAGGAATCATACTATCATCAGTAGTTATAAGCAAATCTACAGTCATAAAAGTAGTAACCTTTTAATCTTCCTTTTCTTTCCTAACTTATAAGTTGTCGTTTATGCAATGTATAAATGCAATAAAATAATCTTCCAAATTCTGAATCAAATTGTTACATATGGAACACTAAATAAATAATATTTAATAAAATAATTTAAACTTTTAATATTTTTTATGAATAAAATCAAGATGAACAGTCTTCAAAATAAAGTATCCTGAAATATTTATTAAGATAATTCCAGTCATTAAGGATGGACTTAATACAATCATATAAACTCCAAGTGGAACTGGTAAAACTTTCTGCTATATCCTTCCCATACTTGAATAGAAAAAATCTATTGTTTTAACTCCAACCAAAGAATTAGTCATATAAACTTATAAGCAAATAAGAGAATTAGATCCTGAAATTAGAGTTAACAGAATAGGCTCAATAGGATTTATAGCCCCTATTGTTGAAATGATTGTAATATCATTAATTAAGAAAGAGCGATTAAGAAGCAAGAAAATTAAATTCTTATAATAAAAATAGATTGTAGAGAATGAATAATTCTTTGAGACACTTATTAGATTGGAATTTAATTGACATTTGCATTTCAACTCCTGCTTAATTAGCTCAATTTGTTAAATCAGGATGCAAAATTTAAGATGTCAATTGCTTAGTCATTGATGAAGCAGATCTAACATGGGGGTATCAATAAAATATTAATTATAGAGATGCAAGTTTTAGAGAAAGTGTATATACTATTTAAAGACATTTGAATATAAATTAATTTGTACTTTGCAATTCTGTAAATAATATAAAAGATGAAAATGAGTTGAAATCTGTAGATAGAAGCAAATTTACATTTTATATTTCTAAAGACTACATGTAATTTCCAAAAAGAAATTTTTAATTTATGGACTAGCCACTTCAAAATTATTTAGAAAATCATAAAACAATAATATTTGTGGATGGAGAAAAACAATGTTAAGAACTTAAAAAGGAATTTGGATTTAATCTATATTTTCATTCTGGTTAGTCTGTTGAAGATAGAATTCGGAATTTAGAGTAATTTAGAACACAAAATTAGAAGTAATTTATTTGAATATATAAAAAGTATTTTAGTTTGTACAGGCCTTGGAAGTCGAGGATTAGACTTTCCTGATGTCACTTAAGTAATTCTTTATGATATTCCAAGAAATTATGAATCATTTCTTCTCTAGTGTGGAAGATTAAGATAAGAAAATGGAAGAAGTAATATATATTTAATGAATTTTAAGTTGTTGTAAGATTAAAAAATTCTTTTGATTCAGCAGTGTATAGCGAGTATGAAAGATATTAGTATGAGTTCCCTAACAATTGTGTAATATTGTGAATATTGAGTTTTAGAAATTATAAATATGTTAATTTTTAGAAGGTTGTATAAATTCTCATCATGTAAATAAATGAAGATTAAATCATAGAATTAAGAGAATCGACTCTGACAGCAATTTCACCTCTTGATGGAAGATATGCCAGTTAAACTACTGCAATAAAAGATTATTTTAGTGAGTATGCGTTGATGAAGTATTATCATTCAGTCTAATAAAAGATATCGAATCAAAGTTGAAATAGAATGGTTAAAGTTTTTACATTCTAAAAACATGATAAAACAAGGGAATTCAGTTTTAAATTTAACTGCATTGGATTTGACATATTTGGATTTGATTTATGATAAATTTGATGTAACAAAATCATTCAGAGTCAAATAAATAGAAAGCACAACTAATCATGATGTTAAATCTATAGAGTATTACATCAAGGAAGAATTAGACAAGAGTATTTAATGATTTATTAGATTTAGATCCTGTTTTACATTCAATGAAAGAATATGTGCATTTTTGTTGTACAAGTGAAGACATTAATAACATTGCTTATAGTTTGATGATGACAGATGCTAAAAATAATTTACTTATGAAATCCTTAGAAGGAGTTATAAATAAATTAGTTTAATTATCACATGATCATCATAATGTTCCTATGTTAAGTCGAACTCATGGATAAGTAGCTTCTCCAACTACTGTTGGAAAGGAATTTGCTAATTTTGCTTATAGAATAAAGAATCATTCAGAATTATTGAGAAATCTCAAATTTGAAGCTAAACTCAATGGAGCTGTTGGAAATTACAATGCTCATTTATTAGCTTATCCAAATTATGATTGGCCTAATTTAAGCAAATAATTTATAGAAGAACTTAAATTAAAACACAATCCATTTACTACATAAATTGAACCTCACGATAGTGTTGCACTCTATTATTCATATCTTAATATAATTAACAGTATTTTAACTGGATTGTCAAGGGATGTTTGGAGTTATATCTCTATTAATTATTTTGAATAAAAAACTATCAAATCTGAAGTTGGTTCATCCACTATGCCTCATAAAGTCAATCCAATTGATTTTGAAAATTGTGAAGGCAATTTAGGCTTATCAAATTCTTTAGCTTAGCATTTCATGAATAAATTAGTTATTTCTAGATACCAAAGAGATTTATCTGATTCAACTGTTATGAGAAATCATGGAGTTTGTTTAGGATATGCTCTTGTAGGTTATCGAAGTTTAATTAAAGGACTTGATAAAATATCTCCAAATTATAATACAATTTTAAATGATTTGGAAAATGTATTAATTATTATTATTTTCAAAGCATTGGGAAGTTTTAGCTGAACCCATTTAATAGATTATGAGATAATATGGTGTTCCTAATCCATATGAATAGCTTAAAGAATTAACTAGAGGATAAAAAATTACAAAAGATTCTTTAAGAGAGTTTATTTCAAAATTAACGTTACCAGATGAAGTTAAAAAGAAGCTTTTGACCTTAGAACCAAAAGATTATATTGGAAATGCAGACAAGATGGCAAGATTGATATGATTGGTTTTTTAAAAAGCAAAAATATATAAGATATATTTCAATTAAGTTCATCAACATTTTCATCTTTTATAAGAATTTAGAATCTTCCTATTGGAGTTAGGAAAAGAATTGTAGAAACATTTGAATTGATTAAATAAAATATAATTGTCAATTATATTTATAAGAATATCTTATGAATTATAATATAGATAGTATATTTAGATGAGGAATTTAAATTATTAGATTATTATAAATATCAATAATGGATTAAAAGGATTTGAACATTGATATTCATAATGAATTCTTTACAAAGAAATTTCAAGTGACTCTTACAAAAAGGGAACCTATAAATCATGATTCTTATATGTTCAGATTCGATTTCAAAAATGGAAAGGAAAGATTGGGAATGCAAGCTGTATAGCATATCAAAATTTAGTAAGTTTATCATTTTAATAATGAGTGGTCTAAATATGAATGGTGAAATCGTAGACAGAGCATATACTCATGTTTTTGAAGAGGATGGATACTTTTAGATACCAATAAAAATTTACAGACCAAATGTTCATCCTTAATTTCCAAATGGAGGAGAATTAACTCCATGGTTAGAAAAGATAGACGTAATATTATATAATATAATAGCTCAATACTGAATTAACAATAAAAAGATGTATAGGGAAATTGCTATATAACAATAATTAATTCATCGTTAGACCAAAAGTGAATAAGAATTGGTCACAATTTAATAGCGTATTATTAATATGTGGAGGAAGTGGGATAACTCCAGCTTATTAATTAATTTAAACGATATGTAATAATCAAAATGACAACACAAAAATGGTCCTTTTATACGCAAATAAAAGTGAATAAGATATTTGGTTAATGAAAGAATTAAAAGATCTTTAGGACAAACACAAGGATCAATTTACAGTTCACTTCACTTTAGACAAGGTATTTAAAAACAATAATTATAAAGTCTGATGAGAATTGGAATGGTCTTAAAGGTTTTGTGAGTTTAGAGATGATGACATCAATATTCCCAAAAGCAACTGAAACTACTTTAGGCGTGTTATGTGGTCCTAAACCTATGAACAAATTAGTCATATCCCTTTATGAATAATTTGGATTAAAGAAAGAGAATATAGTCAAATTCTGAGTAGGATGTTGTATTAAATAAAAATGTAAAAAAATAAGAGTTTTTCTCCTTTAAACTCTAATTTTCCGATAGTGTAAGTTTTACACTCTAGTTCAAGTATGCACAACTTTAAACTTTCAATAATATAAATACCATATATCAAAGCATAATATTAAAAAAAACATTAACAATTTGAATATAATCTCAATGCTGATTTAATCATTTATTTGTTTGGCATTTGATTGCTTTTTCTATTCTATATTTTAAATTTGTATCAATTAAGCAATTAACTTATTTATTTTAACAGATCTATTTTAGTCTTTGATTTAATCTAATCATTTCTTCTTCCTCCAGTATTCGTTTTCTAAATTTATTAATAATTTATACTTATGTTATTCTATCTTCTCTTTTATTAATTACTATTATTATTATTTAAATTCTGCTATTCTTTAATGACTTTCATGTCTTGCATCTTATTTTTTTATTTGAACATCTATTTTTGACTTAAATTTTTCATTCATTTTAGCTTACTCTTTTTATTTTTCAATTTCTTTTGTCTCTTGATTATATTTCACCTTTTTAAAAATTTGTTTCATTTATTTCATGTAATCTTTTCATCTATTCATCAATCATCTTTTTATAGTTATATCTTATTTGATACTTTTTTCTTCCTTTCAGTTCTATCATCAGTATTTAATCTTATTGTAGGTTTTTTTATTTTTAGTAAGTTACTATTAGATTTTATTTTTGATATATCTTTTATCTCCTTCTAAAAATGTGTATGAGATTTTGATAACCAATCTTCCTCATTCCAATTTAATCTTCTCATATCTTCATCTTATATAAAGTATGCTGGATCTTCACCAATCTAATAATTTAGATTAATGTGCTAAAAATACTTCTAATAATTCTTAATGGGTTAATTACGCTTTTAATTTTTATTATATCTCCAAAGGGGTTGGTATATTTATATTCGTTCTTTAACAATGATGTTTTTCTTCTTATGTAAATTTCATTGGTGGATGAATAGGTAGTAATTATATTAAATTTTAATCTTCTAATTCAAACTCACTCTTTCTAGTGTCTATTTCTGATTATAATCTCTCAATTTTTAAGAATTTGTGACAATAATTCTAAAATTAACTGTTCAATATTTTGACGATTTTCGATCTCAAAATACGCTTCTATAACCTTGTAATATAATTGAACTATACTTTTCATTAATTGAAACTGATGGAAATTTTGTATTAGACATTTTAATTTTTCAATAATAAATTTTAAAACTAGAATTCTACTTTTTACTCAAATAATCTCGATTATTTTTAAATATTTATTACTATTTTAAAAAGACTAGAATCACTTTTATATTTCTATTGTTATTTTATTAGAAGAATTAATAATTCTTATTCTTAATTCTTCTTAAAAAATAAAATATTTTAATTGTTGTCTCTCTTTTTTTTTTTCAAAGTTATTAATACAGAAAATGATGATATTTTATAATTTAAGATTATTTTAATAAAATAGTTAAGAATATGTTTTTAGATATTTTAGAAATAATAAAAGATGGTCAAATTCATTTTAAATATTTCAAGCAAAAGATATCATAATGTGAATATAAAAATGAATTTATCTAATTTTAATAAGCAATATATCCTAGGATATAAATTAAAATAATATTAGTATTAGATTTAATTTTTATTTATATGTGAATGCTATTAATAAGATTTTTTATTTTATTTGCAATTATGAAAATTAGACTGATTATATTATAATTAACTAAAATATTTGAAATCTTTACTGATACTAAGAGTTATAAGAGTTCATAATTTATAGAAAATCTTTGTTTTTAAATCATTAATTAATTTACTTTAAAAATCAATTCTTTACAAAAACAGATGAATAAATTAAACTAAGATAAAAACTACCAAACATAACAATTTGAAGAAATTACATCATTAATCTATAAAATAACAGATAGATAGTCTAAATTTGCAGACCTTCACAATTAAGTTGAGGAAAGCATCTCGAAAATAATAAATATGAGTTAGAAATAATATGAAAAAGTGATGAAAAAAAAAAATAGAGAACTTAGACAAATTGTGTAAGATCATGATGAAAGAATTAGAAAAATTAGAGAAGAATATATAATTTCTTAAAATAAATAAAATTTTGAGATAAGTTTAAGGAAATCAGATTATTTACAAATTATGGAATCTCTTTATTATGAATATTCATAGTTTATAGCATTTTTTGATCATGATCAATAGGCTGAAAATAATAATCATATAATGGCTATCTATGAAGTATTAACAGATAGTTAAGTATTTCATGAAGATTAGAGATTGAATGAGACACTTTTGACTGAATATTTAAATCATCAAAAAATGAGTAAGATTTAATCCTTACATAATTCTCTTAAATCAGTAATTTCCTAATTATAAAAAATAGAGGAAAACTTAAAATTTTCAAAAAACAACAATAAAAAAGAATAATCTCTGCATTCTCTTAATGAAAGGTTGAAAGCATTCATTTAAAACCTGAAATATGGTTTAACTTAATTGGATAGAGTTTTATAGGAGATATTAGAGAGTGATGAAACTTAAAAAGAATAAGATATTAGAATACAATCTAATATAAATTTAATCCATTCGATTTTGAAGAATCACTAAGATAAAAAATTAGCAGAACATGAAGATATTAAAAAAACAAATGAAAATCTCGTAAAAATAATCAATAGGCTATCAGATATAAATTATAAACTAAAAATATAATAAAAGCAGAATTATGAAGATGTTTAATAATTAATGGAATTATACTATATTTAAAATGATAAAGCACCCTCTCTCTAGCCATTAGCTAGAAAGAGTACAATAAAATTAACTAAACCAATATGTTATTAGAGATCAAGAATTTATTCTGAAACAAAAAAGGAAGTTCATTTTGATGTATTATCTCAAACTTCCTTTAAAGATACAAGTCTTGAATCACAAATTCTTTATCAGTCTCCTATATAAATTTAATCTTCATTAGTCACTTAACCTACTATGTCAGATGTATCTCTCTTTACTTCTGGATAAAGTCTCAACAAAATGAAAACTTCAAAATAATCATGGACTTCAAAGCATTCTACTAATGTAGATAAAAAAACTGCTATTCCAATAAAATGTTAATGTCCTCCTTAATGTTCCTGCCAAGCTTTATTAATTATTTAGGTTCATAGTTGCAATAAACAATTATATATCAATTCAATCGGCTAACTTTTATGTTAATAGTGCACTTTTACTTAAAATATTTAAGACTATAATTTCTATTGTCCTCACACAAGAACAAAAAACAAATTTAAGAATAGTAAAGATTTTTTAGAGGCATTTTGGTAACATATTAAAACATTGACAATCAATTAATAAATAGTTGACTTCTGGAATCATTTATAATTAAGCTGTCAATAAATGTTTTAAACAAATCTATTTTTTACTAATGAAACCCAAAATCTTTAAAACTTTGTTGGATTCTGTCCTGCATAATGCAAATGTATTAAAAGATAGAGTAGATAATAATACCATCTATGTTAAAACTAACTCTATATCACTTCTGATGGACTTATTCATTGTAAAAAATGTAATTTTTATGGTGATTCCAAATAACACTTTTTCTATTGTCCAGATACAAAAATATTTAATATTTATAGAAGTGGGGATGAATTTATTTAATCTTTAGATTTTATGTTTGATTCTGGATAGTAATAATAATTCAACACTTAGTTTCTTACATAATTACGATTAAAGATTTCTACTGTTCTATGGGAATGACAATAAATTAATGATTAAATATAGAAATGAAATATATTTTATTTACATTATTATATTTTAGTATTGATTTATAATTATATCAATAGTTCATTTTAAAGTTTGATAATTTTATCTATTTGTATATTGTTGTGGCATAGTTGAATTTTATTAAGGATTCAAAAATTATGGTTTAATCTATTAAGGTTACCAAAACTATTTTGGTGGCGTATTTATAATTAATGGCCTATCTCTATTAATTTTTAAATTATTTTCTATGTTATTAAATTAAAATTTGCATTAGTGAAAGTCAAATGATTGATTAACTTTGAATTTAAAATTAGTATTTTAAATAAAATTATTTTACTATTCTTGCTCCTTTTGAGGTTTAAAATTAATAAAATTCTAATTCTCTTTTAAATTAAGATTTGGTTGCAAACGCTAACTATTTGTTCTTTTATCTCTTTATTAGGAAATTGGGTCTAAAAATGATAAATAGTCTTTAAATTAATCAGATGCTAATTGATTCAAATCATTCCAATTTATTCTTTTTTATGGATCGTAAACTATTAATTTATCAATTAAATCTAAAATTTACACTAATATTTTATTCTAAATTAACAAAAATAGATGTACATTAGGTTTATTTTCATTAATATATTGTTTGAAACTCTTTTTTTGAAGTGAATCAAAAAATTCCTTTTATTATATAGAATTTACACATATATCAACATTTCCTGTTATTAATTAATATAATATCAAGCCAAACTACTTAGAAAAATAAACTTACTGAAAAAATATCTGATTCATAACTACAATTCTCATCTTTATCTAACATTTCTGGAGATGAATATAATTGTGTATCTAAATTTCTGGTATCATTCCTATTTGTTTCTTAAAGTAATTTACTAATCTTAAATCCAGAAATCTTATTAATTTATACTAATACCTTAAATATGATTTTTTCTTTATTATTCTTTATTAAAATGTTATCTGGTTTCAATTATATATGTTTTATTTTGGATTTTATTAATTCAAGATATCCAGCACTTATTTATTTTATAAATTCCAATAAATCAATTCTTGAAATTTTTACATTAGCATTCATATACTCAAGAAGAGTACTATCCCACTATTCAGCAAACTAATAAATAAAGTTTTCCTCTTCTTTATAATCATATATTGTTTAGATATTCTCATGTCTTAACCATTTTAACTATTCTAAAACTTAAAGTTCTTCTTTAAACTAATTAGAATTTTAATTCCTATTTTATTGTTTGTTTATCACTCTTGCACAACAAAGCCCCCCCAAGCCTGTTTTTGAACATTCATAAATTAATGCTTAACTATCTTCATTTAAAATCCTAGAATTGTTAATCTTATAACATCCAAGAACCTCCTTCATTTATTAATAAAATTATTGTCGTTAAATTTAATCTTAACAGTTAAAAAGTGAAATTTTTAGTGATAGAATTAAAAAGATTTTAATTATTTTTAGTATGAACAATAAAATTAAAAATCATAAATATTTATTAAGAGCTATGATAATAAATGTTTAAAAACAAAATAACATACATTGCAATATTTTAAAAAAGATAATTATATCTTCATTAATTTTATTTATAACTTTAGAGATAGTGAACTTTATACTCAAATTTATATTAATAAAATTAATTTTTAGTTATTAATTTGCTTTCTTCAGGATTATAAGACTACAGTTCTTTTATATTCTTTATTTCTTTGAACATAATTTGGATTATATTATTGAAAAATTCACATCTACATAAAAATATAAATGGTGATTTTATCTTTATATCAAAGTTTAACATTAACATTATAGTTATATTCAATTATTTCATTAATGTTAAATTTTTTAAATAGATTTATATTGAATGACTATTTAAGATTGATTAATATTTTTCAATATTATTCTTATTTGATTAATTTATTACTCTTTTGAAAATACTAACATTTTTGATTAATAAGATCTCTAAAATGCAGATATTACATTCCTTTTCAATTAAAAACACTTATTATTTAATAAATTAAAATGCAAAAATAACTTTTAGTATTTAACATAAGTTAAGAGTTAGCTAAAGAATTTTATTAAGTTAAAATGTAATTTTTAATTTTAATTTTTTTTTCAATTTTTTCTAATATTCGAAAGCACTTGATTTGAACTGGAATAATTTAGAGTCATCTTAGGTTATAGTCCTGTTTAGATGATTTACTATGGTTTTTGTTCCATTTAATTTTATATCTGGCTATTATTATTCAAATTGAGAAAATTAGTTTATGCCTTTAAGCCAGAGGACTATTGGACTTTTATAAGATGTTATTAAAATTGAGGACTACATATTTAAATCTCTGACTGAACCAATTTTGAATTTTAAGGATTAAAAACTTTTTCTGAATACTTGACATCAGGAAGGGTTTTAAATTATTTAGAACTATCCAAATTTTTCAATTCTTAATCAACCTTTATTTTTAATTAGCCCCATTTTATTCTTTTTTCTGGTTAATACTGAAGTAAATCATTCAAAATTTAGATAAAAAAATTGCTGTAATCTATTTACTTTAAATGATTTAAGGGTTCAAGATTTTAATTCTTTTTTTGTTAGCCTTATATGGGTTATGTAAACCAATCTTGTAAATCATTACTATTTAAAAATTGGTGCAAACTTTTTCTAAAATTGTCATTAATATTTTAATCTGTCAAAATTTCAAATAAAACTAATCCAAACTTTTTAGTTATAAAAATTTCTTACAGAAAATGCATCTGAAGCATGGCTTGCATTTTTGCAATCAGAGATAACTTCTGGTGCTAAATATGCAAAAGTGCCTTTATAAAAAGGTGTTTACAATCTGTTTTTAAATTCTGTCTTGCTTACGTTAAAATCACAAATCTTAAAATTAAATTTAATTGTTACTTTATAAATGATTTTATTTTTTTCCAAATCATAACTTAAAAGAATATTTTAAGGTTTTATATCTCTATGAATAATGGCATTTTATATTAAAGCTTGATAGCCATTAGAAATTTATGAAATAAAGTCTAAAATTTCTATTTTCCCTAATTATTTTTTATTTAGTAGTTATTTATTATCCATATATTATGCTAAATCTTAATCACATAATTCTTAAAATATATAAGTAACATTTTATTGTGTAATAACTTGATAGATTCTTAAAATGTTCTCATGGTAGATATATTATATTTTTTAATGAATAATTATTTGCTTTTGATATTCTTCAATTTCCATTTATTCTTAATTGATAATTTTAGCACAAAATTTTCTTTTGTTTTCTTTATCATATGATAGATAAATTTTAGATTATTCCTAAATATCTTTGTCGTATATTATAAAAGGTCCAATCTCTTTTTTAATATCAAAAAGCTTGAAATTATTCATAATTATTGATTAAAATATCTAATTCTATCATAATATATTTTTACGATTAAATAATATATATTATCAATAAGATTTAAAAATTTTCTTTTTTTTATTTTTTATTTTCTATGGAACTATTAGACATTCTTTATCACATTATCCTTCTTAACCTTTAATTTAATGATGATTATGATGTAAAGTTTTTAATTTGATTAGGGCTTCTTCATATTAAACACTCTAAATATATAAATAAAAACTTAAGATGCCTTCTTTGTATAATTTATTTTAATATTTTATTCTCTTTTTAATACTTGATCTATGTTTCTGAATTATATTTCTTTAATTAGTTCATCAATCATTTTAAATAGTTCTATAGTTAATTATTTCTTTTCCTTCTCATAATTTTCTTTAATGATCCCAAAGATTTCAAATACCTTACTAAATCTAAATCCTTCTTCATTACTCCTTTTTAGTGATTAGTTAATAAACTTTTATTCATTTTTTTGTATTAAATTTTAAGTTTGTTTCTTGATTTCAACATTTTTTCAATTGATTTATTTTTCATCTGATAATTATTATTCTAAGGATGTAATTTATAATTAAATTTTGCTTAATTAATCTATGATTCTTTTTAATATTTTTTGAACAAACTAACCCTAGTTCTTATCTCTATAATTAATTTCAATTCATCATATTACCCTTTTAATTCTTCTACAGATTTCTCAGTTCTTTTTAATTTTTCTTAGAACATTTTATAGGATAATATTTAATTGATCTAATACATAATTTTGATCTTCCTGAATTCGAATTTAATTCATTTTTCCATTTCAATTTTTAATGATTAAATTTATTAATTTTCTTATTAAATTTCTAATAATGTTATTTAATAGAACTTGTTTTGTTCTTCAATATTTTTCTACAAACTTTTTTTTCTCATCTTGATAGGTCAATTGCTAGATTATTATCATGAAGAATTCAATTTATTTTCTCTTCTTCTTAAAATTATTATCTAATTTACAATTTCAAAAAATTTTTAATTCTATAAATTCAACATTTTAAAAAATCTTCACAGCCAAATTCTCATATAACATTAGTATACTTTCTAATTTCTTCAATTCTCTAAGAACAAATAACTGTTAATCCTTTAGACAAACCTAAATACAATTATCAATTGATAGAAATGAGTTTTCAAAAATGAAAGAATTAATTGATAGAATTTAAATTTATATTTATAAACCATAGCTTTAAGTATTTTTAAGATCATAATCGTTTAATTTGAGAAAATTTTAGTAAAGTTCTCTAAGATATACGAATTCATAAAAATAAGATAGACACATAAAAACTAATAATTCTAAACCAAAACTTCAGAAGGATTATACTATAAGTATAAATTCATCATCAAATCCAAATTTTGGGTAATTCTAAAATAAATATCCTTGCACAAATATTTATATTTTATTATAGTATTCTTTTATTTTGTGTATGACTATTTGATAATAGAAATTATTGTTAGATTCTTCATAACATAAATTACATAATCTATATTATTTTAATCTATGCNTCTAAATCCTTCTTCATTACTCCTTTTTAGTGATTAGTTAATAAACTTTTATTCATTTTTTTGTATTAAATTTTAAGTTTGTTTCTTGATTTCAACATTTTTTCAATTGATTTATTTTTCATCTGATAATTATTATTCTAAGGATGTAATTTATAATTAAATTTTGCTTAATTAATCTATGATTCTTTTTAATATTTTTTGAACAAACTAACCCTAGTTCTTATCTCTATAATTAATTTCAATTCATCATATTACCCTTTTAATTCTTCTACAGATTTCTCAGTTCTTTTTAATTTTTCTTAGAACATTTTATAGGATAATATTTAATTGATCTAATACATAATTTTGATCTTCCTGAATTCGAATTTAATTCATTTTTCCATTTCAATTTTTAATGATTAAATTTATTAATTTTCTTATTAAATTTCTAATAATGTTATTTAATAGAACTTGTTTTGTTCTTCAATATTTTTCTACAAACTTTTTTTTCTCATCTTGATAGGTCAATTGCTAGATTATTATCATGAAGAATTCAATTTATTTTCTCTTCTTCTTAAAATTATTATCTAATTTACAATTTCAAAAAATTTTTAATTCTATAAATTCAACATTTTAAAAAATCTTCACAGCCAAATTCTCATATAACATTAGTATACTTTCTAATTTCTTCAATTCTCTAAGAACAAATAACTGTTAATCCTTTAGACAAACCTAAATACAATTATCAATTGATAGAAATGAGTTTTCAAAAATGAAAGAATTAATTGATAGAATTTAAATTTATATTTATAAACCATAGCTTTAAGTATTTTTAAGATCATAATCGTTTAATTTGAGAAAATTTTAGTAAAGTTCTCTAAGATATACGAATTCATAAAAATAAGATAGACACATAAAAACTAATAATTCTAAACCAAAACTTCAGAAGGATTATACTATAAGTATAAATTCATCATCAAATCCAAATTTTGGGTAATTCTAAAATAAATATCCTTGCACAAATATTTATATTTTATTATAGTATTCTTTTATTTTGTGTATGACTATTTGATAATAGAAATTATTGTTAGATTCTTCATAACATAAATTACATAATCTATATTATTTTAATCTATGCTTATGATAACAAAAAGCCCTTTTATATCTCTTACATTAATTTTCTTTATAAATCACATTAAAAGCCTAACCATCTTCTAATCTCTATGACTTTAAATAATAATTTTAAAAAAATGCTTTTATAAGTTTTAAAATAATTAGTTCCTACTTATTAATAAAATATATTATTGAGAACAAATTGATTTAGTTATTTTGACAATTCGTTTATTCTTGAATTCTATATAGATATAATAATTATGAATTTTATTGGGACAATAATAATCAAACTTTTAATTTAAATTTCTAACATTTATAAAGATTAGATATATTTTTATTTTCTTTAATAAATTAATTTTTGAGATTTATTTATTATTTCAAGAGAGTAATTTAAGTTTATTTAAAGTGAAATGTATAGATAGATCTTAGTGTATTAGATTTTAATCAAAAAAGTGTAAAGTTACTATAGATTTGTAGAAAGAGATTAGAAAAAACCGAGATTAATTATTTAAAAGAATGGCGAGAATGATTTAATTTCAATAATTCTTATAATTTTTTTTTTACAAAAACAAAATAATCATGAAGGAAAAAGATTAAAGGCAAACTAGATTTTAATCCAAGGCTGAATAATGTGGAATATGTTATAATGCAATTGAGAATTAAGTAAAAGATGTTTGAAGGTTTAGGGAATTCTGGATAGCTGCAATCACCCTTTTTGTTCAGATTGCATTAAAAAATGGTCAAACGTATTTAACCAGTATAATATTAGATTGAAAACACATGCCCACTATGCAAAAAGAAATTCACTTAAATAGAATCTAAGTGGAATAGAGTATATTTTCAAATTTATACAGGTTCATTACAAAAGTCATAAGATATCAAAGCGAAAATGTAAACAAAACAAGTATATGCTCTTCTATTGTAGGATTTATGTTAAAGATAAAAGCCAATAACAAAAAGAAGATCAATTTAATGTTTTACTTGAACTCTTAATAGAGTTCATTCTTGCTGATAGTATAATTATTATTAAGCCTTAGTAAATGATTGAAATGACTGAAACCTTTAAATTTTGTATATTATATATATATATATATCTTTATTTAACATCATATTGGATAATCATCATCAGCTTCAGGATCAATAATTTTAGCACTTTCTCCTTTCATAATATGACTAATGACACTCTAATTGTTAGCAATTTTTTCTTCATATGACTTTTTATAATCTGGATAATGATATAATAGAATTTCCTCATAAATCATATCTATTAAGATATTTATAGTTCTACCTTTAAGCTATTCATTTGTAAATTCATACATTTCAAACTCAAATTCCATATTAGATACTGGAGACCTAGTGGGCTATTGAAATAGATGAAGAATCTACCTCATCACTTGGATTGTGAAGTTCCTTTAAATAAGGATGTTTAAGGGCTTCAGCTGCAGTAATTCTTTTCTTATAATCAATTTCTAATAGTTTTTCTAATAAATCATATCCTTCAGGTGGTAATCCTTTTACTACTCTATCCCAAGGAACTTTCTCTAAAGATCCTAATTCTTAAACAAGTTCAACTAATTTTTATGATACAAATGTATCTTAAACTTACATTATTTTAGTCTTAGAAGGTGTTCCAACAGTTTCAAATATCATTTTAATTTATTATTTTGCTAAATATATATAAATAAAATAAAGCTTACAATTTTATCCTCTCCATAATGTTTTTCCTCTTACTATTTCTGCAAAAATACATCCAACACTCCAAATATCTACTGCTTATGTATATGTTTTAAGACCAAGTAATAATTCTGGTGCTCTATAATATCTAGTTTCAACATAATCTGTCATGATATTAGGATTTTATTATTATGATTTAGTGGTCTATAACAATGCTCTAGACAGTCCAAAATCACAAACTTTTAACATACAATCTTATTTATTTAACAATAAATTTGTTGGTTTCTATTTTTTAAGTCTCATTAATATATACCAAGTCTCTATGTAAAATATTTGCAGAATGCATGTATTTAAGTGCTCTAAGAATCTAGTATAAAAAGAGTTTAAAATGATCTTAATTCAATTTAGCATGTTCTTTATCAATAACACGCTTCAAATCTGTATCTAATAACTCTGTTACACAATATCTATTTATTTAAGATCTATATATTTACATATCATAAAAATTCTTTCTGGATTTTGGTAGCTATATTGTAATGAGATTGACTATCTAAAATGTTTGTTTTATTGTTTACATTTTCATGTTTTAAATTTCTTAAGATTTTTAACTCTCGAAGGGTTCTTTTAGCATAAAATCTATGCTCAAAAGTTCTCTCTATTTTTTTAATTGCTACCATTTTTTATTCTGGTATTGTTGCTTTTGTATCTTCACAACCAATAACGATACCGTATGCTCCACTTCCCACTGAAAAAATATTTATCAATTTACATTATTATGTTGGCTTATATCTCTTCTCAATAATAAATTCTGATTCATCAACTTTAAAAACATTGGCTGAATATGCTTTTTATGCATATTGATCGTAATTATAATTTGAATCCATGAATTAATTTATTAATATAATAAAATATATCTCAATCCAATAACTAATTGGCAATTCTTTCTAATTTATCTATTGCATCACCAGTTTATTTCTTTTTATTTTTACCAGTTTCAATTATCTATTCAATAAATTTTATACTGTTAAGTTCTAACTACTATGCCTAAGTTTTGTATTCATTTGGTGATGAATAACTTAGATTTCTTATTTTACTCCATCTCTTTTATGGAAATTGTTGAATTATTTTTTTTGCATCATATTTTTTTCTAATCTCGTTCAATTAAGTTTTTTTTAATTTTCTTGTTATTTATACTAATTATTAATTAATTATATAAATTACCTTCAACTTCATCTGAAGAACCTTCACTTTTCTCTTAGCTTTCGGCTTCTATTCTACTTTCCTAATTGTTATGATGTACTTTATTGTAAGTTTCATATTTAGTTATATACTGTTATCTCTCCTATGATCTTGCTAATTGTAATAATCATATACTTTGACTATGATTATTCAATTCATCTTGCATTCTAATATATGCTTAATCAATTATTGAGTTTATTTTATCTTTATTTTGTTCTTATTTCACATCATTAACTGTTTTTAATAAATGATGTTTCTATTTTAAACTAAACATAACTAACTACATTTATACCTTGTTACAGGAATTTAGTCTTCAAAAACTTTATTTTTATCAAATAATCCTAAATAATTAGGAGATTTAATTTAAACAGACACCAATTAGTGTCTTTTAACTGTTTATGGTTTTTCAACAATCATTGATTTTTGAGCAGGCTTCTTTTTCCTTTGTTCAAAAACAGCCTATAATTATTGTTGATATCTTTGAATATTATCTCTAAGGGTTGATAATTCTATTGCTCGATTTGACTTTTTTTACTTTGTTTTGACTTTTTCAATTGGAACAGGTACAGAATTATTTCTAATTTATTAAATATGCTTTTCATAGGTCTTCCCTTAAAAATCTAGAAATAGATCTAAACTTCCTAAATTCATTATTATATTTATTTTTTATATAATATATTTAATTCATCCTTATAAGTGATTGATTAAATTGTAACATTCTCTAATAATTAATTTTATTATCCTTTGAAGATGAAAATTAACTCTTATTTTCCTAATCTTATTCATGACATGATTGTTTTAAATTTGATCATCATTTTTAAAAAATATGATTAAATCATTCTTTTTCTTCATTTTTATAATTTAACGATGATAAAATCATTTCATTGTTAGCATACTTATGATTTCAAGTGCATAGAATTTGTCAATCTTTAAATTCTATTTAAATATACATCTATATGATCACAATAAATTCCTAAAACTACAGTATACTTAAATATTGTAAAAATTTTAAATTTTTTCAATATTACTTGCATTTCTTTTAAAGCAAATCCTTAATTTTGTATTTTGAATGTAAATTCAATTTGAAAAATGATATTAGCATTCTAAATTAGAATCTATGATTTATCCAAAAGTAGTATCATAATATGTAGTTTATTTAAATAAGATTACTTTTCATAAGTATGATATTTTTGAATTATAATTAGATAATAGTTAAAGTTTGAATAGGATTGGACTAAAAATATTGGTATTTAATTGTTCTTGATTTTTTGATTATGAATGGTCAAACATAATTTGTTATTTAATTGTATTAAATGTTATTATGATATTAAAGTTTATTGATTCTCGATTATGGATATATGTTTGTCTATAGTAGTAATAATAATCTATAGAGAAAAAATTAATTAAATATTAATGTAAAATACAAATTGTATTTTGAAGCCAATTTAATCGCAACCTTAGGTAGGAGTATAATAATAGTTAATTTTAGAAACCTCTTAAACCATTGGCTGGAATGTAGCAGAATTTAAATGAACATTTGAATAATATAAAGAACATAATTCCTTATCAATTCGTTGATAAAAACAGTCCTCATATTACCATTTGTAAGATGAATAAATAAATGTGAGGTGGATTGACTCCAAAGATATCAGAGTAATCTTTAAGATTAGTATGTGCAGAATATGGAAATGTTGTGACAATCTCTTTACGTGCATACTATAGAGATATATAAGCATAGATAGTGGCAAATGTTACATATGAAAATGGATAATAAGCATAACATGCATACATGGAGTTATAAAAGAAGGTAGAAAATGGATTTCATTTTTAACTTTAGTAAATATTTTGATAAATTTATATATAGTTATGGAGGTCCCTGTTAACAAAAGGCATCAAAAATATAAAAAATAAAGTTACCAAATTAATAAATAAGAGGAATAATTGATAAACTGGCTAGATAAGTAGTGAAGGAAGGAGTATAATGTGAATAGATGATAAAGTAGAGAGAAATAAATAATAATAAATATGCATTTTTATATTTGGTATGTGTTTAGAAATGAAAGTTGTTTAGTAATCAGAAGAGAATGAATATTATAAATGGAGAGTATATTCATTTTAGAATGGTGATGATGAGAAATAGTGGAAATAGGAACCATATTATTTTAATTTAAATGAAAGGATTTATATTCCACCTTAAATAGAGATAGAGGAAGCTCCATCCTTTGCAAAGAAAGAATTAGAAAAAGCATAAAGTAAATTAATTGATGTGATAGAAGTTACGAGTAAGAAAAGTAAAACTCAATATTAAGTATTGGAGGATTAAGATAGATTAACATTAAGTTAGATGATTAGAGAATTAAATACTTAAAAGTAAAGAATGATATTAAGAATAGACACACAATAGGAAAGGCAATGGTATTCTGTATAGATCATTAGAATTGTACAGCAGATCTAATGTTAATTTTAGAGGAATCACTTCTTAATGATTCAACATGGTCAATGAAAGTAATTTTATTTAATTATTATTAAAAGCTTGCTCGTTTGTATTTGATTTCAGATATTTTGAATAACTGCAGTCAGAATTTTAAGAGCTACATCTAGTGGTGTTTACCTAAGATTTTTAGCAATTTAGATTAGTTATTACCTTATAAGGAAAAAGTAAAAGTATAATGATATAATCAAGATTTTGAAATTGTTGTAATGTTGGAGAGAGTAGAATATGTTTGACCAAAAGTACTTGAAGGGATTAGAGTTATCCTTTTTGATGAAAGAACAGTCAATCCAAATAGAGAGCATCTCTTCATAGAATTATAAAGTCGATGGTTATTTTATTGAAGGAAAAACTGGCTCATGTTGATGATGAGACACTTGATCGAATATGCCGAATCAAAGGATTGTGTTCTTAGGGTCCTCGTGATACATTAATCCAACGTTTAGTTTAGCATAAGTTCTATAACAGAGCCAATCCAGATGTTTAACTTGAACAAGTATCCAAATTTGTTCAAATTTATCGTTACATTGTTGATAAGGTATTTCTAATCTATATTATAATATTATTTAAGGATCAATAAACTATTATGACATCATAGAAGTAATCATTTACAACTTAAATACAAATGATGCAAGAATTTCTTAAACTATTATAGAAAAGGTTAAATTTATATTACCTTTAGATATAAAAATATCATCAATTCATAAGGTGAAGAAATTGATGCTATAGATGAAAGAATCTATGAATTTAATAAACATATTGAAATTTAAAGAGCAGAACGCAATCTCTATCTTAATATTGATGGAAAAGATCTTACAGAAGATGATATTAGAACGATTGAAGAGAAAAAAGTTTAAGTGATTACCAATTATGAATTAACTTATCTACAACCTAAACCTCCTTTACCTCCTACACCTACTGATCCTATTGAAGTATTTATATTTATTATTTTCATAGATTGAGGTACAACAATTTAGAGATATTCTCTTTTAAAGTGGTTTATATGATCCCTTTAAAATTGAAGAATTTGCTAAAGCTAAGAGAGCATAATTAATCAAAGCTGATTTATTTAAAAAGGAAAAAGAAAAATAATTACTAATTAAGTAACAATAAGAATAGAGAGAGAGAGAAAGAGAAAGGGAAAGGGAAAAAGAAAAAGAAAAAGAAAGAGAAAGGGAAAAAGAAAGAGAACGTGAGAAAGATAGATAAAGACATCATAGTAATATTAATTATTTTAAGAATTTAAGATCGTAATAACAAAAGAAGTAGTTCAAGTTCTGAATCTGATAAGAAGAATTCGAAGAAAAGGTTTGATGGAAAATATGATCAAAAATATGAATAAAAACATGATTCTAAACATTATAAAAGAAGATCAAGATCAAGAAGTAATTCAAGAAAAAAGAAAACTCAAAATAAAAAGAGATGAGTAAAATAAAATAAATAAAGAATAAAATATGTTACAAAAATATTTTTTAATTAAATTTATAAATGAATTCTGAATTTGTATTAGAGTAACTATCTTTAGGAAAAAGAATTGATGGTAGAGATCCTTTATAGTAAAGAATGATTTAATGTCATTTTGGACCTTAAAGTACTGGTGCTGTAGAATTAAGTTTAGGTGAAACAAGAGTATTATAATTATATAATTTAATTAAGGTATTTGCAACAACAAGTGCTTCAATTACAACACCAAATCCAATTAGACCTTCTGAAGGTTTTTTAAAATTTCACCTTGATTTATAAGTATTAAGAGATACTGGTTATATGCAAAACCCAATTAAATTAGGTATGGAAATTGAAAAATATATTGAAAAAGTTATTAAAGGGTCTAAGTATAAATTAATGTTGTATGAAGAGCTCTAGATACAGAATCACTTTGTATTTTATCTGGGAAAAATGTTTGGTCTATAGACGTAAATATAGCCCTAATAAATAATGATGGAAATCTAATTGATGCTATGTATTTATGTTGTATTTTGTCATTACAACATTTTCGAAGACCTTAAGTAAGTGTTTCACTTTAAGGAGTTAAAGTTGAAATAGAAAAGCGATTAGTACCATTAAGTATTCATCACATTCCTTTGAGTCTTACTTATGCAATTTTGGAATAGAATTAATAAACTATTCTCTTATAAGATCCATGTGTAAGATTTGTTATTGATATTAGTTGGAAGAGGAAGCAGTTTAGAATGGAAGAATAACTTATAGTGTAAACATTTATAATGATATTTGTCATGTACATAAACCTGGAGGATCACCAATTAATATTTAAATATTGTAATAATTGACTACTGTAACTTTGATGAAATCAAAACCATATACAGAAGAGATTAGAAATCTATTAATAAATAATAAAGGTTTTCCAATTGAAAAGACTATTACATTGTTTAAATTTGAGTTACCAAAATAAACAAGTGATGCCATTTAAGTTGAATAATTAGAGTAATTGTATAATTAATGAATATTATTCTTATCCTATTATATAAATAATGAATAATTAAAATCGAATTCCAAAAGCAGATCTTAAAAAAGTAGTTGATTCTCAATTTCATTATGAAAGAAGAAAGTACATATTTTGGGCATTTAATACTTCATATTTGGGGATAGCTTTCTTTTAAATTTATTCAGATGTAGTAATTGAAGGTGGTGAGAATCCTGCATTATGTGTTGACACTGCTTTATTGAATCATGATTTACAATGTCCTATAGGTTTATATAAGACTTTGGTTGCATTGATAGTTGCTCATTTAATTTAGATGCTTTCAGCTACTATTGGATATTTTGGTATAGATCAAAAATCAAGAAAAATTAATAAGTCTTATTCAAGTATTTGATGAATTATTATTTAAGTCTTATTGGTTGGTTCATACATTTATGATTTGATAACATCTTTTATTTTGTGGTTTTCATATAATACTTGGGATGATACTCCTTTTAGAAATACTAAGAATGAATTTCTTATGTTATCAATATTTTTCCCTGCTTTAATGGCTGTGGTTGGTTATTTCTGTTTAAGTCAATTTAAAAAAGCTACTTATGAAAATTCATGTAAATTTATGTATTTATTATTATAAGAAATGTAATAAGCAAAAGATGAATTATTAGAAAAGTATCCATAAATTGCATCAGATGTAGTAAAAATGTTTTTATGATTATAAAGATAACAAACAAACAAACACAATAAATTCAAAACTCCAATTTTCTTATATATTCAAAATTCTCTTTTAAAAATTATTTCTAAAATTTATCTGACCATTTCAATTCTTTAGCCATAATTTAGAATACTTTTTCATAAACTGTAAAAATGGCATTTTAATCTAAAAACCCTAATCTTGTTCTCCTAAACAAAATATCTTCTGGTTTTCTAGCTTATTCATATCTAATCTAATACAAGATTTCACCAACAGTATGTGGAAATTGTGGATGTAAACTTTCCTTATTTTCTGGTTTTTCATAGATAAGCTTTAAAACATCATATGCTCTATCTCCATAAGTAGTTAAGAAATAGGCAGCATATGATTAAGGTAAATCAAACATTGTCATCATAACTTAGATTTCTTTTCTGTGATCAAATTATGTCCAATCTCCCACTAATTTTGGTAGATTCTCAATTCTTTGTTAATTATTTCCAATCAACTATTAAACTTTATCAACAGTTTGTTCACCCATTAATCTAAAGATAGTCCATTTACCACCCATAACTGATATTAACCCACTTTTGGATACTTCTATTTCATGAGTTCTTGAGACTTCTTTAGTAGTAAGAGCATTGCTTGAATAAACTAAAGGTCTAACACCACTCCATTTAGATTTAACATCTCTAGCTACTTCACTTGCATCAACATCAAATTCATCGCAAAATGATTTTAATAACCACATATATTCTTCATGACTAACAGTTGGATCATGTATAGCATTATCTAATTTTCTTTCAGTAGTTCCCATTATCATATTACCTAACCATGGTACCATATATAGAACCCTTCCATCATTAGTTTTTGGTATTAAATAACCCCAATGACGAGATCCATATTTTTATGGCATAGTTAAATGACTACCAGCTACAGATACTATTCTCTTAGAAACAGTTGGATCATCCATCAATCTTAAATTATCTGCCCATCCACCTGTTGCATTTACTACACATTTTCCTTTTATTTAAAATTATTTCTAAGCTATTTGATCATATGCTTCTACTCCTATAATTTTATTCTATTCATTCTTTATTAATTTTTTAATTTCAACATAATTCACCATATTTTATCCTTTATTATATAAATTATATTTTTACCTTTTAAACTAGATGTAGCAAGTACTTCTTATACCATTCTAGCATCGTTAAATTATCCATCATAATAAATAACACCATAATTACATTTAGCAAATTTAAAATGTTATTAAATTTCATCTTTTCCTACTATTCTTGGAGGTTTAAAAGTATGTCCTCCTGTTTAATAATATAAATAAACACAATGATATATCAATGATCCAAAATAATAATATCCCAAATCAAATAAATTCTTACATGGAATTAAAGTTGGGAAATCTTATGTTAAATATGAACACATAGTTAAAAAATTAGATCTTTCTCTTAATGCTTCTGCCACTAAATCCCATTTTTCCATTCTGTTTTTTTCTTACAATTGAAATACTTATTGCATATACCTTACACCTCCATGTACTAATTTTGTTGATTTACTTGATGCACCACTTGCAAAATCTTAAGCCTCCAAAACTATTGATTTCAATCCTCTATTTGCACAAGCAAGTGATACTCCTGCACCAGTAGCTCCTCCTCCTACTATAATGACGTCGTATTCATTCTTTAGTGCGTCACCTATATGTTCCTCTCTACTCTTTAATTTATAATATATTTGTCTTGAATCTCCAGCACTTTATAATTATACTTTTCGCTGACTTAAAAGTGATGCGACTGTAACAAAGGCCACTTTATTCATAAATAATATTTTAATAAATATTTTTATTCTTTAAAAATTGTCATATTTTCATTTATATATTACATTTACTTATTAATCTCTTTCCCTATATTTCAATCATTCTTTTAAAATCATCTCTTATTCTCTATTAATTTATCACAAATTATTCTATATTATTACAATTCAATAATCTAATTATTTATAACAATTTAATAATCTAAATATTTCAGAAAAACTTAGTCTCTTATTAAAATGAATCAAAAACTATCTATTAAAATTGATATCATTTTATATCAAATGTTTAATAATTCATTTCTATTATTTAAGTCTTTGCTACCTTACTTTTTACTTCATTTCTCCTTTTTCCACACACAATATAAATTAAAAATATTGATATCATTAAAATTATTATTCCGTACCCTTACTGATATTTCCCTTATTGTTCTTATATGTCTTAAATATTCAATTCCCTGATTGGAAATGGATATGTTAATTCTTATAAATCGTACCCTAATACGATTTCTACTTTTCCTATTATATTTATTTAAATTTTTTATTTATTTTAAATATCAAGATTTATCTTAGTATTATTTTCCTATGATGATTAATTTACAATTATGACAAATTATGTCTCCTTTTATTCTTCAACTGTATATTATTCATAAAAGCAAAATATCTCATCTTATTCACATATTTGAATAATAAAGTATATTGAAATTGATGATAATTCTATTAATTGATTATCATAAATTAAATTTGGAATTTCTAATATTAATTCATTTTTTGCAATTTCCCAATTTAGATTTAAGCTTCTAAACTAAAATGAATTAAACGATATTGGGGCACTTTTTTCAAAAATCTATTATCTAATATAATAGTAAGATATTCGATGTTAATTTTCATCTTCTACTGAACTTGATATCAATTTAACTAAAAAGTAGTAAGTTCCTTTTTCTAATTATAGAATAGAATTGAAGTATTATGATGGTTTATTCATAATTTGTATTTCGAAAATCTATTTATTTAAATTAAACGGATTTGATGTTCCTTAAATTAAAATGCTACCTTTACATGTTAACACTTCTAGTAGTAAGGTAGAATTTTATAAAATTGATACTTAATAAAAGTTAGGCTATCCTACCCTTGTTAACTAATATTATGGAATTCCATTCATCAATATATTGTTATCCTCATCTGTTAGTAGTATTCTTATGTAAGAAGAATTTTTTATCGGAGTTATCATCAAATTATACATGCCAAATAAATCATATAGCTTAAAATAGATACCCCTCTAAAATTATTTTTAGGAATGAATTATTGGATTTGTAATTGAATGTTGTATCAAAATATCCAAAATATCAATCGATTCATAAATACCTATAATTTGTAAAGTTAGAAACTTTGTTGTATTACTATTGTTAATTAAATTTCTTAAAGATTAATATTAAAACAAAATTTATTCCTGTCTAATTAATTATATATCTATTGTTTAACCTAAAAGAAGTTTAGATATTTTCTTATACTTTCGCCTCATTGTTATCTAAAACACAGCATTTGAACTTAAACATTAAATTTTAATTATGAATTTTTCAATTTTCTAAGTTGCTTTTACATAATCAATTATTGTATTATTATCAACAATGTATATATTTTAAGAATTTTAATTATAATCAGAAGGCTTATTTTACTCTTAAACATCAATTTAAATTTACCCAAAAACATTTTCTAATATAATAAAAAAATTGTATTTAGAATTATAATTATATACTACGATTTCATCTTTTTAGAGAATCTCAAATTAGGCAGTATTTTCAAAAAGTTCAATTATCTACTAATTTTTTTTAATTTAAACTTTTCCTTAAGTTCCTTCTTCAATTTTAATAATTTAAATTAGATATTAGCATCGCTCATATAAACAAGTATCTATTTCATACAATTTAAATTCTCTAGTAATATCATCTAAAATAAATGAATCTGCAAAATCAAGTGAATCTATTTTATTATAAAAACGTTTAGCTCTAATTTAAACTGCACCAGTAAATACCGCTAAAATGATTTAAAATGATTCTTTTTCAATAAATAAATAAACAGTAGGTATGCTCTCTTAGAATATTTCTTAAGGAATATATCCATTTGGAAAAAACTAGAAATAGGTATCTTACAATTAATAACTTAATTGAAATTCACAATCTTCAACCCCTTATACTCCTAAAACATAATAATCTTTTTCAAAAAATCTTGAATAGTAATTTCGAAAGATATAAAAAGAATCAAACCTTAGAGACTATTAGATTGAATCATTTATAATATGAGGTCTACTTTTCTCACTTTGTTATAATAAGACAAATATGAAATCTTGACTTCCTATGACCTGAATATTAAAAATAATGGATATTGTATCCTCATTTAATGCCAACATATAGAATTTTATTTATCCTTTTTAAATATAATCTCTCATCGTATCTTGTTTTGTTAGAATCTTAACAGTTTCATAAACCCCAATAGAATAAACGTCATTTTCGAAATGTTTAAGAGATGGTGAGACCATTATGTACAAAATATATCCTTAATTATTCTCTGGAATTATGATTGTTTAAATAAGATGATTGATTTATGATTTTGAAGATTTAAATTATTAATATTAAATACTGGAATCATTTAAGTAACCTAAATATGCTAATAAATCAGCCTCACTACCACCTTAAGAATACCACTAAATTGTCACTTCTTTTTCATTTAAAATATAGTAAAATAGTACTTTCTCTTGGAAACTAAAATTTAAAGGTATTCCTTCATACAATTTGATCTTATTATTAAGTTATTAAATAATGATTGTATAGAATACAAGTCCATTTGTTGAAGTGACCGATAAATATATGAAGCATTAAGTTTGATTTTAATTGAAATTTTTATTACAAATTTATTATTCCTACTGTATTATTAGACTTTTATCTAAAAATACATAATCATTAGATAGTTCATTAGGAAATGTATTACTTTGAAATAAAGATACATAAATTCTTAAATCAGAAATTAGATTTTCTGTATAAAGTTCTTTTATGAAAAGTAAGTCTCTGTAGAGCATTGGTATTTTATAATACTTAATTTCATTTTCATTTACTGAATCAATTATCTAATTATTTACTTCATAGAATTTAATTTCAACATCTAAATTATATTCAATTAGAAATTCTCCTTCAGAATTTAATAATTAAACTGAAATATAATAGTATTTTGCTTAATTTATGTTGTCAATTTTGATGTCTATTTATTTAGTATCTTTCCATTAAAAAGAATTACTGTCAGGTATCTCATTATCAGAAATATTTGATTTGACATACATCATAAAATCTCCTACATGACTCTACAATTTAATAGAAAAGTTAGCCTATATTTCTAATTGAATTATAAAAAAACTGTATTATTCAATTTATTTGTGTAATACAGAAATTCCATTACGTAATTAATTAAATAGAGTTAAATCAATAGTTTATTCTCTTTCTACTTAGGTATTAATCCTATATTTACATTAAGAAATTCCAAATACAGTTAAGAAATATTCTTTAGTGTTATTAATTATTATTTAATATTCTTCTTACTATTCATAATTAGTCTAACTAGGATACATATTTTAAGAACTTCCATAAAGCATGCATCGACCAGTTATTTGAGTTAAAAAAAATTTTGATTTTTTAATATCAGTAAGATTTGATATCTAGTAACTATAATAAATTGAATATCCTTGATCAACTTAATATTAATCATAATGTCCTTCTTTTAAGATGATATGAGAGTGAATATTTATCAATATTATCCTATAGTATTATTTATAATCACTTAATAAACCAATAAGATAGTAACAGTTTTCACAATTTGAATTAGTTAATCTAAATGAATCCTTTTCCAAAAGAATTCTATTTTAAGTACCTTCTTAATCAAGTTTTGTAATTAAACAATCCTTTTAAGAACATTTCTTAATAAAACTTTATGCTTTTTCTAGAGTAATTTCTATAGTGATTTCTTCATTTAAGTAACTTGGTTCAACTTTGAATTAATGTATTTCTTAAGGAATCAATATTCCGCTTAATTTTAACAAAGATTACATACTTGAAAGGAACATTATATTCTAGAGAATGAATTCCATCAAAAATAAAAAGTATTAATTCATAGCTTGAAATTGAGTCTGATAGAACTGTTATAAAAAATTGATTATCAGAGCAATTTCCATTAATCCTTTGTTGGTATGAAATTTTTAGTTATTGGTTACAAAGTGGTGGATTACCATTAATAAAAATCTAAAAATTTTGGCTACCTAATTTTGTTCAATAGAGTGTTTACGTATCACAATCGACATAAACTTTTAAACTTTTGTTTTATGAAAATAAATTTAAGACTAGAGCTTTATGGTGAAATTAATCACGATCACTAACTTTTAATCTATATACTTTATAATCAAACTATAGTATGCTATCTTATACAACTTCATTTAAGTTAATATCTCTATCTCACACAATAATAGGATATATATACTTATGTCTTTGGCATATATCACAAAAAATATCATCAACATAATCATGTTAATTTTAATAATTTAAAAGGTTTTTGTACGATATGCTTTGCAAATGTAATGATCTACTCATATTATCATTTTAGTCTTACGTAAGATAGACATGTTTGGCCAACCAGTCTCCCTTAAATTTAATGGCCATTCTAAGCATTAGACTGAAGTAGGAGGCTTAGCTTCTATTGCTACTATAACAGTAGTATTTCTCTTTTTCTCGTCAAACATAATCAGCTTTATTAACAAAGGCGAATTATCAGCTATAGTAGTGAATAATTTCGAAGAAATTCCTTAATTTATATCACTCTCTGGGGAAAGGACACTTGCAGTTGGCTTTAATAATATTTCTTAGTCTACCTATTTTAATGTTACTTTACAATAAATGTATTATGCTTTTAAATATTAACTGAAGAACAATTGAAAATTAAATCATTACGAATAAAACATTAATAACAATTGGAAAATGCAGACCTGAACAATTTTAAATAGCAAGTGCCGATTCTCTTTAAACTTATTAGACTGATCACTTTTTATGTTTGGAGTACATATTTAAGTAATAAAAATAGATAAAATTAATATTTGTACTTCGGATAAAATGATTCTAGTAAAATTTATTTTATATATTTTTAGAAAAATATGAAGTTCATTTAATTATATCAAAATGTTAAAATAATTAATCATCTTGCATCCCAGATTAAAACTTAGAAGATTAAATATTTAATGTGTAATTAATATTTCAGAATTAAGTATAATTAATATAATGATAAGGTTGTAAATCCTATGGAAGTATCGGAACAATATATACAAACCTTTTTAGATGATACTTATTCAATTAAATTTGTACCAAATACATTTTCGAAAGAACAAGAACTTCTTATTACTTAATATGATTTAAATAATGATGAGAGTATAATTTATGAAAATGTTCATCAGAGTCAGGCTTATGCAGTAGATTCTAGAGACTCTAAATAAGTAGTTAATATTGATAATGATGTTTATGCATCATTCATATTCAAAAAAAACAAACTCAAATATACTGTCAATCGATCATACCAAAAAATTACTGATCTTCTTGCTCGTTTAGGAGGTTTTTTAAAAATTTCATTCTTTATTCTAGGATTTGTGATTTAGATTTATAATCGATTATAATGTAAATTTATAACATGATTAATTAGTATATCTCATTTTAGCAAATAAAATCTATGAATTTTCATTTGATACCATAAAATAAAGAGAATATTAGGAATAATAATTTGAAGCTTTGAATTCTGCAATTTAATGTAAAATGTCAAAAACTAATATTTTAAACATTAATGAAGAAGGAAGTTAATAGAAATTGCCAATTAGTCGTATTCTATAGAAAAATAACTCAATTAAATCAAAATAGAACTCATTTTCTATGTTACCCTTCTCAAGTTAAAACCTACCTTTATTTATTAATGATACAAATAAAAAATAAATTGTAACTGAAGAGGAATGTATTATTTCAGCAAATTTAATTGATCATCATATACAATTGGCTAAAAAATTTAATTGTTCATGTGGTTTGGATTATTTCCAAAAATAAATTACTAAAATAATAAATAGATCACAACCTCTAAATTTAACAATAAGAATATTCTTAAATCATTTATTTTGTTCTAAATTATTCCGTTCGAATATCCATGTAAAATTATATAGAAAATCTATGAAAGAAATATCAAATCATTTGGATGTCTATTATATACTATAGAAATTGGAAGAATTAAATAAACTTAAGAGTATTTTACTTAGTAATTAATAACTCTTAGTTTTTAATTTTACTCCTAAATAAATGATAGCTCCAGATAAAAATGAATTAAAATTTAACAGAAACTTCTTAGAAGAAAAAGCAAGAATAAGACACACTACACTATTAAGCGAACCTTAAAATACTCCTACAAAAATTCTTTAACCAAAGAAGAGAGCTAGTGAGGAAAATGAGAATATCATTTATTAAAGGATTTATAATGCATATGATGATATATTAAAATAGTATGAAGGTGAAAACCCAAAATAAGAACATGATATTAATAAATAATTAATTGAAAAACTAGGTGCTGAACTAAAGTCTATCTTTAGAGCATCAAAAATTATAGATTTCTCTTAGCTTTAATCATCTAAATAATCGAGAAAATCAAATAGAAGACATGCATAATTTGATAATGAAATTTAAGTAACTAAAATGATGTAGTAGTTTTATTAATAATGAATTTTGAGTCTTAAATAAATTAAAATATTAAACAATTTTTCAATTAATTCAGTTAAATTAATATTTATGGAAAAACAATTACCATAATATTTTTGGCACTTTTAACTATTGAGTTTTTCAGAATACAGAATATAAGGAATAATGGTTAGAAAAATAAGAATAAATTACGAATCGTCCTACTAAAAAACATGTCGAAAATGGAAAAGTTGAATCTCTTGTTTAATATTGCACAAGGTGATCTTACAAAGGGGACATTTAATAAATTCAATAAGCTATATTCAATTAGTTTAATGAATGAATAAAAGGAATCGGTATGCAATATCCTTTGGGAGAATCCAAAGAAAGATTATTGCAGCTTTTAACAAGTATAAAATATGGGTCCATTGCTATTTAATATTTTTGACAAAAAAATTAGTGAAATGAGTGATTTTTGGAGAACTCATATAATTCCAAGCAAATTAAAATATGGGATTTTGAGTTATTTAGCTTTTAATTTTATTATTCCTTAACTATCATCTTCTGGAGCTTTTGAGATATTTATTAATGATTAGTTAATACATTCTAAAACCAATAGTGGTTAAATGCCATCTATAGATACATTATTTAGATTATGATAAAATAAGAGAGGTAGATCAATTATTATAAAAGAATGAGATATTTTAAGTAATTATGTAAACTTAAGATTTTTTAAAATTGTAATTATTTTCATGAGTCTTTAATTTATTAATTTTTATCTATAATTTTGATAGGATACTGATAGAAACAGTTAAATTATAAAAAATAAAGTCCTTTTTAGTCCAAGCCTAATAAAATGTTGATGAGGAAGATAGAGTGAAGAAGATAAAATAAAAAATAATTAGAAGTTTTACCATAGACTTTGAAACGACATAATGATTTCTAACAGCCATTATTAATGTGAATAAGAAATTAAGGAAGGCTGTTAAAATGACGATTAATTTGAATGTATATTTTTCAATACCGATAACACTAAATAAATAAATTTATTGGGATCATAATTTACAAAGTATTATTCTAAGAATGCAACACTAAATCAAGTTTAATCATTTTTACAAATAGTTTTTAATTACCAAACTTTTTTTTTGCTAAAGAAACTAGGGTAATACATTATAGAAATGCATTTCACATCGCAATCAAACTAAATCTTAAGTATGTTTTATTTAATTCTGTTGTATCTTTTAAGATGGAATTGTAGTATTAAAAATTTAGAAAATTCAAATCCAAATAGTAATGCTAAAAAGTAAACTCACCATGAAGAAAAGCTAAAAACAACAGAATCAAAGAAAATTGATCTTTTAAATATAATAATAAAGTTAAAATTACTTATTGCATAATTTTTTTCAAATTCATCTTCTTTTGATCAGGAAATGTATATTTAAATGTTTATATTACTGGATAGCTAATTATTGCTCTAATCTTTTTATATAATTATAATCTTTCCCATTTTAATTTTTAATTTTCTATTTTATGTAGCCATTGTTAATTAAACACAAATCTGAATTTTTTAGCAAACATCCTCACTCATTCATCTCCTTTTAAATAATTTAATAAGAGGAATAGTCCATTTTACTGGTTTAGCAGCTAGTTCTTATTTACATTTCTTATTCAAACAGATAAAGCAATTTAATACAACTACTTACAAATTTCAAATCAAACTTAATTTAAGTCTAATTTAAAATTAAGAATGATTTAAAAATTATATATATTATTTTCTAATTGCATCATCAAATTTAAGCAATTTCCAGGTCATATTTGGCTTCATGAATAGTTTATATTCCCTTTCTAAAAGTATCTTTTCAACTCATTAATATTTTATCTCTTTCTTAATAATAAACAAGAAAAACTAATATCAAATATGAGATTGTAATTTTGATACTAGAAAAATAAGAAATTTAGCCAATAACTTCAAAAATCTTTATAAGAATAAAAGAAATAATTTGAAATTCAAAGTTTCATCAAAAATACATAGGATGTATTTTAAGCTGAGACATAGATGTTTTAGTAATCAAAAAATTCCAATACTACAGAAAAACTAAATAAAATGAAAAATTGTTTCTTATATCCCTCCTGAATAAGATTAAGCTACTAATGTAATTAATACATCAACAGCACCATAAACAAATGCAAATGAAGTTACTTCAGCCATTATTTCAGAGACCTTAATTTTAATTTGACAACTTCTAAAGATTGAATTAGAAACTCTTTAATTATCTTGCTTATTCCATCATATAACAAATAACCAACAAATCCAGATACTATATACCATAATTGATACATTTTGCAAAATAACTCAAAATACTATAATTGAAGTATAGAATATCATGCTAACAGTATTCTTATGCTATATCACATCGATAACTATGCTCTGTTGCTTAAAGAAAATCGGCTTTTTGACTTGTAAGAACTTTAGACTCATAAAGCCAGCAGCAGATAATTGTTCTAACATTAAAATTAATGGGTAATAATTGTACTTGTTGGAAACATGACTTACAAAATTAAATAGAACAAGATAGAAAATCTAAACCACGATGGCAAAGCTTAGAGTTCTTGAAATCGTAGGAGCATAAAATAGTTAAAATGCAGTCTTGGATTCGTGGATGGTAAGCTCGTTAACGAGTTTGGAAGATTCAATTGCAAAAATATAATGACAGTGTGAATGAATAGTTAAGAACGTAGCGTCAGTTTTTACCGTAGATATTCCGCCAGCGTGATTAATGTTGGATCTAGACAATAATCTCCATTTGATTTTGGTATTGACGATATTAATGATTCACTTGTTCATTAAAAAGTACTGAAAGAACCAATGAAATTAGAAAATGGAGCCACTTACTTTGGAGAATGGATAAATGATTTAAGACATGGAAAGGGAATATTGATTTGTGATGTAAATCGATTTATTTAAGAAAGGATGGTTCAAAATATGAAGGTTATTTTTATTAAGGAAATGCTCATGGAAGAGGTAGATTAATACATTCAAATGGTGAAATATATGAGGGATAATGGGAGAACGATGAAGCACATGGTTAAGGAACATATATACATGAAGATGGAGCTACTTATATAGGTTAATGGGAACATGATTTATAACATGGAAAGGGATGTGAGAAATGGCCAGATGGAAGGTTAATATTATATATAAAGACTTTAGTTATTTTGAAGGAATTTATAAACATGGAAAAAAAGATGGTTTAGGAAAGTTTGTATGGGCTGATGGAGCAATTTATGATGGAGAGTTTAGAAATAATAATATAGATGGTTATGGTAAATATACATGGCCAGATGGCAAATAATATATAGGTTATTGGTAAAATAATAAAAAGTATTTTTTTACAAATAAATAATTAGAAATGGAAAAGGTAAGTACATATGGCCTGATGGAAAAGTATATGAAGGTGATTTTGTATTTGATTAAAAACATGGATAAGGAACACTTAGATTCCCTGATGGAAGAGTTTATGAAGGAGAATGGTAATAAGATAAATAACATGGAAGAGCCATTTTAAAATTGCCAAATGGTAAAACTTCATTTGGAGAATGGAAAAATGGAATTCGTATCAATTGAAATACTTTTAATCATTGGTTAAAAATTATTCCCAAGTTTATCTTCTCAATTAAGAAATATTTGGTCTTTATGTACTTGCCATCCTTGAGTAAGTATTAGATCGATAATCATCTTCCTTGTATAATTATTAATACACAAGTTTTTTATTCTTTATAACATCCTCAACAATTTAGAGAGGACTTCGAATACTAAATGTATTTCTTCTTGCTGATCTTACTCTTTTTGTTTGATATGTGAGATCTCTTTTCCTTACATATTTCATATCTATTATTATATTCTCATCTTGAGACACTTATTTTTATTATCTATCTGATCTTACTTATTCTCTCTATAAGCAAACATTTTTTAATTGCTCATATAAATGCATTTCATTTGTTGTTTATAATCTTTAAATCAAACAACTTAATTGAATCTTAAGAGCTATACCATTCTCTGAATTACAAAATACACTCTACTATCTTTTATCAATATTATTAAAACTCTCATGATCACCAAATATTTAACCTTTCTATAATAAAGCTATTTAAGAATAAGTCTGCTTTTTAGGACTATTATATTATCCATCATTATTTTAACATATTACAAACTCTCCACTTTACACTAAATAGATCTCTTATTTGCTTAATTAACCTTGATAATACACAGCCTATCTGAATTAATAATGAGAACTCTAAAATGCTAAAAACAATATATCTAATAATTTTGGAGAAATCTAATGCTATTTTAAACAAGAATGAAACTCTTTTATCTATTGTCTTAATTTATTTTCTTAAGCCTTTTACAAAACATCTTTATAATCTTTTTTACTCAGTACTGCTAGGATACTATGACAATCACAAATTATGCTTGCTGATCTTAAACTATCATTCAAAAATGCTAATTCTCCAAAACTTTACCCCATGTATACTCTTTTGGTAAAAAATGATCAATCTTATAATACAACTAAATTTACTTCCTCTTTATCTTCTCTACTCTCTCTAATTCTTAATCTTTATGCTCTACTGTCGGTGTCTTTAATATATAAACTGAAACACTTCCACTCAATATTATATAAAATGATTATGGTTTATCACCTTATTCAAATACTACATCATTCTCAAATTATTTACATACTTACCTCTTCAAACATTTCAATAGTCATTCTTTTTAAACACTCCTTAAGCATCAATTCCCCTTAATCAATATTAACTTACTAAAAGAATTCAATATCTTTTGTAGCAGCTTAAATAATCTATTTTTATAACAAATACATACTTATATATCTTCTTATCTTCTTTACTCAGGATTTTTCTTTAAAATTTCTATACACAAAGACATCAATTACTCTTTTGATAATCCATTTATAAAGATGTTAGATTTTTTTCTTTAATTTTCAATAAATTGTTTATTTGGAGATGTTATCATTAAATAAATTAAAAAATAATTTATTTCTCAAGAAATTAGGTCTTTTTATTTTACATTTAACTTACCCTCAATAATTATCAAATCATCATATAGATTCAATAATTAAATTACACATTCATATTATTTTGCTCATCTAATTTACTAAAAAAGATAAGATCATTAGTTTTTTTAGGAAATACTTTAATAAATCATATCTAATTTATATAATCAAATAGTAATTGTTTATGTTTATCAATGTAATCAATCAATAGTACCTCTGCCATTGATCGTTTTTTGATTTTGAACAATTGATTAAAGTTTCTCATACTTTTCTGAAGGTGCCAATCTCATAAAACCACCTAAATTCTTTGGCATTTCTCCATATCTTCTAATATGTTGGCCATTTAAAATATAATTAAGATCTCTTTATAATTATAATTTAGTATTATTTTGTGTTTTATTCATTTGCTCCTCTTAAATTCGTCTTTCTAAAACTTCACATAGTCTTTATCTATCATAATTTGGAGAATCAAGTAGATCAAATATATCATCAATCAATTATTATTTTATTAATTCATCTAATAAATAATCTCTAGATAATGAAGGTGAAGCATTCACTTCTAAAAGCCAACACTTTAGATTAGTATCTATAATTATGTCATAACCAAATAATTCAAAACTATTAGGATTATTTGGTATTTCAATTTAACATGCCACTAAAGATTTTAGAATGATATCCTAAACCTATTCCCAAATCTGATTCCAATTTATATTCTTAGTTTCCAATTTCTCTTTCAACTACTTAAGAGATATCTTACAACCTCCCAATGATTATTCCAAATCTTAAATTTAGACATGGGTTTTTTATACTGCAAAATTAGTCAAGTGGATTAATTAATTTTTAAGTTCATTAATCTCTAAACTAAATTATTATGTTGTCAATCTAGCAAATCCCTCTTTATATAAAAATACTTCCAATGGATTAAATGAAGTTACTAATACATATATTCTCATATCGAATTTACGTCCATTCAATAATAAAGGGTTTTTCAAATATTTCTATAATACAACTGGTTCTGCATACAAAACTTCAGACATATCATTTAATACTGTTATTCCTCTTCCTCTTGATTTTCCAGTTGGCTTCATAATCCAAATATTTTATTGACCTTCTGTTTCAGAATCTTTATAAAATTTTTCCATAAACTAAACATATTCTTTTGGCAACAAAAAAGTAGCAGGAATGATATCAAAAATTTAATATGCCTTTCCACCTTATCTTTAACATCTTTCTATATTCTTTTTTAATAGATCTTTCCTTCCAAGATTTTTATTGAATGGAAAATGATTTACTTTCTAAAAGTAAAACAATTTATTTAGATCAATCTGCGGTTTTGACCAAGTCCATAATATATTCCAAGATGTTCGAAGACCAATACCATGTGGTAATTCACTCCAGCCTTACTTTCTCATAAAAGATCTAGTTATTATATCTATATTATCAAATTTGCATACCATATACCTCTTCTTTTGTTTTCACTACTCTAAAATATCTTTCTTCTTTTCCTTAAGCCAAACCATCATTCTAAAGCCTTTTATTAAAAATCATTTATCTTTAGATATATTATTATATATCAACGCCAGTTGTTGTTGCATATAAAATCAAACGTTAAGGGTCATTAATGTATATTAATTCATTTGGATTAATAACTAAGGAACTAGATTTATACTTCCCTAAAAGTGAATCAACATTGTCAACCTTTTCAATATGTTAACAAAACACATTGTAAATTTCTTTCATAACCTCTATATGATTATAATGAGATTAACGATTAAAAAATCCGCTAAATAAATCTTAAAATGTAGAAACTATATCTGAATAATCTTCTAATTTTTTATCATCAATAAATTTCAACATTTTTTATATTTATTTTGATTAGATATTTTTATATTAAACTTCTTATTATTTAACAACTTTTTTAATAATTTATTTAGACTATTCTTATTATTATTATGATTATTATGATTATTATTATTATTATTATTATTATTATTATTATTATTATTATTATTATTATTATTATTATTATTATTATTATTATTATTATTATTATTATTATTATTATTATTATTATTATTATTATTATTATTATTATTATTATTATTATTATTATTATTATTATTATTATTATTATTATTATTATTATTATTATTATTATTATTATTATTATTATTATTATTATTATTATTATTATTATTATTATTATTATTATTATTATTATTATTATTATTATTATTATTATTATTATTATTATTATTATTATTATTATTATTATTATTATTATTATTATTATTATTATTATTATTATTATTATTATTATTATTATTATTATTATTATTATTATTATTATTATTATTATTATTATTATTATTATTATTATTATTATTATTATTATTATTATTATTATTATTATTATTATTATTATTATTATTATTATTATTATTATTATTATTATTATTATTATTATTATTATTATTATTATTATTATTATTATTATTATTATTATTATTATTATTATTATTATTATTATTATTATTATTATTATTATTATTATTATTATTATTATTATTATTATTATGATTATTATTATTATGATTATTATTATTACTATTATTATTATTACTATTATTATTATTACTATTATTATTATTACTATTATTATTATTACTATTATTATTATTACTATTATTATTATTGATTAAAATCATCTAATCCCATTTATTTACTTAAATATTTTATTTCATCTAATTTTTCTTAATCAGTTTAAGTTGGCTTTTGTTTAATTTCTATAACTCCTTTATATTTTGGTTAGTCAATTCTTCCAATGACCTTTCCAACTAATTCTTTAAGGGGTTTTTGTTTCATTGGGATGATCTCTTCATTATCGCTTTCAATTTCAATATAATCCTCAATTATTTCTAAATAAAATCAATTATTACCTTCTTCTTAATCTTATTTTTCTATTAACTAAGGATTAAGTTAACTTTTTTTTTCATCTTTAATCTATTGTTTTTATGATATTGGCTTTTGTTTATGTAATTTTTTAATAGGCTTTTCGTCTTTATCTTGTAATTAAATTGAATCAACTGGCTTAATATCTTTTACTATTTATTTTTATTATTCAAACGTTTTATTGTGTTTTGAAAGTACTTACTTTTTTGATGCAGGTTTATAATTTTTATCGGAATCTTTATTCTATTTTTTTATTTCTTCTTTTATCTATTTTGGTTCATCTTCTGACTAAAAACTATCTTCATAATAATTATCTTAAGAATTTTCATTTATTGAATTGTGTTAATTTTTGTTTATTTATTGATCAAATTAAGAGACATTTTTAGTCTTATATTATATCTCTAAAAATTCATTTTTATTTAATGATTATTGAGGAGTATTTTTATCAAGATTTAAGATTTCTTAATTTTTTTTTCCTATAAGTTAGTTGTTAAATGAATTTTATCTTATTAAATCTGTATTTTATTTTTGAATCAATTAATTGCTAATATTAACTTATTCCTGCTATTAAGATTTTTCATCATAAATTTAATTAGAATTTTAGATAGTGATTTATTATTAAAATTAAGTAGGTTGTTATGAAGGTCTTGATTATTAATCTTTTATTTTTTCTTAAGAAGAATTCTTAGATATAAAACTTGGATTTTATGATTTACCAAAATTATTTATTTATTAAATACCATCTAATTTATTTTATTATTCCTTTGTGTTATTTTCAAATTTTTTATTTTGAGAATCCTAATTTTATTCAATACTAATATTTGATTATTTTCTCAAATAAATTTGTTCATCTACTTATTTTGATTTGAGAGTTTCATCATTTAAATCTATAAGTTGATTATTCGATGAAATCTATTTTTTTAATACTTAATCATTTTTAGTTTAATTTATTTTTTAATGTTTTTTTTCTAGATCTTCATTTTAATTTAAGTTTTAGTCAACTTCTTTTTTGAATATATTAGGAGTCTATGAATGAATATTAGAACCATCATTTTCTTATTAGGATGATGGTTTTGTGATATTTTTTTACTTCTTAACAATTTCAGGTATATGATCATTACATGATTTATAATTATCTAATTTAGATTTTTTCTTCTTCTTCTTCCTCTATAATTTTTCTTATTTAATTTTTTCAACAGTTGATAATTAAGGTTTTGGTGGTGGAGGTACATACCTATGATTAACTACAGCACCAATTATAAATTATTGATTTGAAACTTCTGTCTTTTTTAAGACTTCTTTCATCATTTCCAACATTTAATTAGGTTTCTTAGATTATAATCGTGCATTAGCATTACTACTTCTAGTTACAGTACTTAAAGACATAGCATCAGATTAACATGATTTTTATTATGAAACTTTTTAGCAATTTTATTAATATAATTGATTAGTCTATTAAGGTTATTCATTTGGTTTTTATTGTTCATATCTTGGAAGGGGAGGTTTTAAATATTTTTAATCTAAATAATTAATAGGTCTTGACTTAATATCATTTAAAATAGTCTGAAGAGCGTTATTTTAAAAGATTGGTTATTGTATCAAATCTTAAAGTTAAAAATTTGAAGCAAAATTTTGAATTGCTTATCTTTCTTTAAGTTCAACTTCTATTAGATCTAATATTTTTTTTGCTTTTTTATTCCATTAAATATCATCTGTAATTTAAGACTTAATACTGGCTTACATCTCTTCCAATTATAAGGCATTTAAATCATATATCTCTTCATATGGTATTAATGTTGGAAGTTATTACATATAATTAAAAAATTATAATAAAATTAATTAAAAGTTCTTTCATAAAATTCATGATAGATAGAAACCAAACTTATTAGTTGAATGATAAAGTGAAATTTAGATCTTGATTGCTATTTCTGAAATCGAATTCGAATCAAAATTTAAATAAAATTGATATAGATTGAAAATAAACAATAGTTTTTTTATTTCTATGTATTTAGAAAAAATAATTAAAAGTTCTATTTAGATCAAATATTTTTATAGATAAATTTATGTATGTAATTAAATAAATAGTATTATGTAAGTATGAATAGAATAGAACTTAAATATTATTTATAAAATATTCTGTTATTAATAATGAAAACGGATTAATAAAAATATAATAGTAATGAGAAGACTTAGTCTTTTATTATTGGTATTCATTTATGTGAATGCAATTGATCCAAGTATGGTTTAATTAGGGACAGCAAAGTTAGATGAATTAAATTAAAGCAATTTGGGTAAAATGATCTTAGAATTGGCATAAACTCATGCAGAGATGAGAGGACCATTAGGTAATTATAATAAATTGTAACAGGAACTAGATGATTTAGTAACAGCCATTGGTGATTTAGAAAATGAATTAACTGCTGAATTACAATAATTAGAAGATGATTATACTAGATCAACTAATTAACATGCTGCTACTTAAGAAAATTTCGACATTCAAATTGGATAAACTGAAATCAATATTTTTAATTAAAAAGACTTTATTGATGCCATTCTTTTACCAAGCATTGATTAAACTAATTCTAAGATTGAAAGATTGAATGGATATATTAATGATAATAGGGATAATTTATCAAAAGAAACATTGAATAGATAAAAATAACATCAATAATTTTTAGATAGAGGTAAAACTTAATCTTAATTTTTAAGTAAGTGAACATTAAAGTGCCATCAGTGCAGTTGATGAGGCAATATAATTAATAAATGCACTTATAAATGGAAATATTTCATTTGCTGAAAAGGGTACCATCAATCAAGCAATAGATAGAATTAATACTAAAACATAAAAAACTAATACAGTTCATCCTATAGTTCAAGCACTTATGTCATTAACATAAAATTTTTCAGACTAAGAATAAGCTAAGAAAATAAGAGATTTATTGTCAGATACAAGAAATTAATTAGTAGCAAGTCTAAATTAAGAAACAGCAGATGAAAATTAGATTGAGTAAACTTGGGTTGAAAGATAAAAAACATTAAACACTGAATATTAAGAATTCAAAAGATCTGTATTAGAAGCTACATATGTTTTAGCTACTTACTAAAGTATTAAATTTATTTATTTAGGCAAACTAAAGTCAACTAGAGAAGCATTAGCTGAAAATGAGAGTGATCTCTAAAGTTATAAAGATTCTTTATGTAACATTATTATTTAATTTTATTTAGAATAAGATAAAGATGCCTAAGCTTAGGAAACATAAATTTATAATGAATTAAAAAGCCAGTACTTAATTTAATTGCAAACAACAAGAAATGCTAAAGAATTTGTTAACTCTGCTGAGTTTAGTAATGTTATTAGACAAAAGTTAAACCAAGGTGGATTAATCTGATACATAGATGCAATTATTATCATTATATTAATATTCTACTCTTTTTTTATATCACTAAAAATAAATTTTGGGTCTAAACTTCTAAACATCATATTTTTTAATTATTAAAGAAATATTTTTAGAATATTTAAAAATATTAATTATTAGAATTCACAAACATATGAAGTCATGAATATGACATTTTTTAGATAAATTTAATACTATATTTCATATTAAAAAAAGAAGAAAAAATTAAATAATTATGTTATAAAATTTGAGAGAGAAAAAAAATTAAAGTTTTCTTTGAAAATTTGCTTCTAAATGAAACTAAAAATTCATGCACATCTATCATTTTCAAAAATAGATATCTCGATTTCTTGAAGTTTTTTTTGTAAGATCATTAATTATTGATAATTTTTATTTTATATTTTTAAAAGTTTTTTACTTTTATTAAAGCAATTTTACTTTCTATGTTTGACTTTAAAATTATAGAATTTATTCATAAAGAAAGTCCATAAATATATTTAATTGATTAATTTAATAATGAATGCTATTTTTATTGTAACTATTGGACAATATTTTCAGTTTTATTATATCTGATGTTAAGGAAATACTAATTTAATATAGAGAGATTATTAAAAAAGATGGAATTTTATACTTCAATTTAATTTGGATAATAAAAGGTAATTTTAAAAAAAATGATAAAAAAGTAAATAATAAGATTTTTTTTAAAAAGATTTTATATTTCATTTTGTTATTCTTATTTATAAAAAGAATAAGGATTGAAAAAATGAAGAAAAATTAATAGTTTTTGAATTCAATTTTTTAAGTAAACATTGCTATTAAATTTTAAATTTGAGAATTTGTGGATTTGAATTATTCCTTGTTTATAGATTTTTTTTTTTCTCAGAAAATTGATAAATATTTTAATTTATAATATGTTAAATAAAATAAAAGACAAACCACTTTCTTAATTAATAGCAGAATTGTAACAAAAGTATTAAGAGGATAATGACTAATCAAATATATTTCAACATATTTATTAGAAATAATTAGAGCAAGAAAGTTCAACCGATTCATCTCATTTATTGCCTGCATTGCTTTCAGGAACCACAGGTTTTTAATCATCAAACTCTTAAGATGAGAATTAAAATTAAGTACTTTAAAAAGTTCAAAAGAATATAAAAAAAGAAAAGAAAAATAAAAAAACAGGAAAGAAGTCTTAAGAAGAAAAATAAGAATTTTCTTAAATTACAGATAAAAAAGAAATTTAAATGATTAGAAATAGAATATCAGCATAGAATTCTAGAGATAGAAAGAAGGCTTATTTATAAAAACTTGAAGAAGACTTTGTTAATTAATCAGGTCAATTATCATAAATGTAAGAATAAGTCAGTCAATTATAGCAATAATTAGAAGAAGTTTAAAAAATAAATTTGTAGTTGTAATAATAATATTAATTTCTAACTTGTTTAAATTGTGGTAGTAAGCATTTAGGTTATGATGATGAAAATCCAATTTCTATATCAAAGAATAAAAGTATTGGTAAATTAGGGCTTTCATTTTTATTTATAGTAGCTATTATAGGATGTATTTCAATAGATTTAAGTCTTGGATCTTAATAATTAAATACTATTTAATCAGATAAATTTAATGAACACTAAATCAGAAGTTTAAATGTGAGCGATGATGAATATGGATTATTTGATCATTTTTCAAAAAATAGAATAAGGGGTATGACTGAAATTATGGGATACAATTCAGAATATAATTATAAATTTTTTGATACTACATATAGAGCAATTTTACATAGTGAAGAAAGTATTGTTAATGGTTTGATTAATTTTAATAAAGAGAGAGTTAAGAATAATAATGGAAAAGCACTTGCTCCTCTTAATTATCATTAACCAAGCGTTGATTCTCTCTTTTGTCCTTCCATTTATAAATATGAAAACTAAACTTAAGGGTAACATATATCCTATTTAATAGAATTCGAATGCATTATTAAGACAATTAATGGTTACATTTAATTATTCCAAAGAATAAAGTGAATATATTTTATTAAACAACTGATAACTCTATTGTTTTAAAAGAAAGCTTTACTGATTCCAAAACAGAGAGTAAAACTATATATTAAGAGATTTGGTGTCAAATAAAGAGTGTAAATGATTTCTATGTTTGATTAATGTATCTTATTCTTAGTATTTAATATTTTTATCATTATTTATAGGTTCAATATTATATTAAATAGTAGATAAAAAGTAATATCAATCAATTTTACAAATGATCTTCTTATTTGAGTTCTGATATAGGACTATCTAATTCTTGTAATTTTTCTAATTACTTAAAATTTTTATTTATTGCTAAGATTTAGGTTTAATTTTGTTTTCTAACTTAATTTTTATTTTTACTTTTTGTGTTCTTCAAATTTTACCTTTTTTTATATCTTCAGAAATTTACAATAATATTTTTCAAAAAAATCAATCAATTTCATCTTGTCACTTTTTTCTTTTTTTATAGTTTTGCAATATTTCTAATGATACTTATTTCTCATAATTCTATCAATTGATTCTTATATACATTTTAAGATGAAAGATTTAAAAATTTCTTCATCATCACAAACTATGACAAAATAACTCAATAATTTTTTACCTAAATTTCATTTGTAAATTTTTCTTTAATAATTTTAATTCTAGCATATTTTTGACCCACAACCTATAAGAACAAATCTTGTTAAACACTTTAGTATGGAAAATTATCAAACTTTTATTTGAAATTATCTAATCATAAGGCTAATGTATTTTTTCTACTAAATTGTTAAGTATCATAAACAGCATGTCCTCTTCGGGTGTCTGTTTAATTTTTATATAATAGGAAATGAAATATTACATCTCTTTAATTTTACTTATTCAAATAGAATTATTTTTCTTTTCTTGTAGAGTAAATAATAATTTTTATAAAGAAAATAATATTATTTTATAAAGGATAGATAAAAGTTTAACGAAAGAAGTCTTCTTAAATCCAATCAAGAATATTTACACTAATGTTTTTCAAATTTAATAGTTAATCATCGAATTTTTAATTTGGATTTGATTAAATCAAAATAAAAGTTATATTTCCCATTGTAAATGATTAATATCTAACTCAAATTAACATCCAAATAATAATCAATAAGTATTCATCAGAATTATGAGCTTCTATATCTCCATAACCCATTACTGTTTATTTTTAATAAGCTCAATAAAATGCTCTCATTTATTTTGTAGTATGATAAGCAATCTGAGTCTTATTAAATCTGCAAATCCATAACCATAAACAAGCAAATAAATGATTTAATACTAGGATAGTTATACTTTTTCATATTAAATTGATTATCTTACATGTTGTTTTTTTTTATTGATTATAGAAATCCACTATTAAAATTAGTCAAATTAATTTACGATCCTATTTCAGTAAATTATCTTTAACTACTCTAAGTATACAATGTCTCTAAATCCCCCTTATGTTTAAAGGGATGAATTTTCATTAATTTAGATTTTTAGAAAAATATTTTTACTTATAATTAATTCTTTACTTTATACTGAAAATATTAATAAATACTTGATTTAATTTTAAATTGAATCTTCTTTTGTATATGCAGATGTATAGTTCATTTAAATTAAATTAATTAAATAGAGAAACTATTAAATAATTCAATCAGACCAAGGCGTATATTGACTGGGCTTAATTTTGGATTTCCTTATAATACTTTATATGTGAACAGATCTTATTGTTCTTCTAGGCTTTTGTAGTTTTTATAATATTTTATCTAAATTGTAATTAGTAAAGTAATAGGTAGTAATAAAATATCTATCTAATTCAAAATCGACTCTTTAAAGTTAATTGGGAAATTCACTAGGTTTTAATGAAATTACTTCATCCAATTAATTAGCCATTACACTACCAGTAAAATCAGATTTAGATTGAGATTTAATCGGCATTTCAAGATCCATATTTGAATATGAACTAGAATTATTTTTTCTAAGCTTTTAGACACTTTAAACCTGTGATTATTATTGTTAATATTATTATTGTTATTATTATTGTTATTATTATTATGGATTTTGATCTGATGAGATACAAGTGATATTAGTAAATCTATTATTTGATATTTAAGTTAATCTTTAGAGTGTTTTATGTCGATTATCAGCTTTTCTTCTAAATGAATTTTAAGCCCTAAGAACTTTAGGTTCAGGTTCAGGAGAAGGGTGAAATTTGACTTTCTTTAATTCCATGCTTTATAGATGAGAGTATTTGGAAGAATTAGGAGTTTTACTTTTATTTAATTATGAACTAGAATTATCACTATCCGAAGAATCACTACTAAATTATTCAAATCCTGTAAATCCTCTTAACATTGATTTATTTGACTTTTAACTTTTCAATGTTTTTATTAGTCTTCCATTTTGATCATCATCCATATTAAATCCTAACATATCTAGATATTAATCTGTTAAATCATCAATAGCAATTATATTATCATTCACAATGATAGCTAAAGCATGTTCTTTAATAATGTTCCTTTAAAATAATCTCTTAATTTAAACTCTTTCATGTGTAGTTCTTAACATTTCTTCAGACATCATAAATTTCTTTCTAATTCTATCTTAGTTAAAATGTACAAAAACTAAAGGACAACTAATTGAATTCAGAAATATACTTCTTAAATTAATGGGTCCATTTACAAATACAACAAACTTCACCATAATTTTATTTTTCTTCAGTAAATAACATCTAATCTCTAAGCATACAATAATTCTCTTCTTCTAATGCATCTTCTCTTACTATTCTAAGGAAATCCTCATAACTATTTTAATAATATAATAAACTTAATAAAAGCAATCTAACAAAATTTAGTTGATCGGATAGAATAATCATAGCGTGCTTATGTAATAAATTCTTTTTCACCTACAAATTTACCTTACTCTATTGTTGCTACAATAGTTTCTCTTAATTTTTAATCACCTAAATTAAAGATAAGATATACAAATCAAACTCAATTATCCACTTTATATAAATATCAATTTATTAGCTTAATCATTTTATGCTGCTATTATTTCTTCTGGTGCTACTTTTAGTTCATGTACAAATGAACACAATTTTTAAACACTTTTTAATGATAATGTTTATTTGATCAATCTTGATTTCTTAAGCATATCACAATACATATCTATTGCAACCTATTCCTTCAATTTTTTGTCTAAATTTATCATCATTTTTTCACCTAATTCATTATAATCTTATTCCATTCTTAAATAATATTCAAAATATTTTCGAACTTACAACATCAATTACTTATTAATATTTTTCTTTTTTAAAAAATTGTTTATATGCATCATTTATTACTTAAATTGCTGTTCTTTTTCAGTTAACTATCTTAATATATTTCCTATGCTTGAAATAGTATATCCAAATAAACCACATATCACCATTGCCATCAAAATAACATATAATCTTTCTAAATCTGTTTGAGGTACAATATCACCATAACCAATTGTCAAAGTAGTTATCGTACTAAAATAGAAAGCATGTATATATTTAGTTAGCCAACTTGCATCAGTGATATTCTTAGCTATCAACCAAGAGTTTTTTCCATTATCTAATTAGTTTTCCCCAATTAAATTCCATAAACAAGCACAAAAATGAGAAACAAATAATACTAAAAACATTGATTTAAATAATTCCAATAAAGTTTAAACATTGACAGATGGATTTGTTACTTCTTCAATTGCTTCAATCATTGATTTTACTTTAGTTACTCTTAATAATAAAATATATTCTGTATAAGGAACTGAATAAGAAGATAAAATAAATGGTATTACAATCATTAAATCCCACCATAATTATAAACTTGCATAATGTTTTAAAATTTCCTATTTATCTCTATGAATTTAACCTTGACTATAAAAAGCAGTAAAAAATGTTAGTATTATATCAATTACAAAAGTCCAAGAAGGTAAAGTCTCTAAAAATATATTACTTAATAAATCTTCTCTATCAAAACCAAATCCCAACTTCATTGGAATGTAGAATATGTTAATGATTATTTGAGTTAATACAAATATATCCCAAAATATTTTAACATTAGAATCAGGATCTAATACAGGTAACTAATTCAAAACCCATTTTAAATTTTGCATTACTTATTCAACTTTATTCAGTCTATGTAATAAATTATCTGCATCACTAGCTTAATCTTGAATTAAATCAACTATCTAATTTGTTAAGGATTTGAATTTCACTTCAGTAGAATGTGTCTTCATTTACTTGATAAACTTGGTTATATAAAACATGATTCTTAATCCTCCATGAACCCATAAATTACTTTTTTCCTTCATTTCAATTTGAAGCATACTTTTACTTTCCTAATCTAAATCAGGATCTTAATCTGGACTCAAACAATCTCCTTTAAAAGGGGTTTAGACTTATTATTGTAATTCGATTTTCCTATTTGAATATATATTTGGTTCAAATGATGCATCTTCACTATTATTATCACAATGGGGCATTGTAAAACCTTAACGATATTTCAAAATTCCTTTTATTGTTTGGCTCTTAATTACCAAATAACTTACCTTCCTTGCTTTTAGGTTCTCGATTCAGACTCAAGGAGTAATGACATTATTTTATTTATACTTTTATAATAATGTTTTCAATCATATTCACTTAAGTTTTGTTTTAAAAGGATACCAAGTACCAAACATATAAAGATATTTTATTGATATATTTTAATACATATATTAGATACATTATTTCAATCCTTGGCAAATTTATATTAATAATTTAAAATTAATATCAAAAATTTGTAAGCTCTTTCTTTATTTTTCTATTTTCTTTGATTTCCCAATCATTTACATTACAAATTTAACTTATTTCTATCTTTATTATCTAAAAATTTTTGAAATTGGGCAACAATATAAATATAATATTATACTAGATCTTCATTTTAAGGGTTTTTCAAAATTAGGATTTAGAATAAACTATATTAATAGTAAAATTATAGAACATTGTTTAAGGGATACTAGAAGGTAATTATTATTTACTAGGGATCTTGTAATAATTAAAAATATAATTCATCTCATTTTAAATCATCTTCCAAAATCTGATTTTTAGCTAATTACCATAAATCAATGAACAATTACTTTGAGTATAATAGATAAAATATTGAGATACAAAAGTATACTTATTCAATGAAAAAAATGAATATATTAATTATCTTTGAAATTTGTGAATAATTAGAGTATATTAAAGTCTACATTATAAGGATAATTTATTAAAACTATTTTACATTTGGAGCTAAGTTCAGTTATGAATACTCTATCATTTTTCCTTAGATTATTTCTGAATTTACTTTTAAATAATAAATGCTGAATTAAATTAATCTTTTATTTGTTTATTTTTCTCCTAAATCTAAAATCAAAAATTTTAAAACTCAACTATTTCTTATTGTAATAATAAAAGCTTGATTTATATATTATTTAATTTAAAATTATCCATTACCAAGTCAAAGCTTTTATATTTTATATTTAGAATTATTTTCTCAACGAAATTTACCGATTTTCGTAAAAGCCTCATTATTTCTATTGCAGTGCTTAATCTTTAAAATTTCGATAACGAATATCTGTGAATATCTGAAGAGAAATTCTCACTTTAATTTATTATTTAGTGAATAATAATAACAATTATCATTTTTATAGTATGTGCCTTGAAAAAACTATACATCAAATATTTCTCTAATAAATTTTTCATTTATCATGTAATAAAGAATAAAATTTAAGTATTCTTGTCTGAAAATAACATTATCCTTAGCTAAACTGCTTTTTTCTCAATTCTTAATAAATTCAGATTAAGACTTGAATATTTTTTGTAATTTTTTATATCATATTTATGATACTTGAATTCATTTAGAATTTAATAGAAATAATTTTTTTTTTTTAGCATTTTAAATGCTTGAGATTATTTTTTGATAAAATAAAATATTTCTTAATGGAATTTTAATTGTGATTAACCCACTTATTAATAATTAGACAAATATTTTTTCATTTAAAATAATATGAAAACATTTAATTCAGAATCCCTCCATTAATTTAATCACTGTTAATATTTCAGACTTAATTAGATTTAAATTCTATATATATAAAAATTAATCTTATCATATAAAAAAATTTTGTAATCTCGATTCTCTAAACTGATTTTGTAGGATATTAGATTTAAATGCTTATATAAAATAATATTTTTAGCTGCCTTATGCTATGTTAAAGTTCAAAAAAGAATTATAATACATAATAATAAATCTTATGAGAAAACTTAGCTCATAATATGTATTATTAGATTTCTAATATTTTTCTAGTCCAAACTATAACTTTTAAGTTGTTGCACACTTAATTAAATCTAATATATTTAAAATATGATGATCAGCATTAATAATGCAGTTAATAGATGTATATAAATTGAAGTATTATAAGTCTTACTTGGCATAGATATATTTGGCCAAAGTTTCACAATAAATGTAAATGGAAAACGGAATTATACGACTGCTTGTGGGGGCATAACTTCATTATTAGTCATAGCAATGGTCATAATGAGTTCTTGGACTACAATTATTAATTTTTTTTGGAAATCCTCATTATAAGTATCCTTTTTATCCGAATACAATTGTGATTCACCCATAGTAGAATTAGATTCTGATAATTTTTTGTTAGCTATGGGTCTAAAATAAATAGACAATACAGATTTAGAGTACTTTGAAATTGAATTAGAATAGAGGTATGAATAATTGTCATTATGAGGTCATATCATAACAATACTGAACAGATTACCTATATTGAATTAGAAAAATGCACAAATGAAAGACTACTACAACTTTAAAAAAACTAAGCCATCAATTTAACCTAAGTTTTTGCTAAAACACACTTAAATTCCCTTTTATGTATAAAGTATTTAGTTTATAAATATATAGAAACAACCAAACTTTGCATTTTTAATAATCAACCTCAGGTATTTGTTTAATTTTTAAAAAGATCGATTTGAATTTTTGAGAATTAATATAAAAAAATGCAGAAATATTACATCCTCATAGTTAAGATGTGCATCTTAAGATGAAATAAATAGTTTTGTGTAAAAGAATCGATAATTTACACTATAGCTGTATTTTCTAAATTATGTTTAAAAATATTCTTAATTTTAGATACTGAACCCATATAATTCTGGTGAAAATTATGTTTAGTAATTCTTAGATGATTCAGTAACAATTAGTTTTATCCCTTAAAAATTGTTAAGATCAACAACTTTGTTTTTAAAGAAGCATATTTTAATTAATGATGAGAGTGTCTTACCTTATTAGTAAATTCAGAAATATTATTAGATAAAATGTTGAATCTGAAATCAATATAATATCTTCAGCAGATAAGATAGAAATTGTTGATCTTGGAAGAGAGGATGATGAAGTATTTGGATATGTAGATATAAAATAAGATTAATTTACTATTACAATAAAAAGATCATGTTTAAAACTACATACTTTGCTTTCATAGATTGGAGGGTTATTATAAGCTTTATCTTTGGTTTTAGGGGCTTTGATCGTTTAATACAATAAGTTATAAAGTAAGTTTAGATTCAATATTCTAGTGTCATTAGATTTGGCAAATCAAATATTTTAATTTGAGAAGAATGCAGAAGTGAAAATTGAATAGATTAAATAATTAAAAGAAATTAATAATGTTATTGAATAGTAGAAAGAATAATCTAGAATAGAAAAATCTCCTTAAAGTTAAAAATAAATGTTAAAATCATAAATAGATTCTACTTATTCTGGAAGAGATGTAAATAAACTATTTTTTAATGTATTGAGATCTTAATTTGAATTTCAAACATCATCTGAAAGAAAGATATAACTAAATGCAAGAACTAGAATAATTTCAAAGCAATTTAATTTTGAAAAGAATAACACAAAATGGGTATAAAAGTTCGGATATTAAAGTTCTAAAGATTATTTTAGGAAATCAATTGTAGGAATATTAAATAGATATTCACCATTAATATTAAACTTTAAATTTTTTATAAATTAAATCACATTTGGTAAATTATTCTAATGTAATGATTCAAAGCTTTTAGAAGAAGCTTTAAAAAAAATAAATATGTTATCTGACTCAAAATATTTGTTTGAAAAATTAAATGAAATAGATAAGTTAAAATAAATATTACTAAATAAGGATTAATTAATGATCTTTAATTTCACATCAAAACCAATAATAAGTCTCAAAAAGAAACATAGAAAAACTTCTCATAATTCTCTTTATAAATAATATAATTAGTACATTTAAAATAAACAACACTTAATTGATGATATCATTTATAATTATGAATAAGTCTTATAAGTTTATGAAAAAATAGAATCAAGTAAAAACTTATATCCTGCAAATTTCTATCAAACTCAAGTAATATGTAGATTAATTAAATAAATTGATCCTGAATTATTAACTATATATAGATTGTAGAAGTATATTGAAAGTTAAGAAGTGATTGAATAATTAAGTGAAATTGAATAATAACAAAACAGTATGCACTGTTTGATAATAAGTGATGAAGGATGATTTTTGTTTTATTTAATTATTCAAATTCATTATTTAATTAAATGGATAATTATTTCACAATCATAAGTTTGCTTGGACTTAGAAATTAGAATCTACCTCCATTTAGGTTAAAATTGATTTTAAATAGTATAGAGAAGCTCGTTTGAAGAGATATAGATCAATTAAGAAAATGGTTGAATTGATTGAGACAGCTGGTTGGACTTAGCCAAAAATACCATTCAATGCCTTTTGTTTAAGTTCTTAAGATCGTAATAATATACATTTGAATATCTATTATAGCCGAATGGGAAGATGATATGACCTATCCTGTTATTGAATATAATAAATTTGGTTATTAGGCTGTTGCTTTCGGAATCAATCTAGTAAATAATATTATTAATATAGTTCCTTTATGCATACAATTATAATGTAATAACACAAAACATTAGATTTAGAACTTTTAGATATTTATTTCCTGTTGTTTAATGTGTTATTTTTGGTAAAATATATTTTGAGTACAAATCTGAATTAACAAAAGTTAATTTGTTTGATGAATATGTTTAATTAAGAGCTCAAGAATTAGTGAAGGAGAATGAATTTCTTTTAGAACATGAAGGTGAACTTCAATTTATAATTTTAAATAGATATCAAGAGATTTGTATGGTGGTATGAAGATTATAAAGAGACATTATGTAGAGTTCATAGATAAGCTAATGATCATGCAGCCACTGACTTTAAAGACTCTGAATTGATTCTATAAGACTTTATTCGCAGATATACAAATCCTAATTCAGCAAGACCACTCAATATTTAAGAGAAAGGAGTTTTATTCTGAAATTATTATTCCAAAATAAATAAATATTTTACATACAATAACATCGTAATGCTAGCAATTTAACTTTTCATTTTGATAGTCTCAACACTCTTTGGATTGTGCTTTTAATCCTAAAAATGCTCGAATCTAATATATGATTGCGTTAAATTGTTTATTTTTAGCAGTCTTTTGATAGACAACTATTTCATACTCATAGGTTTATTTCTATTTATTTGGTTAAGAGAATTAATAAAAAAGTTTGATCCTGAAAAAAAATTAGAACTACCTAATAAATAATAGCAATTATAATAAAATAACATGCAAAACTCAAAAGCAAAGTTATCATCTTTATCTGTAGAAGTTATAGAATCATCTGTTGAAGCTGTTTAAATATATGATTATGTAACAGGGGAAAGTTAATATGCAATCTTATAGAGAGCTGATAAGAGTTAAATTGCTTAATTAGGAATAACTTTAAAGAATACAGTCTTATTAGAGAAAGGAAGAGTGCCTGATTCTAATTAAACATCTAAATTAATATCTTAAATTGATAACTAGAAAAAAGGCAATGGTCCTTAATAAATCTCAATTAAATATGAAGATAATAGTGAATATTTAAGAAATTAAAACAAAGTTCAAAAATCAATTCCATTTAAAATTGGTGATTTTGACCAATAAATGGGTGAAATTATTTAAGCAGAAATCATGTCCAATGATTAGTTGGAGAATTAAACGAGTGGATATTTATCTTAAGAAAAATATCTCATTCAATAATAAATTGTTTTTGAATATATTCTCTTAGTCATTTTATATGGTACATAAAGTTTTATATATTAGCTGGTGCAATATCTTAAGTTAAAAACATATATCTATAAATATTCGATTCAATATTATTTGGAGTAATAATACATAGTGGAGTTTAAAGATAGCAACTTTTTAATTTAACTCATTTGTTGATAAATTTAAGCATAATTTTAGGATGCTGTTCAATTTATATTTTAGGAATTTACTTCAAATTTTAAATCTTTATTATCGGGGGATTAGTGTTATCATTTTAGAAAGTCAATGCTAATTTATCAATGATAATAATTCCATTGACTACTTTGATGAAAATTTTTATAATCTGATATAAATAATAAAAAATCTAAAAATAATGTTGACATGATTGAGTTTAATTCTTTTTTGATGATCTTTTAATTTAGTTTAGAATGAATACATAATTAAAATTAATCTTTGAACTAAATATAGATATAAGAAAATGTTATCAAATTCAATCTAGACCATCTGAAGTACTACTGTTAAAAATATATTATGAAAATACCCATTTGCATTTGATTACTCTTTGTCAATCTTTTAGATTAGTTATTTAAACCTTTCTTCATTTACCTGTTTATAATTTAATCTTACTTTTTAACTTCTTAATAACTCTTAACGATTTTTTTAAGTTTCTTATAATAAAAACATATTAACTGTATGCATTTCATCTTGTTGAATTTTCATTTATTCTATTTCTTATTCTAAGTATTAAATAGTGTATTGTAAACTTTAACTATTTTAAGTATGAATACGAATAGGTGATTAAATGCTTTATTTACGTAATTTAAGACTTGGATATTCAGCTGAATGAGTTGCTATTCAATAAAAAAAAGTTAGTATTACAACTGCACTCTGAAATTTAACTGAGATTGAGATCTGTTTTTTCTTTAGATTGTTATTTGCCAAAGTTGAATAAGTTATTATAGAATCCCTAAGAGTTTTCTTCAAGTTTCTCAACAATTTATTGAGTTTAAGTGGCCATTTATTGTATTTTTTGAATAATCAATTTAGTTTCATTATATTCGAAATCATCATCTTTAACTAAAAATTCATGATTAATTTAGAAATAATTTCCACTTGATTTGGTTCTTCGATGCTTAGACATATAATAAAAAAATTAAATAATTAAAATATAATTAGTAAAGAAATAGTATTTGTTTATGGAGAATAGAAGAATTAAACATTAATATACTTGTTTTTATATGTTGTACAGATAAAATACTTTCATAATCCTTTAATTTTATCTTCAATGAATTGTTTTTCAACTTCACTAACTTCAATTGCAAAATCTTTAACTGCTAAAGATGAACATTTTCTTGATTTAATTTTCTTTGTTTTAGTTAAAAACTTTGAAATTCCAATCCATTCACCTAATAAAGCACCTTTTTCAACTCTCCAAACAGGAATTTAGAATTGTTTAGCTAAAGCAACAACTAACTTTTTATAGGTCTCTTCAGTGCAATCATCAGCCATCACAACAAACTTAGCCTATTCCAATATTATGAATAGTCAACTTATTTGCTTTCAATAGCTTTGCAGACTTCATGTACACCCTTTGATAATTATCCTCTATGTAAGGAAGTTTAGACGACTCTTTTTAAAGTAGTGAGTTCTTCTGATAATTATTCAACCTCTGCCATAATGAAAAATATTTTAAATCTTTATTTTAAATTAAAAAAACAAAAAGAAATATAGGTGATATATTCCTATATATATATATAAAAGCACAAAATTTTAAAAATAACTTTCAAAGTTTAGAAATATCATTATAGAATGATTTAGCAATTCTCTTATTTCAATTAAATACTAGTTGAATCGTATTTGACCAATAAAAACTTCAATTCATCAGAATGTTTTATTTTTACACTCTTAATTATTTTTGGTTCTTCAACATAATTAACTTTTAATCTTATTTTAAGTAATTTTCTTTATTCATCTTTTTTCTATTATATTCTTGCCATCAATTCTTTTTTTGCTTATTCTTATTTAAATTTTTATATTTCCTTTCTTTATGTTTCAATAGTATTTTCTATTTTAACCATTTATCTTTAATAATGAGAATAAAAATGTTCATAATCTGCTCTTACACCATCAAAAACTGAAGCTCTATTTCTATCAACTAACATTAGTTTAATTTTTTTTTTATTTTTTTTGGTTCTATCTTGTATAAAGAGAGTTCTATCAAGAGTAGAATAAACTAATTATTTATTGTAATGAAAGACTCCAATTTTAGAATAATTATCAAAATTCCAATCTGATAATATAGTTGGATGTTTTGGCCATAGAATTTGTTTATCTTTGATAGATTAAAATTAATCATCCATAAATTCAATGACTATTTAAGAAATTGATGGCAAATTAAATTAATATGAACATTGTGGATCTTAACATGAATCAAAAATCTTTGATCTATTATCCTTATTTTCTGAAGGTTCTTCTTCTTTAAGTGCAAGTCTTAAATCTTTGAGAGTATTGAATATATCTTAACAATTATTAAAAGTATTGGTAAATTCTTCTTCATCTTATTTAATTAGTTTTAATTTTAATAGTTCGCGTTGTTTAATTTACGAAATAAGATGAAGAGCAATAAGATTCTCATTGTAGATGATTTATCTACCAACTTAAAATTCAGGAAGCTATATATTGAGTCTTTTTAATCTTTTTTATTTGTAGGCTCGACTTGGATGAAAGGGCATATTCATTCGGTAACTAATGATGAATATAAAAATGATTTTTTTACTCATTCTCTTAAGCTCTCATGAACACTCTTAGCAATGGTCTCTAAAGACGTTCAATCTTTGCATTATAATATTCTGGAGAGTAATTAATGGAATTCAACAATTCATATTGACGAACATAGTTTCGAGTGTTAGATAGGTTGTTTCTAATGTCTAGTTATTATATAGCAAGTGGATCCACTCCAACTGCTTAATCTTCTTCATCGCATGAATATTCATTTTCATCTGGATATACAATATTTGTATGTATATATGTAGAAGGTATTTTATGACTTACTTCACGCTAACCTTCTACAATCACAAATTTTGGTATCTCTATCTGTTTACATTATACTACCTAAACAATATTCTAACATTTCCTACCTTCTAACTTTCTATTTCCCAAACTTCAGATTTCTACAGTCCCATATTCGGATCAACCTGCCTCATTAAAATAAAGATTTAATATATGCAAATATTTTAACCAAAACTTTAAAAAATTCAATTCATCTCCTCTACACATCCTTACAACTTCACTCAAAAACATAAATATTTAAACAAATTCACAACTTCATTTGATAAATTTTTTTATTTATTTTATTAATAATCCTATCATCATTATTTTTTTTTAAAACTATCATCATTCATAACCCTTTTATCATTCTCTATATCTTTATTCATCAATCAAACTCTATTTACTTCTCTATACATTCTCTTTTCCTACTTTCTCTCATTACAATTACTCATATCCATATCTAAGAATTTTACATCATTTCTCCTCTCAAATACCTTAATAAAAATTGCGAACCAAAGAAATATCATTTATTTTATATATATAACAATATCCTCACTCTAACAAACACTCAAAAATTAAAATCAACCTATTTAATACAATAATATTTCTTTTTATATAATTTTTCATTTTTATATATTTTGATCATTAACAATTATAATCAAATTTTTATTTCATTTTTTTTCTGCTTTTCAAAAACATTACATCTATAATAATACACTATTAAAGAAAACTAAACTCCCTTTAATAGAACTCTTTTACTTTTCATATTTTATTGTTTAATAAAGATATAATTTCCATTTTTAAATATCTGATTAAATTATGATTCTATTTTAAATAAATGTCTTCATCTAAGATCTAGTATTTTATTATATATTAAAATTATTATGAAAGAATTTTATAGAATATAATTATATCATGATGATTTTGATAAAATTTTATAAGGTTTTTGGTTGATTTATGGTTTAAACTTGAAAATAGGATTTTATTTAATAAATTAATGTCCTAATAAAGAAGAAGAGAATAGTTATAAAAAATATAAAATTCTACAAAAGAAGATTAAGATAGAAAAAGAAGAGATGAATTAGAGAGAGAATTTTTAAAATGTTAAAAAAGAGGTTAAATGCATACAAATTCAATGATGAATTGGATAAATAAGCATCAAAATAAAGCAGATCCAAAAGCCAAAGAAATGTATCGTTATCTTCCTGAAGAAAGAGTATATAAATTTAAATGAAGCATCAGCGTAAACACATTGAGTTAACCCTACTGTTTGAGAAGTTTGACAATGATGGTTCCAAAGCACTAGATTTTATTGAAGTATTTAGAATGTTCACTAAGTATTTGTGAATGATGATAATAGATATGGGATATTCATAACAAAGAAAGAATTGTTAGATTTTTTTAAGGTAGTTGACCAAAATAAAGATTTCTCTTTGAACCTTTAAGAATTCAAAGCATGTTACTTAGACTCAGCTGCAAGAGATATATTTGCTAAGATAATGAAATAGTTGATTGAGAGAACATAATTAAGTGAAGAAGAGATTAATGCAGCTTTGAATGAAATGAATGAATTGAATAATTAGAATATCAGTTAAGATTAGAAACCAATCCCTGCTTTACCTAAATCTTTTTAGGGAGTTATAAGCTTATTAACCTATCTAAATACTAGAGATGAGATTAAAGATAAATTGACATCAAAATAAGTAAATATCTATGAATAAATCAATAATTTAAAATAACTGATAGAATTGAGTAATAAAATTGATGTTGTTTAGAAGGTAGAGATTGAGAGAAAGATTAAAATAAAGAAATCTTCTGAAGATAGATTGAATAAATTTAAAAATTAGTTAAAGCAAATTAAAGACAGAGCTATACAAACTGGATAAATATAGGCTGAAGAAGAATTAAGATAAAAAAATTCTGCATTTTTGATTACTGTCTTACCTCAACGAAGATATAAATATAATTATAAAAGTGAGAACAAATTTAAAAAAATTATACCAAATAAATAAGACAATTAACAATTACCTCGTTATTCAGATTAAAAAGTAAATTAATTTTATGAATATATGAATATTAATATTCCTGATTAATTGAAGAATATTAATAATAGAATCTGGAATAAATTATTTGAGAATAATTAATAATTGGATATAATATTATAAAAAAATAGAAAAAATTAATTGGAGTCTTAAAGAACTGATAGATTAAAACAAAAAATAAAATAAACTTTAGATAATTTATAAGCAAATTTTGAAACTGATTTCGATAGTGAAGCCAACCGAAAGCCCACTTTGGAATCTCCTCAAGAAAAACAATCTACTCAATTTCCTAATTTCTTTACTTCAAGAAATTTGATGTCACAAACATCAGAAGATTTCAGAACAGCTAAAACATCTAGATTACCTCCAGGATCATCAAAATTATCTTTTCATTGATAAAATAATGAGTAAAAATTAAGAAATTGGTTATATAAAACAATAAAGAATCATATATAGTTATGTTTTTGAGATTTAAAAAATATTTTTGTATATATATAATTATATATATATATATATATTGATTAAAGAATAAGAATGTAAATTTGAATTACTTTATAAATATTTAGAATATTGAGAAATGTAAACCCACAAATTTCATATATATATAAAGGTAATAATAATGTATATGTATATATATATAATCTGATCAGAGTGCTGCCATTCTGCTTTACTCTCCAACTTTCTTCATGTAATGCTCCTTATATTTATGTTTTCCTATAAAATTATATAGAAAATTTTTACTATTAAAACTGCCCATATGCATGGTACGTGGATCATCTGGATGACTATAACCAGCCATACATCTATGTCTGTTATAATGAAAATCATGAGGAGCCCAACCGAATTCTGCAAATTAATTACCGAATAATTCTTCCTAAACTGTTGAGGCTATGGCATCTTTCATTCTTAATCTCACGAATTCCTCATTCTTTGCTGGGAAGAGATTTCTATTTCTTAATAATAATCTAATACGTCCAATAATAAGGAATCATATATGAATAAGTGAAATGTGCAATGTATAGACCACATATTAAATAAACCCACATTGCAAAGGCACCCTATTAAATTATTGATCTAATTTACATCTGAATTTAAAGTATGTTCTTGCCAATCTCTATATGCTTCATATGTTGCCCAATGTAGAAATCCATGTGATGTATCAACCTTAATATTTCATATTCAATAATTACCTTTGGGTATATACCAATCATATTAGCCAAAGCAGGCCAATCATAAAAGACATCAAATAACACTTGTTGTCTTCCATAGTAAAATTTGTTTCCGTATACTCTTCTTGCCATTCTTAAGGCATCCCATCTTTCCTCTCCTACTACTCTGGCTGCCATTTTGGTAAACCACCAGATGCCATTCTTATAATAACTTGTTTTAGCACTGAATATACTTAAACTCATTTAAAAGATTTAATTTCAGCACTAATTCTGTTTTATAAAATCATCATCATTAAGAGTTAAGCAAAAATTAAGATATTTTTCCAAAAAAAATACACTTTTTAAAAGATACTGATTTCACAAAATCATATCATGGATTGACTGTTATTAGATTTAGTAACTCTAAAACAAATAATAAAGGTCTTTATGATGATCTAATCTATTAGATTCACAAAAAATTGTGTAATTAATAAAATCAAATTCCTACTAAAATTGTATTTAAGGAGTGAACAATTTTACAACATTTTTATTTTCCTACATATTCTTTTTTTTTTGATCATTTCCCTTTAGATTCAAGTGAATTCTTATCCTAAATAACTAGATTGATGAATCTATTATGAATTATAGAAATCAATTAAATGAATAGATATCTACATAAAAATGGTATGGTTTTGCTTAGATTTGGCTAATTCGTTTAAGTGTTGAGTTTTTAAGTTGATCAGAGATGTGTAAGTAATATCAAAACAACACCAGGTGTATTTATTATAATATAAATATATAAAAGATTTTAAAATTGTTAGATGACTTCTCAAAACAAGACTTGGGATAACTTGTTTGTTTGAATTTAATAAAAAAATGATTGAAGGTGCATATATATGATGAAATATGATTATTTCAAAGGACAGTTGTCATACGACTAGAATCTCCTATTCTCTTCAAATAATGCTCCTTGTATTTGTGTTTTCCTAAAAAAATGATGAAAATGTGATACTATTGAATGAAGCCATGTGCATGGTTCTAGGATCATCTGGATGACCATATCCTGACATACATCTTTATCTGTTGTAATGGAAATCATGTGGAGCCCATGCAAATTCTGCATAGTTGTTAGCAAATAATTCTTCCATAACAGTAGAAGCAATAGCATCTTTCATTCTCAATCTCACAAATTCTTCGTTCTTTGCTGGGAACATGTTTCTAGTAAAATGATAAAATTAGATTACGTCCAATAATAAGGAATCATATAGGAATAGAAACAATGAGCTATGTACATTCCACATAACATATAAATCCAAATAGCAAAAGATCCCTTAGAGTTAGTATAAAATATACATCTGAATTCAAAGTGTGTTCTTGCCAATCTCTATAAGCTTCATAAGTGGCCCAATGTAGAAATCCATGTGAAGTATCAACCTTAACAATCTTAAGATCACAATACCTTTGGATAGATACCAATTAGATTAGCCATAGCAGGCCATTCGTAAAAGATATCGAATAAAATTTATTATCTTCCATAATAGAACTTATTTCCATAAACTCTCCTTGCCAATCTCATAGCATCCCATCTCTCTTCACCAATAATACGTGCAGGAATTTTAGTAAACCACCAAAGCCCATTTTTATAATAACTCGTCTTAACACTAAATATACTAAGACTCATAATTTAGATATTTTAATAATTAATTCAACCCCCTCAATAAATACAACTTCAAAAATCTATCTACATTATTTTATAATAAATATCTTATAATAAGTTCCACTACATAAGATTTACATAAATTATATAATATATGATATAAAAATCTCAAATATCTAATTCTTCTTCATTTTAGAGGACTGCGAAATATTTATCAACTTCAGATTAAGGAATGGATAAAGCATCCTTAAATTACCATGTTGGCACATGATTTTTGTCAACTAACACCTATTTCACTCCTTCAAAAAAGTCAGATCCTTACATAATCCTTTAATATTTTTAATATTTAGTTTACCTTCTTACTATACGATAATCCATTTTTAAATTTTCTCTAAGATCAAGTTTTTAACCTCTCTTGATTTATTCAAATATGATTCTTAATGAGAGGGGACATTGTTCTTTCAAAATCTTTAAATTATCTTATCCAAACTTTTAATTTTGATGATTCTAAAGATTGTTAAATATCTATTCTAAAGTTTCACCTGAATATCCAGGCTCAATATTTGATAATTGTTATTTAATAGTAAAATCAGGTATCTATAAAGAATTTTTATATTTTATTATACTTGATTTGGTTAAAATTGTTTAACAATATTCTTTACATCATTTAAGTTCTGACTTTATACAGTTCCAATCTTAGAAATCAAATTTTACAATTCAGATGATTAAACATAGTAATCAGCTAAACCAGCATGAACTAAATCAGCACCTTTCAATCTAAATCCACTCAAACCTAAATAATAACCTAATCTATGTGGTAATCTAGATAGAAAGTATCCTCCTCCTACATCTGTAAACAATCCCAATTTAGCTTCAGGCATAGCAAATACACTCTTTTCAGTTGCAATTCTTACAGGTGCATGAATTGACATGCCTACTCCTCCTCCCATTACTATTCCATCCATTAATGCTATTAGAACTGGTTTTAATGTTGCCAATCTATAATCCAATTTATATTCATCAAAAAAGAACTATTTTAATGCACTCGGAGGGTTTTATTCTGAAGGCTATGTTTTTGCAAAATATAATGTCTTTATATCACCACCAGCACAAAATGCTTTGCCTCCTTCTCCACTTAAAATTATGCAAGTAGCTGAATTTGCATTATCTAAAATTTAATTCAATTCAGCAATCATAGGTAAGTTTAAAGCATTCAATTAATTTGGTCTATTCAATTTTATATTCAATGCTGATCCCACTCTATTTATTAACACTTAAGATTGGGACGAAGAAAACATAGCACTTATTATACTTAATCTCATATTCTTAAATTATCAAAATATTATATATATATATATAACATATGTCCAATTAGTTCATTAGAATATATATGAAAAAAACTTATTTTAACTTCTAGAATATAAATAAATTAAATCCCAGAGTTAATGAACTCACCAAAAAAGAATGCTTTTCCAACTTTAAATAACCTCAAAATTATACAGTCTTCTTATGGTTAAAGAATCAATAAATGTGTAATTATTTTAATTAATAATTGTTAGACTCGTATTGTTATCAAAAAGGACACAAAAAAGATTATTGATACAAAATAACTATCATAAACATCTATTGAATAAGCCAAACAACGCTTCATTTCTAATCAAGAGAGGTAGAGATAATAGTAGAAAAGCCTACCTCCTATTATGAAAAGAAAAGAATTTCATTAAAGAAGTGTTTCAGTTTCAGCTCCAAAAACGCAATATTCAAAATACTTTTATTTTATAGGAGAGGGCAATAATCATTAACTGATCAAGAAATTATTAGATGAAAGATAAAATTGGGTCTAAGTTAAGGATGCAAAATCTAAAAAAATTAATTTTAAATGGCAAGAAACTGAAAAAGGATATGAATATTAAACTATCAACTAAAAAGAACAAGCTATTTAAATGCTTAATCATTTTGAGTTTCACTCAGAAATTTCTGATAAATTTAAGTTAGCTGTCAATTTCAAAACTTATTGCGATGTATCTAATTTTTTTAATTAAGAAAAATAGATTAAATATATATGATTATATTCCAACTACATTTGCTATAGAATGTACTAATGAAAATCTTAGATCTGAGTTGTTTTAATTTATTTCCTTTTACAGATAAAATTGTCCTCAACAAAAATTAGCAGAATTGGATAAAACAATTAAATTGAACTTCTTCTCTTTTACAACACTTTATGATAACAAAGTAAATCAATATCCAACTCTATTTGGTAATGAAAATTTGTGGATTTTTAAACCTTCTAATATGAATTAAGGTAGAGGAATACATGTTGTAAGAAGTTTATAAGAAGTATTGGACATTTAAAATAAATATTAAGGAGGATATAAGGAGAAATTATTGGAAGTGAAAAGAAATGAACAAAATGAAATAATCAATAAGGTGGTTTATTTAAATACATTAGTGACAGATTAATTTGTTATTCAAAAATATATAGAAAAACCATTTTTAATTGATGGTAGAAAATTTGATATAAGAGCATATGTGTTATTGACATCAAATTTATAGATTTATTTTTATAAAGAAGGATAATTAAGATTGGCAACAGAGAAATTTGACCCAAAAGTTTAATCAAATTATGTTCATTTAACTAATAATGCCATTTAATACACCCATCCTGAATACGGAAAATCAGAAGAAGGAAATTAGTACAATTTTGATTAGGCTCAAAGTTAATTTAAAAAAGATTTTCGAAAAGATGTAAAAATACTTTAAATTTAGATTTTAGCAAAAATTAAAATGATATCTTATACAGCATTTTAAACTGTAAAGCATAAAATAAATAAGTAAAAAAGAAAAAATTGTTTTGAAATATTTGGTATGGATTTTATTTTGGATGAGTAATAATTTCCTTGGTTAATAGAAGTAAATACAAATCCTAGTTTGGAAGTAACAAGCAAATTATTGGACTAATTATTTCCAAGGATGGTTAATGATGCATTTCGATTAACAATAGATTTAGTTTATCCTTAAAATGAACCAAACCACAATTATCCTTTGATGAATTATAGAGATGATGAAAATTTATGGGATAGTATGGGATAGTTGTAATCATGAATAATAATATTTATTATAGATTAAATATATTAAATGACTTATTATTTTGAAGATAATTTATTAATTCATCACAATAGCAAATAAATAAAGTTTGGCTATTTTTTCTATTGATGTAAATTATTTAAAATAATAAAATGAATGAAAATGACAAATAAATTTGATTAATAAAAAATACATTCTTTTTTCCAAACGGTTTTAACAATTTGAATTCTTCTTGGTATTAAATCTAAGGAAAATGTAAATGAGTTAGTTAAAAAATAAAGATACGAATTCACAAATTCTGGAGGATAGAATTAGCTTTGTATTTGTGAATTAAGTAAATAGTGAAGAATAAATTGAGTGATAAAATTGGTTAGCAATTATTTAAGGCATTATAAAAAGTATTTTGAAATTGATTTGATGTTGGAAAAGGCAAAATTTATAAATAACAAGGAGAAGGGATGAGATGATAAAAATAGTATTATGATATATATGGTAATAATTAAATTTAATGATAATAAATATTATAATAAAAAATAATACAAATGTTCAAATACTTGGATAAATATGTTGAGTATGAGACAATAGGGAGAGGCAGTTATGGTAGATCAAATGATAAAGTTTAGGATCTGCACATTTGGTACGTTCAAAGTCAGACTAGTAAGTATATGTGGCCAAGAAAATTCAATTATTCAATCTAAAATCAAAAGAACAAGATGATTCAAAAAGAGAAGTTGATGAGTTCATTTTAATTATTAGGTGATGCTTTTGTAAAAGTTGAAACATCCTCACATAGTACAATATATAGAAAGTTTCAATGAGAATGATACTCTTATAATAATCATGGAATATTGTGAAGGTAATAAATTTATTTAATAAATTAGAGGGAGACTTATCATTTCATATTAATAGAATGAGTCAAAGAAAAGAATACTTCCCAGAATAAATTATATTGAATTGGTTTCTTTAATGTGCCCTTGCTCTCAAATATATTCATGAATAGAAAATCTTACATCGAGATATCAAGAGTTAAAACATCTTTCTATCATCTAATGGATTTGTTAAGATTGGTGATTTTGGAATCTCAAGAGTCTTAGAACATACTTAAGATTAAGCTAATACTGTAGTAGGAACCCCTTATTATATGAGGTAGTATCATTTTATATACAATTCTTTAGTCCAGAAGTTTGTGAAAATAAACCTTATACTTATAAAAGTGATGTATGGTCACTTGGCTGTGTTTTATATGAACTTTGCAATTTATCTCATGCATTTAAATCTAACAATCTTTTAGGTTTAGTTAATAGGATTGTTAAAGAATAAGCTTCTGCTATCCCATCACATTACTCTAAAGAATTAGCTGATCTAATTAATAAACTTTTAATTAAAAATGCAGATCAAAGACCTCATACTTCCGAAATATTTAATTTCCCTCTTATCAGAAATACTATGCAATAATTTGTTGCAATCTAAGGCAAAGTTCAATATCAAGCACCAATCAAAAGAACCAATACACATAATTAAATTGGAAAAATGATCAAATAAGAAGAAACTACCCTAGTCAACTCCAACACTATTTATGATAATACTATCGATACTGTTTAATCTATCGATTTCAGTTAATTAACTCCTTAATAAAGATTGTAAATGAAAAAAGAAGAAAAAATACAAAGGGAATAAAGAGAATTAGCATAAGCCACTAAATAAAGTTTTGCTTAATAATAAGCCAGTTAACAAAGAAAAATTTAAGATCTTTAAGGTGGTTAATCACTTAATTACAATCAAAAAAAAAAACAATAATAATAATATCATGAAGAATTACAAAGACAATAATAATTTAAATTATAAGAATCTTAATCAAACACAAAAAAACCATAATAATAACTTCAAACTATGAATAAATCTAATATGTACAACTATGATGAAACCTTAGTAAGCCAATATGAAAAAACTTCACTAATGGTATTTCTTATTATTTCCTTTAGATGTAAAATGAATCAAAAAAGTACAATGATACTTTTAAAAAAGAACTAGAATAGTTTGATAAAACTGTTGATTCTGAAATGTGTCAATCTACTTATGATAACACTACTTAACCACCAGAAAAAACAGTCACTAAATCTTAATTAGATAGATTTACTACTAATTATGAAAAAAAAGAATTCTCTGTAACTTAACAATATCAAGATGAAGAGTTTGAAGAATACAATAGTGATGAAGATAATGAAGTCATCAATCATAGACTTACTGTTAAGTAAGGAGACAGTGAGATTTAAGAAGTCCTCCAATTATATAAAATTTAAATGGATTAAACTGTCAAAAAATCATAATGTAATAAGCTTGAAGGTATTTCTTGATTTATAATTTAGACATCTAAGAAACCAGTTAAGAGAGTTGGAATTCATCTTCTGCTTCACCATAAAAAGTTCCCGTCAATAATGACGATAGAATCCAAATCTTAAGAAAAAAAGCTATTGCTACCATGGGGTCTGACCTCTTTAATAAAGCCTATCAATTTATGAGTCATCATTTATCTAAAGGAACTGGAAGTGCAGATGTAATTATATAATTTAATAATCAGATTCGTAAAAACCTAGAGGAAATAGTTGGCAAAAGTAGAATGGGAGATTGCATGTTGATAGATGAAATATTATATTATGAGAATTATTCTAAATGACAATAATTATAATTAAATTACACAATCATAATAAATCTATTCACTCTATACCAATTATAATCTATTAAATTTTTATTCTTTATAAAATATTTTTTTATATAAAATAGTAGCTTATTTCATTACTAACTAAATTAATTGACCAGATAGAAGAAAGTCTTGATTTAAGTAAAATTATTTAATTATAATTAGATTAGGTCGTATGGTGTAGTGGTTAGCACCTTGGACTTTGAATCCAGTGACCCAGGTTCGAGTCCTGGTATGACCTATATTTTTTTTTATTTATATATATTTTAAATATAATTCATTTACTAAAATTCAAATATTGACAAATTATATTTATTGAAATCAAAGTTCTGGGGCTACCTATCCAAATTTCTAGATTGGCTTTATTAAAACTGACTATTTTTTTTTTAATTTAAGACTATTTTTTAAAGTTTTTAAACGACTATTTAATCTATTCTAAGTGTCTCTCTTAATTTTTTCAGTATTTTTAGAATTTCTCTTTTTACTCATGTATTTCTGAATAAAGAGAAATGGATAAAACATATATCTTTATAATTTATTGATGAATTGAGATTACCATAAAAAAGTGTTTTTTTCAGCCTAACTGATTACTTCGTTATAATTTTAGCTTTTAAAAAAGTAATCATATGTTGTCAGTAATTCAAATTCAGATAGGCTTTATTAATGAAATGACCAATAGATAGGTTCGATTTAAATATAGGCTTTTTAGATAGTTTTATCATTTTCATTCAATTCTAATTCTCTTTATAGTTAATGGTACAAATTAATAATATTTTCCTACATATTCTCATTAAAATCAGAAACACTAAATTATTTCTTTCTTTTCTGTTTCTCACTAATACTCTTACTTTCATTAAAACTATTGCTACTTTCCTCATTCTCTTCACTTTCCTCATTTTCTTTAATAACATCCTCTTTAGGAATTAATAGACTTTTTGGGCTTTTACCAAAATTTGTAGGAATATTTAAATTAAAAATAGATTACTTTCTATTTTACAATGCTTGATGAAGACTTTATTTTGTATCCTAAAACTTAGCATTAGAAGATAATTGTATTGGAGGATCATTTATAAGTCTTTTTGATTTTTAAACAGCTGCTTAAAATCCATCAATTTAAATCTTATTGCAAGGAGTAGGATCTCCATTTGAGCTAATCGAATCTTACTCAAAAGCTAATTAAACTTTTTGTTATTCCTATATTAATTAATGATTTTCATTTTAAAAAACATAAGCAAATTGTTAAATTAAATCTTTATCTAATCTTGATCTACTGATAATTTAATCATTATTGAATCTTTTTGTAAGATCTCTTTAATAACTTCTTCTTTCTTAAATTTAAGGTAATAAATATTTCTTTAAAATAGCTTCCTTGTCTGGGATATATTAAATTTAGGGACATTTTGTCAAAGAATGATTAAAACATAGACAAGCTGGACAAAATACTCCATTTTCTAATTATGGAGGTTTTAGACTTAAAGTCATAAGTTCTTTTATTTCACAATATTTTTAGAAATCTTCGGGATAATTTTTAATAGTAATCATAAAATCTAATTTTGACAAAATCAATAAACTAACATAACCATTTGATTTAAAGTAATCTTTTTAAGGATTTTAAATAATGAAATCTTACACGCAGAAAAATTGCCCTTGTTTAATTGTAGCATTCATCTTGGATCTTTATTTTCTATCAAGATGTTAATAAAGTAGAACCCCTTGTTCTACAAAACATAAATGTTATTAATCATCAAATTCAATCGAAAATGTATTTTAGGGAGGTATAATTTTTCTTTTGATTGACTTTGATAATGCATCTTTTAGTTCATCACTGAAACGTTAAAGAAGAGCTGATTTTTTAATGAAGATCTTGTGAGCTTCTTTATCTAATTCTTCTTTCAATTCATCAGATAATTATTCAAGTAAAGCTTATTCTATATCTAGATCTACTTCATCATCTTCTTTCCATCGAAAAGTCAAGTATTCTTTAATTCTATTTTTATTATTTAATTTTTTTCTTACTTGTGTTTCAAATTGAAAGGAATCTTTCTTTGATCCATGTACTTGTTAATGACTCTCATTTTTCTATTTCTCTCAACCTGATTTTAAGTAATATCATTAATAATACCTCCTATAAAATTGATACTATATGAGAACCATAAACCTAAAATAATTTATTTTATTACAAGCCCATAGAATAAAAATAATAGTTATAATTTTCTCTATTGAATTCTTTGGAACATTATCTCCATATCCTATTGTAAGCATTGTTACAACTGCAAAATACAATGCTTCCAAATATTATAATTTCCAAGATTTTAGATCTAATCCATTAAATTTGATCCAAGAATCTTCAAAACTTATCTTACTAAACCAAAACCAAATACAACTAAATAAATGCAGTATAAATAAAAGTGTTAGAACTAGTTTAACTAAACCTATGATTCCTCTTATTGGTCTTGTTAAATAAGATATTTAATCACTTTTTGCAAATGTTTCTTAAATATATCTATACTATGCCAAAGTCAGTAATAAAAACAGATTAACATTATTATCCATTTCTGGCATTATTATAAAGATTATTAAAAGAAATGAAGTAGAAAAGTCTGTCAAAAACTCCTTCTTAAATTGATATATTAATAATTCCCATCGATTTTATATAGCTGCTCCATTTCTATATGAGAGTGTGTTTATTCTTATCAAGAAATCGACTTATAATATCAATAAAATCACTGCTGTAAGAACAATAAAGTCTGTGAATAAGATACAAGGTTAAAATGCTATCTCTAAAGGCACTAAAATTACTAAGAGAATTCTAAAAAATGATGCAACAAGGTCCCATATCATTTTTAAACGAGATTCAGGTTAAATTATTGGAATTTTCTTTACTATTGATGTCATCTAATTCAAAAACTAATTCTAAATTTTTCTTATTTATTCCTTTATTTCTTCCCAAATACTTATTTTATTGATCACTGTTTCTTTTCTCAATAATGTCTTCATTTTACTTAGACTAAAACCTTATCGTTTGCTCTAACTTTAATGATTGAATAAATTTTGCCTATCAGCTGCTTTATCTTCAATAAGATGGAAATGAATTTCATTCATATTCAAAAGGTTTTTCCTGCTCTAAGATATTTTTTCTATGAATCTCCTAATATAAAAACTACACATCAGACTTGTTCCAGCATTAGGAAGACTTCCTCTTCTTTCATTCTAATTTAGAGATTACCGACCAAAAATATGAGAATTTTGTGCTTAGGTAAGAATAAGATTTTCATCAAAAGGTGTCTCTGGTATTTTATTAAGACATTCAGCTTCAATTGTTTTTTAGCTTAAGGTTCTACTTATTTATGGGATTGTTAGAGCAGGCTCTTTTCTATATTCTCTCAGACAATGTTCAAGGTATTATTATTCAAAATCTTCATTCTATACTGCTCTCAATTCAACATCTTAATCGAATTCGATGTTAAACATATTCTAAATATTTTACCAATATAATCAATTAATTCGTGAATTTATCATTGGTAATTATTTATTTCTTATTCAATGCAAATATTTAATACAACTAATCGATACTATACAGAATACCAAGAAAGACTTTTTTTTTCCAATTATATTTTCGTAACTTTCAAATATAATTTAATTAGTTACATTCTTTGCCTGATTTCTTTAGATTTTCTTTTAATCATTTATAAACATCTCTCAAACTTTCATACTTACTAGATTAATTTTGCTTTACTAAATCTAAGAATATTATTAATATTTATTTATAATTACAAAAATTTTTCATTACAAGATAAGAAATGCTCTATAAAATTACTATAAATTATAAATTCAGTAAAAATTTGTCCATTTCTTACAAAATCTTAGAAAATTATAGAAAAAATATTCCCCCAAACAATCATAAAACTAGCTATGAAATAAGCCGAAACCAGCCTAAATTATATCTTTTTTTAAATCAATTTGCTGATCAAGATTAAGTTGCTAAATTTATATTGGTTATTTATATCTTTTAATGATAAAAATAAAAATGCTAGGAATAATTCTTAATTTTAATAAAGATATAAGCGGATAAAAATTTATATCTAGTTTGATCAAAATTATACATGTTGATAATGATTCTAATTATAAATGAATAATTCAGAAAAAATATATATTAAATATAATGAAACTCTCATTGTCAACTGAATGGTTATTCTTTCATCTTTGGAAAAAGAATCCTGATACAAATTCTAGTTGTCCAGGTGTGTTTGTGGCAGATACAATAATATATAGATGGGCTCAACCTTACTTTTGGTATTTTACAGCTAAAGATGGTTAAATATTAAGAAAAACAAAAGAACGAATATTTGTAGAACAAATAGAAGAAATCTTTCAAAAAAGTGGTGATATTTCAGCTTTATATTTGTAAAGCTAACAAAATAAAATAATATTTGAATACTTTGAGAAAGGGGAATTTATTTAATTTCTTCATTAAAGAGAAAAAGCTTTAAATGCCTTACTACAAAAATTTGTAGAGCCAAAATCATCAAGAAACTCTATGATCAAGGTTTCTTGGAGTCCATAATTTTGTTTGTTGTCTAGAAAAACAAATAATAGTGATCTTAAAAATAATAAAATACCTATAGAAGATCGGTTAGTAACATTTGAAGGTCCAGAACATTTATCAACTACAGATTCTATAGCATCTCCTATATTATCATCAGACATTGAATAAATTTGCCTTAATATTGTGAAACATATTTAAGACGTTTCTGGAGGCAATATATAGATATCAAGAATGGTTTTGTTTTTTAAAATAGATGAAAAAAATAGATTATGGTTATTATTCAGTAGTGGAGTAAAAGTTAGATAAAAAGTAAAGATAAAAATATATATATAATAGTTCATTAATGAAGAAACTGTTTCAGATTTTCCAAAATAAAAAGAGAGAATATAATCTCCAATTATGATATTATAAACTTAATTGAAAATTGGATAAACTTCAAAATTTTCAGTTGATACTTAAGGATATGTGAAACAAACTGGTAGTAGTTGCAATAATTGTTCTATACAAGGAGAAATGTATGAACTAACCGTCTAATAATACATAGCATCTTATGATTAGGGAATATTTGATGAAGAAACATTCATAATTAGATAAAAAGTAGCAAAAAATCCAGTGAAGAAATCAGACAATGAAGAAGATTATTATGTAGAAGGATCATTAAATATTCCTGGACTATTACTAAAAATATGGGGTAAGATGGATATTGAAAAATATAAGAATTTAAGGAATAATATGAGCTTTATGAGTTTAAAATTGCAATTATGTTTAGATTGTTACTTAAAGTTTACTAAAATGTAATTAAATATCTAATAAATAGTCATGTTGAATCTAAAAGTGAAAGAGAAGCTAAATAAACAGTTGTAAGTATACCTCCTATATGGTAGCCTTCAAAAACAAAGATTTAAAATAATTAAGAAACTTTAACATTGGTTTCATCTTCAAAATAAAATAAAATGTATCATACTCCATCAAAATAAGTGTAATAATCTTCATATTAATTGCAAAAATAATAATCTCAATAATAATAATCATAATTGACTATTTAATAATAACCTTAATCTTCTATTGTAATTCCAAAATTAAATTTACCTTCTAAGGATATAAGTGAAAGAGTAATTGCCACAACTCATCATACAGATAGATAAAGTAATTTCCCATCAAAAAGAGTTGCAAAGATTTATAATAATTTATAGGGCGTTAGCTTGCCTCATTCCTAATCATCTTTAAATACAACAAGATCAACTATGTAAATTATTTAGTTAAAATTAGTACTCATTCGCAAAGGATTGTTAGTATTTAATAATTGAAAGAAATTTTGCAAACAGAATAAATTTGATTATTGCGAATTTAACAATATTTTAAGTGTAAAATTTAATGAATAAATTAAACATCAAATCTCTGAAAATAAAATATTAAATGTCTTTTTGTCCCAAGGATTTTATTTTTAATCAAAATATTCTCCAGGTCCAGGAGCAACATTATTTTTTTATTCATATTAGAATCTTTTTTCCTAGAATATATTTTATTTAAGGTACTTAGCAATTGAAAGCTGGATGTTCTTTTTTCTTTTTCTGGAATAAATCAGAAGCATTGTGTTTCAATTAAATATCTTCCTCCTCATCTTCTTCATCTATCCCTTTTTTAGGTTTTTCTTAGAATCTTGGTAGGGAAGACCCAAAACCTGGTTTATTAATGATAAGATCTTTATCTTCTTCTTTTTCTACTTTTGTTTTATTTTCTATAGTATAGTTTTTAACATCATAAGCTCCAGGAGCAGGCATATTATCTTTACCACCCATAATGCTTCTTTTTGTTTAAGATTTGAAAACACAAGCAGCATTCTTCGCAGGATCTTAAAAATTAGGTTCATAAGTTCCAGGTCCAGGTTGTTCATTTTCTGGATCATCAAATCTAGGTTAATTCGATCCAAATTTTCCAACTGGCGCTCTTTCTAATTTCTTTATTAATTTATCTTCTAGCTTCTTTAAATATTATTCATTACTGTAATTTTTGGATTATAAGTTTAGGGTCCTGGCTTTTTTTCTAAAGCTCTACTTTCAAAACGTGTATTGGATGATAAAAATGGAATATTCTTCATAGCCATATTATTTTTGATAAGATTTGTATCTATTCTATAATCCCCTGGTCCCATCTAAATTTATCTTTATTATTCATTAAATCTTTTTTGCTTAGAACCAAATCCACTTTAAGATTTTGGCATTGATTAAGAGTATGTAGAGGCTGTTGAAAATGTTGTTTAATTTCCCATATAATATCCTGGACCTGGAGTAGCATTCTAAATTTTAACAATATAATACATCATAAAATTCTACATCTTCATCCTCAATATCAGCAAAAACAGGATTTTACATAAGTTTCTTCTTTTAATTTTCAAACTAAGCTCTCATAAATTCTCTAGTTTTCTAACCTTTTTATTGATCAAACATTCTTTGAGATTTTGAGAGAAAATTGCCAGAAGGGTTTAATTTATAAAGAGGAATAATTGAATTCTCGTGATCATAAGCTCCAGGTCCTACAATTTGTTCTCTTGAAGGAGGAACTAATTTAGGAACTCTAGATTTATGCCAAGAAGGTCCTTTATTTTTATTATTATCAAAAGTATCTCTTAATTAATATTATCCTGGTCCTACTGTGTCTTATTTTAATCCAGTAAATATTGGTACAGGACTCTTATTAAGTTCTAGATCATGTGCTACACGTATATATCTAATCTATTACGTCCTTTATCAGTATAACCATAAACTTAACTTGTTGTTGGAATAGATGGTATTGATTAATATTTATTTAGTTTCATTAGATGATCAATATAATTTTAGGATGTATATTGTTATTAAACCATTTTCTTTTGTTATGTAGAATCATAAGCACCAGGACTCAAATATATTTAAAATGATACCCTGGAGTTTCCAACATTTTAGGTTCCTAAAATCTTTTTGTTTATGACATAAAAACTGATTGTTGTTTTTATTATTCTACAATTTTGACTTCAGATTGTGCTGATTATAAAACAACTCGTTAACTCACAATTAAAAATTATTAATACCCTTCAGTGACAAATTCAACATTATAACTGCCAGGACCAGGTGAATTGCTTTTTTTTAATGGTTTGCTTCTTGCAACTTGTGTATTAAATGGAGCAGCATGAGCTCGAACTTCATATTTTTTATTTTCTATGTAACTTCCAGGACCTACATTAGATGGCAAAGCTCCAGATGCATTGTTAATATCTCTTTCTGCTTGATATACAAAAGCCATTTTTAGAATTTAATAATAATATTGCAAAATAATTAAAATTATCATCTTCTCTTTTCAGAACTTTAAAATAAACTCTCATTTAAAAACTCATTAATCAATTAATCCAAAGGGTATGAATAATACTTTATACATAAACTATTTATGACTGTTAAAATATTTCTTATATTTACTAAGTGACTTTCATAATATTATATTAAAAAATTTTATTTCTTTTACGTAATAGTTTCTTTTATTATTAACATATTAAATGAATACAGTTTTCTTTCAATATAAAAAAATTTACTTGCACTTTTTAGAATCAGTTTTGTTATAATTCAGGATGGAATACTAGGATTTTTATTTATAATTCAGTTGTTAATCTTTATTTTATTCATCAAATGCCTCTCTAAATTACAAATAGATTCTTTATTTTGTATTCAACATTGCTTCAGTATTTTATTTTCATTTTCTTGCTAATTTCAAAGCTTAACACTGATATTCAAGTTTTAGTATTGATATATTTATTCAGTCTCTCAACTAATAATTTACAGTAAACTGGGCTTAATTAAATAAGAATTAGCAAAATTTTTTTTTAGGCTCTTTTATTTAGATGAAATTTTTATCTTTTCCTCTTATTTTCTAAATTTATGATTTTGGGAAATATTTTGCTATTTTTTTCCATAAT